ACCATTATGGAAGATCGCGCTTTGCCGAGACTTCAGCGGACTTGCCTGATTTCCTGGAGGATGCGGAAAGCGAGCTGTCGTCTGATGAACAACTTTGTGGGAGTAGTTTGGAAAACGGAGAAAAAACTTCCTCCTACTTCTAGTTCTTTGCCTTCTAGCAGCAGGGGAAGAAATGTCTGCCGACTAAGCCCTTCGCTTCCTACTCGGAATATTTCTTGCGCTTCTGTTAGTTTTGACGTTGTTGTTACTATATTTTTGTGCTCATCGAGAATCGTTCTGCGCTCGGCTTCATCTTTTCCCGAAACTCCCACTCGGAAGATTCCGAGCTAGTCTGAACAGTCAGTCACCCGAAATCGGAGAGCGCCAGTTTCGATCGGAAATCTCCGCAAGAGAAGATCCCCTGAGTTTGCGATAAGCTCCTACCTCGGATTCGCCGTCGATGACCGAAATCGGCTGAGCCTTGACGTCAGCTCGACCTCAATTACTCGGATCCGCCTGCCCTTAAGATTCAGAGGGAATTGCCGCAACATCCTCCTGTGCGACAATGCCCGTCCATCGATTCGATGCCGGGATCAGTGTGCGAGGCGCGAACTTCGATTCCCGTCCGAGTCCGGAGACTCTTCTCCTACATTCCCCTCCAGATCGCCCGGCCTCCGAGCTCACCGTACACTTACGACCAACATTTTTCTCGTTGCTCCCTCTTGTCCACGAAAAGTCGTAAATCGAGATGAGACCTTCACGTTCCCCCATGGAGGGAGGACCCGTTTCAGTATCAGTTCTTGGTATAAGATTATGGCTAGAACCTTTCCGTCCCCGGGAAGTCTACGAACGAGGTATGTAAAGCAGATCCACGCTGAGGCCTTCGCCGACTTCCATTCAGCGAAATCCCTCTGTTTTCGGCAGCATTGAACGCTCCTCCGTCAGAGCCATTTCGTCTCCAGCGATGACTTTCGCAGTGTTGATTGAGCCGCCGCGATTCAATATCACGTTTCTTCGGCCAAAACGGATGCTACACCAGTGGAGGCAACATATCAAGGAGTCAGTCTTACTGCTCGGCCGACTAGATGGCCCACTGACTGAGGAACAGTGACCAAGTCGAAAAGCGATCAAGACGCTCAGAGAACCCGAAGCCAAACTCCGCTGAACAATGAGCAATGGAGCCGATTGCTCATTGCTTCCGACTCGGCATCCAAACACTTGCTCCCGAATTTCTAGTTCGCTCACGCTCCCGCGGTATTTTTTCAGCCTCTCGAGAGGTCGCGATCTTTCTCGGTAAGCTACGGAATCGGCTCTTATTCACGTCGCCGTCTTTGATATTTCGCTTTTGCTGTTTCTCGGAAAGTTTCTCGCCAGAACCACAATGTCTCTGCAGCCCTTAATTGCGACCTCCACCAGAAACCCGTTCCCATTCTTCCAAGTCGCTCACGATCGAATCAGTTTTTTCGGTGGAGCAGTATTTTCGTTCTCTCGTTCCGAGCCGCCGCCAGCCCCGACTGCATTCTTAACCTAACAGTGTTAGGATCCTCTGCTCTTAGTTGATTCAGAAGAACGCAGTCGAAATGGAGGAATTGTCAGCTTTATAGAGTAAGAGGGGAAAAACTTCAATCGCCGCTCGACAATTAAGGTCGCCAGCTGCCGCTAAGGCGTCTACCGACTTTCGACCCTTTCTCTCGGGAATGGTGTTCGCTTTATTTTACTCTTCTTAATCCTAGCGTCGCTCTCTGTCTAGGGGTTGTTCATCCGATGCGAAGTTTTTCTTCGTCGACTCCTCGAGTCACACCCGACTCGTGAAGCTGTTCAGTCCAGCCCTCCATCTGAGACAGACACGACGACACCGTCGACGCGGCGTGATGCTAACAATGCATGTCGCCCACGGATCGACATCGCGTTCTTCACGTTTCGCCTGCGACGACTCGCTTCCAACTCTTATACTCGCAGCCGTCGCCGTCAGAAGTCGTTGTTGCCACCGCTGGTTTTCTCGTCGGCTCGAGAAGTGTGTTTGGAGCGGCCTCCATGTGTTTTTACTCTTCCTTCATAAAACTCGGCTGGCATGTCGTTCGGAGCTCCTCTGTTCGGGAGGAGCCAATTTTCCCTCTTCTATTCTTCGGTGGACTGTTTGTACGTCTCTGCGGCGAGTGGGCGTCTGGGCGTGAATGCGACTCTATTATCTGTTCCGTGCACGCGGACAGAAACACGGTCTTCAGAAATCCGCGCGGTCTTGTTCAGGGATCCGAGGATTCTCGAGCAACTCGCGGGCCGCCGTGCCCTAGAAGGAACTTCATTTCGTTAACGCACGCGTGTGAATTGACAAATGTTTTATTGGCACTTGTCCTTTGAACGCGAGTGCCCGTGATTCGGTCACACGGTAACACCGTTGCCCGCTCGACTGAAGAGCAGGTCTTTAGAAGTTTTGAGGATTTATTTTTGTCTGCGAACATACTGGGAAAAGGTCTAACGGAAAAACGAACACCGGAATTTTCGCAAGCGCTTTGGCGTCGTAATGGCCCGTCGAGTGAGCGCGGGACCCGGGGCAATAATACTGCTTGCAGCGGGGTCACGTTAGAATGCTTTCGTTTCGGCGAAGGGAAGGAGCGACGAAATACTTTGGAATATTTAGGGAAAAATTCCACGCCATCGGTGGCGATCGTGGTGGCCGACAGAGATCGAGACGCCTCCTCGACTGGTGTTCGTCGCTGGAGCAAGACTGCAACAACTTGAGTCATCAAGCCAGAAAATCTGCGTTCGCCATTTGTCTCCAGAATCGGAGAATCTCGAAGTCGAGCATACTTTAATTTGAATGTATCACGCGATCACATTGAGTCGTAGCAGGTGAGAAGACTCAAGTCAACATCTCGCCGTGACGCATTTGGCAGATGAGCCAGCCTGGATGCATAGTGAGAGCATCCGTTCCCATCGGTTCGGCGAAATCACGAGCTTGTTCAGACGCTTACCGATCTGACCGAGAGAGTTGCCGAGGAGTCTGTCCGCTGATTTGTCCTCCCGTCAGGATTTCGACTCGAAGAAACATGCGATCAACCGTCTGACAGGGAGACTTCGGTCCGAACTTCGTTCCGGATGATCCCGAGATTCGCTGCCCTTGCCAGCGGGGGCAAGGATAGGTCTTCCTGGGGGCCGCGGCTTCCCTCAAGAATATTCTCAGGAACGGGAACGAGGCCAATCGCTCCATGTACCTACAACCCGAGATCTCAAACGCGATCTTTGAATTCACTGCTTGCGTGTCGAAGTTGCTCGCCTGTCAGTCGAAATAGCCACCCCTTCATTCGCACTCGGAGTTGCGAAGGAGCAAGCGTGGCTGAGCGTAACATCAGTTTCACGCTGTGGATGTTTCTATTTCTCACCCTATTGAGCAAGTCGAGTTTTTTTGTGTATATGGAAAAACACGCACTGATCCCAGTGATGGCAGCGGTGTTGGCGGCGATGGTGGTGGTAGTAGTGGCTGTCGGTTGATGCTGCTACCGCATCAACCAGCAGAGACTTCAAGGACTCGGACGACTGACGTAACTCAATACATATCGTAACAATCATCATATAAGTTCACGCTTGACTTCACCCTAGGGTGAGAGGTTTCGACCGTTTAATATTCGCCCATCAGAGTTCTAGCATAATAACCGACACGACTCCTCATGGCGGGATCGTCGCCGTAATTCAATGTTCATCTTGATCGAAGCATCGAATTTACCGCTGTCATTATTCGCGGGTCTTACCGTTTTAGATGAGTTGTTATTCAATCAAGTCCCAGTCCTCTCACCTTGACACGAGCTCCGATTTTTCTCCTCGAATTTCCTTGCCGCTCGAGGTATACCGAATTTCTTGAATGCCCTTCTGCGACCTGAGTCCCCCGACCCGGTCTGACTGAGTGAAGCCCTTCTCCAAAACTCCTCGTAGTCCTGGTAGTCGCTTCAGAGCCGAGCTGGCAGATTTCAGAAAAATCTTGTTTCTAGTCTCCAATCACGCATGACTCATTGACGAGAGCTTGAAAATGAAACGGTTCGTCGACTGGGACGAGAACGCATCATTTTAAAGGACGAGAAGAAATATGGAGTCCTTGAAATTCTGGCAGAACCTCTTCGCCGGAGACAATTCCATTGCAGACCAAAGCTGTGGTGCGGCGGCAGCAACGAACGCTCGAAAAGATTTTTTTCTCTCTCGTCGGGCGTGGAGTCATTCTGTTTCGTCGTCAGGGTCAAATGATTCTAGCGCTGACTGATTGTGAGATGACGCTGACATAACCGCGTGCGCCACAAACGAGCTGCGCCCTCAATAAATAATTCAATCAAGAAAGCTATGACGGCAAATGTGGATTTCTGCTCCAGTTCATTGCCACTGCTGGATTTCCCTGCGTTCGCTTGTCCTCGATGACTTCTTGTCAACGGAATGGTGCATCCCATTCGGAATCCCTTATCGGTCTCCGCGGAGAGGAGGAAAAAACTACGGCGATTCTCCACTGACGGGCTGTCAGACGTACACCATCCCGCTTTTCCGATCCGATCGTCGATTATACGCGGGAAGAAACTCCCCCTACGATCCCGAAGACTGCAATTTTTGATTTGTTGTAGGTTGGGCTGGAAGTTCTCATTTTGAAGGAGCGTCGCTACAAATGATTGATCCGGGAGCCCGCCTCTTTCGTCTCCATTCCGGGAGTTTCCTCCAAGATGGCTCTGGATGGAAACTCAACGAGACATGCTCAGGAGGACTTAGACGTTTAGTTCTTGAGTTCCGGATCGTCTGTAATGTGGTCGTCGCGAGTCGTTTTTTTTCCAGACTTCTGTAGACAAGCCAACCAGACGAACGAATGCGACTTGGAACTGGGAAACTATTATTCTTATCTGTGTAAAACGCGACGGCACAAGGCTAGATCATTGACTTGCCGAAGGAATCTATTCGCCCGCAACCTCGTGCATCTAGCCCTGGGCTGTCGATAACGATCAGCCGAATCGGTCATGAACGATATCTAATCAGATCTGTCTCTTCGATTACAGGTGCTCGTCAATATGGCAGGCTGCCTACTCACTCTACTGGGGAAGCTGATACAGGTGTTGGTGTTTGGTCAGCTGCGCGTGTCTGAAGAACAGCATCTCAAAGACAAATTCTGGAACTTCATCTTCTACAAGTTCATCTTTATCTTCGGGGTGATGAACGTCACGCACGTGGAGCAGGTTCTCAATTGGAGCGCATGGTTTGCCCTGCTCGGGTTTCTGCATCTCATGACAACTCTCAGCAAGGACCGTTTCCAATACGTGAGTATAGCGACAATTATCGTCATTAGAGAAAACGCCGCGAAGCGTGCCATGCTTCGTCGAGTTTTTCGTACTACGGCGAATGAAGAGAGTCGCGCGTGGCGGCATTGATGACTCTCGCTTCTGGCGCGTGTCCAGCGTTCGATTGAGATCACGACTACCGTTACACGAGTAGATGTACGTCGAGAATCGGACGAAGAATAGAGGTCCCCGGCTCGAATTTAGTTTTTGACGTAGAACTACGTCATTGCGCTCGTTAGAGGGGCTATTGGTGAAAATCTCGTGTAACGGAAGTGACTGTTTTTTGTCGAACAGGAATCGGCGTCAAAAGACCCGGAAAAACTGTCTCAAGGTTGGAAACCTACGAACTAAGCTCGGCATCCATGTACGTGACTCTCTGCGCACCCCCATTTCACACAAAAGCTCCCCCACTGAGAGCACCGGAACCGCGCGAAGAGGAGTAGAAATTCAAAATTGATCATATGGCGCTTGGCGTTCACGGTCTGCTGCATTGGCTCCGTGGTAGGCCGGGTCAATGACTGACGGGTCTTCGAGTGTGTAGCGCCTTTGAGTGGTGGCATAAGGTCGAGTCCTTCTGTTGTGGAATTATGCAGTTTTCCGAAACCTCAATCTCTGTTTCTGCAGTCCAGTCCAAAGAAGTTCCACATCTCCCCCACGATGTGGAGCGCTCAGTGTTTGCCTGTAGACGAAATTCGTCAGGGATTCCAAACTTGAATGCTGCACAGCAAGAACATTGCTCTCAACCGTGTCACAAGTTCTATGCAAGCGGAAAGATATAGGCTCCAAGGCGGATCTATTCGACCTGTAGCCGCGCTCGTCGTGTTGCGCGCTGCGTTCGCTGCCGCGGCTGTTCTCTGACAGCCGCACCGATTGGAATCAGGAATCAATGCGCCACAGCGGCGGCCGCTCCTCTCCGAAGCCACGCTGACAGGAATCAATGGTGAAGGAACCAAAGGAGATTCCCTCGGTTCAATATAATGACAGTGCGGATTCTGGTAATCGACTTGGTTTTCGGTGAAATCGAAATTCTTGATGTCGTTCATTCCCGAAACGGGAACTTCGACTTTCAGTGGAAAGTAGTGGACACAATTGCCGGCGGGGGTGGCCGATGGCGGCTCCTGTTCATTTTGCAGCAATCCGAGGAGCTCTTCGTCAATCCCATCATTGATCAATTCAATCAACCTATCAAACCCATCAATCTCAGAGTTGGAGGAACGAGACTCCGTGGGCTTGATTTTTTGGACGCGCGGGGATGATCATTCATTCCTCAATAAATTATAGTTTACTCGAACACATCGTGGATACGGCTCTCCTATTTTTTAATTTGGATCTGATATGTCGAACAAACGATTCAGATTGCGAGGCGGGATCATGACCCATGTCATCGGCGATGACTTCCCAATAAGGCGGATTGCTCCGACGAGACTAGCCGACAGACGCTGCAAAAATGGATGCGTCCGCAGCTCTCTCTCGGAGCATATCGTGTATGAGTTCGACATCTGCACAAAGAACTCATATCTCTCATAGAATTACAGATAGCTCCGGTGGCGCGACGACCCGTTCTTCGAGAAAATATCTCTAGAAGACATCGGGAGGTGAAATGAAGGTTGCTTGTGAATAATTGCCGGTTGTGGGATAGATTATGAGTCGAGATTAACGGAAAGCCGTATAGGTCTGATTAAGTAATGCGTCCGAGAGAAGAGAGAGGACACAGTTAAGTCGCTTAAGTCGAGTAATTGAGCGTTAGTATCTGGACTGTTGAATGATCAGAGCCGACATTTTTCGATCGTTAAACCGCGCGTGCGTTGCTATCCTTCACATTCTCTTTTCCGAAATTATGATGATGTGGGATGGACATTGAGTCGATCGAAGAAGAGCATCGGACTCAACCTATCAGAGAGCCCGGGACAAAAAAATTTAAGGCTGTTCGGCCGAGGGCCGAATCTATGTTTGCGTCGAAGACGCCAGTTTTTTTTCTCGCTTTGATACGGTTTTATTTTTGCCCATATGAGGCAGAGGCGCGCACGGGGGGGCAAGGGGGCCATGGCCCCTACCTAAATTCGTCGGTTCCAATGCTAAAGTATGGACCCCGAGAAGGCGCGTCATCATTTTCGGTCTTCTGGCCCCCTCCAAAACTCTAGTTGCCCGCCCCCAAGATAAAATCCCGTGCGCGCCCCTGATATGAGGATGGAAAACACTCTATATCGGTTTCCACTGAAGTGCGACCCATGACGCTACTGATTAATGAGAGATCATATGAATTATCCATTTGAGTGCTCCACTCATTCTAAACGAGCGCATTCTCCGTAGTTCTACGCGAACTTCGGTTTGGCCCTCAGCCGAACCGGCGTCAAGTTTTATTTTGAGTATTCTGGATTTCCATGAGCTCTTCCGAGCACGAGTCTAGATTCTTGCGTCCTCTCCGACCGAGGGGGACTGGCTGGAGGAAGGACGTCGGAAAAAACGAGAACCGTGTCGTCTATTATTTTGTCGAGAGCGAGCCAAGCACTCTGTGAGCGAGTAGTCGATCCCGAAAGTACAATAGACAAGAACGCGTCGAGAATGGGATTTTTCTTCTGTCGCAGAAGCGTCATTACCTGTGGTCTGCTTGCACTTCCGAGCTGGCCTTGAACGCCGCCGACGGTCCGCTGGTGAGCTGTTGGCGAGCGAATTATTATGTAATGACCAGTAATTCTGAATGATGTCCCTCGCTCTGTTTCTTTTTTTTGACGGTTCGTGGCATCGGTAACCCTGGGTTCGATCGGTGGACCGATTGAGCTCATCTCCTCACGAATGCGGATAATCGGATAACATCGATCCAAGAGTTACAGCACCGGGAATCAACTTCACTCCGTAAGCTCTGGCCGATACTTATTGGGTATATATTTTTTTCCAGCTGTCATTCTCACCTTCGATCCCCGCTGGCGTGCACTTTCGACTTGTGGGGCTGCTTTGCGGTGTCCAGGTGACGTGCGTCCTGTGTTTCGCCATCTGCATACTTTGCGGAATCTACCACGGCCTTCATACGTTTGCGCTGATGGTAGCCGAAGTGGCTCTTGTGTCTCTCAACGCCGCCTACGTGCTGGCGAGGTATACCCTCCACGTGGTGGACTCGAAAACCAGCGAGCGACTCTGGGACAGTAGAGCGGGCTGCGTTTACTACACCGAGCTCGGCTTTGAGCTGGCAACGCTCCTCGTCGACTTCCTGCATCATCTGCATATGTTGGTAAGTTGAGAATCCGACTTTGATCTTCTTTTCTCTCTCGGAGCCTCACTGTAGAGCATAAACGCTCTGCCAGGATACTCGTGGATGCGATTCCCTCAGCAGACTTTTCGTCGGGGAATTCCCGGGAATCTTGTTCATCTCTAAGTGAGTGGTCTCCCCACCGATCTGCATTCAAAGCTATCAGAAGTCGAAACGCGTGGGGAAACGTCCCGCGCTCCCGGTATATTCCCTGGTTTCTGTGAAGTCCGTTAGTGAGATGCAGAAGCGGAACCTGACGACTCCCTGAGCTGTAAAATGGACTGATTGTTGCGAGACCGCAGAGTGAGACAGAAGAGACGAAATAGGAGACGATCAAGAACAGATCAAATTGAAATAAGCGAGAAGATCAAGAGGCTCCTCTTCCCCGTTTGAATAAATCGCCCCTGGATTTCATCTGAGAGGATCAGAGCTCAGGGAACTCGGAAGATCCGCGACGACGATCCCGGCGTTTTCCACTCAAACTTTTTGAACGATTGAGTGACTTCTGCTGAGACGCTCGCACGCGTAGTTTTAGCTGACTGATAACGGGGGCATTTTTTTTATCTGGGCGTGGAAGTCAACGCAGTCTGACTCTGGAACCGCAAGCTCCGGGAGTCCGTCTCGATCCGTCAGAGCCTCTAACTCCGAGGCAACATTGCCGACAACAGCGGTCAAGCCTCCCTTGGGACCTTATCGTTCGCTTGCCATACACCGAAAGCAGCTCGAAGGTGATCAATATCCCATCGTCATAATGGCGTTATATCACTTGGACCTTCGCTAGCTTCGAAAATGTTCTGGAAACATTCGCGAACCGGTCCCTGAGCTTCATGGATTTTCTGTTGTGACGGCTCTCTTTCGTAATACTCGCGACTTTCACTCGTAATAGGGCATTACCCCGAATCGAATCAAATACTGTGTTTGTCTCGCCAAACACTCCGGCGAAAGTCAATCGCTGTCGGGGTCCGTCATCGCGATGCTCACGTTTAATTTGTCGCAAAGCGAACGGGCCCTTGTGGACGGACACCACTGCAAGAAAATAAATAGACGTGTTTTATCGGATCGACGTGGCTCCCGAGGGGGCCAGTTTTTCCCGATTAAGAGCGATTTTAAGAATTCTGCCCTCTGCTCATCGTTCTAGATCTATCTCCAGCTTTTCTCAAATAAATTGCACCGAAAATGGAGCCATCCGAATGCATGAAGGACCGATACTTGATGCCGATATTGAACTTGAGAGTTTTTTTTCTAAACGAATTTTTCTACCGCAGATATGGACGAACACGATGCTATCGATGGCTAGTCTCGTCATCTCGATGCAGCTACGCTGGGCCTTTAACGAGATTCGTCGTCGGATTCTCAAACATCGGAACTACCTTAAAGTTCTTCGGCACATGATGGCCAGTTATCCTATGGCCTCGCTGGACGAACTCACCAAAAATTCCGATGATTGCGCCATTTGTTGGGATCTCATGAGTACAGCCCGAAAATTGCCTTGCGGGCACCTCTTCCACAAGTAAGATAGACGGCTCGGGAGCTCAATATCCTCCTGCAGCCCCTCGACCCTGTTCCCTTAAGAGCTGCTTCATTGAATATCGCGAACACATACTGACTCTCTGTCTCTTTCAGCGCTTGTCTGCGGTCGTGGTTAGAGCAGGATACGTCGTGTCCGACCTGTCGGATGACGTTACAGTCAACAGATTCGTCAGAAGGTTTCTTCGGATCGTTGAGCTTCAGCTCTCTGCAGGTCGAAGCCAGTGCGACCGTCCACCCTCGACAGTTGCCGCCAGGCGGCCCCCAGGTGACGAATCACCTGTTCCACTTCGACGGGTCGAGGTATTTCAGCTGGTTACCCTCCGTCTCTCTGGAGGTTTCTCATTCAAATCTGCTGCCCCAGAGCGAGACAACGAACGTAGTCGGATCGGTCGACCACCAGCAGTTGAACCGTATCGTAAGTATTCGGACCTGTAGGCAGGGAATGGAGATATGAATCTGTAGTTTGGCCGAGATCATGTAGCATGTTGTGGCGCGAACAAATACCGGCCTCACGTGCGCCGGCTGGTGCCCCACGCTCGCCGTCACCGAGAATGCGCCGGCTCGCGAACCCGTCTCCCGATTAGCGACTCTTCCACTCCCTACTGTTTCCCCAGAGTGAAAGTATTTCTCCTATCCATTCAACAAGCACGCACAACTTCTCATTGCAAGATGGCGAATGATTGAGCATGCTCGTCCGAAGCACTCTTTCTTTAGTTTTTGGGAGAAAAATCTCATCAGCGTAACGGTGGGATTCCCAGCACCCTGATCCTCTTGGAGGAAGCGGGTTAATTCCCTCGCCGAGCGCTGGGTTCCGACTAGAGACTCCTGCCTTTACACTAGCTCCCGAGCTCTCGAGGGTTCGCTCGACGTTTAACTATAGGGACTAGAGTCATCGATTGATGCTGGCAAACAATCCGAGGATCTCCGTTCATGGTTCCTTGCTTTTCCCGCTCCGACCTGCGGTCCACAGGTGGAGGAACTGGCCTCGATGTTCCCGAACACCTCGCGATCAGTCATCTTGCAACATCTACGAAACAGCCAAACTGTCGAACACGGCGTAGAGAACTTCCTCAGTGAAAAACTGCTCGCTCCAGCTGTAGGTTTGACCGAAGCATCTGCCCGTCTGCACTTCTACACATCTGTAATCGCTTTATTATCATCGATTTATATTCGCTGTGCTTTCCTGCTATCCTCTCCCCAACCATCCTGCACCCGATACATGCATGGCGTACTGTCCGGTGTCGTTCGTCTTGTAGTATGTGATCTTGCATGAGTCGTCAAGTTTTTCCACGACGGGACTCCGAAAGGTCCCGAAAGTGTCCGAATCTCTCCCGCTCTTGATTCTCTGAAATGTATCCGAACCTACCCCACACGAGAGCGTGAGTCGCATGCTTGCGCTGTCGTGATGTTTTAGTGTACGCCCGCTAATTCCTCGTCCACATCCTTTGGTAGATTACTTGTTTTTTCCCCAATGCTCGCCGTTTCCGGGGTCATACGCTTATCCGTGCTTGAAATTCTTGAATGTTGTGAGCCCCGGCGATCCCACATGCCACGGCGATTCGACTTCCAGTATCACTAACGGCCCGCGTTTTTTCCTTATTCCCGCAGCCTCATGCTAGCAGTGCAGGAGACGATTCCGCGAGCGGCCACAAAAGTCCAAAGATCCACCAATTCAGTCGTGATCCGACTGTCTTCCAAAATACAAATCTCTCGAGTACAACTGTGATAGCCAACCAAGAAACATCGAGCAATTCTTCAGCCACCCAACGAGGGGAATTAGAACGTCCTCTCACAATTGATGATCTGTGGAATCGATTCGACGAAACCAACAGGCATCCGGATCCCGAAGAGCGAATGTTCCCGGTCGGAGCCGCCGTTCGTCACAACGAGCTCCAACAACGGAAGCGAGAGCTCCTGGATGCTTCACGAAGGTATCAATTCTCTCTGTTGAATGATTTCGGACACTATCAGGCATCGATGCTCTCGTACGGGTCCAGAGTGCCATTCTTCACTGACCATTTCCTCCGTTCTAGGCGGTTTTTGGAACGTTCTCACCGAACCCGATCCTAACGGAAAGGAGGAGGATCTTGAAGGAGTCAGCTGTTGAAGGCGAGCGAGCGCCGGAGATCGATGGAGAGCCTTGACGCCATGTTGTTGAGTGACAACATCCAATTAGCGATGTCCTTCCTGCAGGAATCGACTACTGCATCGTCAACTATAGCTTTATGAGTTGGATTTTCATTGATAATCCTGGCCCAGCCACGCTGTACAGCAAAACTGTAAAAATGAAAAAAGTAAAGCGATCACCTCCGAGGCTGATTTTTGCCTCCACGATGAAGCCCAACATCCCAATCGTCCTTTAGATCCGAAAACACACCGTTTCCCCCCGCCATGAATGAGAGAATTCTTCAAATTGAAAGCGTCGACTCCCGAATCGGGTCGCGTTCGAGTAGTTGCCGCGATGGGATGCGATGAATCTAAATCAGACTCAGGAAAAAACTTGAATTCGGAAAATATCTGCGAGCGGCTGGATTCCAAACCCCCAGAAAACGATTGAAGCATCCACAACTCGAATCGAGCGAAGTTGCCTCTAGTTTTAGGTAGAGTGTCTCTTTACTACTGTAATTACCGCAGATTGGAGTTCAGATCGAGTGTAGTAGGTGCGTTTCCTTTCGCGAGCCTGGTATCTTGTGAGATAAGCTGTCAGTCTTAGTTTGTATGCATATTTGAGTTTTGGAGTCTTGGGTCACTTAGCTCGTGTATCCACAATAATTGTATCGGAGATTGAACGTGCTATTCTACGCCCGCCAGTCCGCGACCTCGATAAAGAATCGGGAGCGGTCTAGTTGATAAGCATCAGGCACGAAGAAATTCACAGAGCAGAGCGAGACTATCACTCGAAATCCACGGACGTCAAGGCCGAATGACTGCTATGAGAGGCGCGAAGAAGTTGATTGTAGTTCGCATGAAAGGGACCGGAAATTGTGCCGAAATGGAGAACGGAAAGGAATGATAGAGACAGAATTATTTGGAACTTGTTTTGTCAGTCTATCAGAGATATTCGGCCCGATCCTGTTCTGCAGTAGATGTAGAGAATCAGCGTTCCCCTGTTATCAGACCCTTATCATTTTCACTAGAGGCATCTGAGAGAAAGCCGAGTGTTTGACCATGGACATGTGTAGATTGTAAATGCCTAGAAACCTCAACTCAGGCGAATCGTCGTCCCTAAAGTCGATGAGCCTGCTGTAGATATAGTAGCGCACATATGAGCCAAACTGCGAGCTGACGGCGAGATGAATCCCTATGACATTGTTTCGGAAGGATTCAGCATATGATTAGTTTGAAATAAATACCGGATATAGTTTTCGAAGGCCGTCAAGACCCTGAGTGATTAATCGGGCTGAGCGATTCCGCCAGAATTTTTCCAAGCGAGAGCTTTTCTTGGCTCGAGTATCCAGCTGTGCGACGATCCTGGATCCTGATTCGAGCCCCTTCAAAACAGGATGAGGAGCTTCGGGTCGGGAAGTAGGTCATGTCACACGTCACTCGGGGCTCTTCACGATACCGTCCACCGGCCGAATATTCGGCCCACGCTCTTCCCTGGGTGATTCTGACGATGCGCGGGAACCCGCGATGATTTTCCCCCTTCGCTTATGGTTTGTACCTACGCTCGCTCTGCCCCAAAATTGGCTCCAGAGGCCGAATCGACGTCAATCCGAACTTGGCAGCCGCCGAAGAGGAGGACGGGGACCCTGAGATTCCCGCCCAGTGAGCCGGCTTAGCTATCGCATTATGCGTCAGGGGCAGGACCAGAGATGAAATTTCAGGGGACATCCTCAATTTATTCAAATGGAGACCTTCACCGGGGTGCGATCCTTGGAAAGCTCTTTGTGATGCGTGGATTTATGGCAAAATGAATTCTATGTCAACTTGAGCTAGATTCAGGTGGTTCAGTTGAGTTTGAGTTTCGCGAACTCTTCCGCCATGTTCATTGCCTCGCTTAGAGCTTCGGGATTCGTTCCCGAGGCCTGCGCCGACTCGTCTTTTCCACCTCCCTTGCCTCCGATCACGTCTGCGATGTGTCGGACCCATTCGGATGCAGACAAACCCTTATCGGCCACAACCTGTTTAGGGACAGAGCTCAAGCACACCAGTCGTTTCTTTTCTTCATCGATTGAGAACAACATGGCGGAGGCGTTCGGTGAGAGCGTTCTGATCTGCTTCATGACGGCGTCCAGAGCTTTCCCGTTGCCACCGACTTGCAGTTTCCTGATCAGATACGGAGGAGCATCGCCTGCGGGGAAGAAAATCGGAGTTTGAGAAACCCAGCGAGTTTTCTAATAGTTTCGATTCTTGGTGGGATCTGGGCAGGAACGATATTCCTACCTTGACCGAGAACCCTCTTGATTTCTTCGAGAGCTTCCATTTGAGCGGCGGCCTTATTTTGCTTGTCCTGATCGTCGATAACCTTCTTGATTTTTTTCAACTCGCTCCGTAGGTCGTCTTTCCTCCAATAGCTTATACTGCTCTGGGAGATCTCGTCAGAGAGTTCTGTTATGCGTTTGACGAGCGACTGGAAAACGTCAAGGGGAAAGGCGGGTCGATGATTGAGTAGATGATCGAATAGCTTCCCGAAATCAGCTTCAGACACGACCAAGGTTTCCCGATGGGAATAATGAAGATCTAACCTTGTCCTTTCCAACGAGACTCTTGAGAGTATTCACTTCACTCTCAAGGTGTTCGGCGCGTTTCGTCGCCTTCGCGGCTTCGGTACCTGTCAAAGCCATGATCCTTCTGATACCTTTGGCAATGGCTTCTTCCTGGGCAATCACGAAGTCACCTGCGGGAAAAATGGTGTCACTTTACGGTCGATAGACCCCTGGCGCCTAAGAGTGAGCTGGCTTGTTCGGGATGTTGCGACTCGCGAGGGAATGCTAGACATGTTAACGCCAGATGAGACGCTCACCTATGTGGCCTGCGTTCTGCAAATGGGTCCCTCCGCAGAATTCGACCGAGGTGTTCAGAGCGTCCCCTCTGTCGGGGTTCGCCAGGAGATCTTCGACGGAAACTCCGATAGAGACCACTCTCACGGGATCGGGGTATGTCTCATTGAACACAGCGCGGAGACCCTGGGATGGAGTAGAGGAGTTGAGACCTATCGTTTTCAAAACATGATCGCGTGGAGGGTCCGATCACGCCTTCTCCGACTTCCGAAATTCACCTTGACGGCTTTCGCTTGACTCAGACTGCTATCCTTAGCGTATACGGGTCCGTTCCGAGAGACAAGTTCTACGGCGGCTTCCTCGGCTTGCTTAACTTCTTGTGCGGTCATTGGTCGATTCGAAGCGAAATCGAATCGCATACGTTCGGGCGCAACGAGTGATCCTCGCTGGTCCGCATCTGCCGAGAGCACTTTCCGCAGAGCGTAGTTCAGCACGTGGGTACCGGTGTGGTTCTGCATGACAGCGACCCGGCGTGTTTCGTCGATCTGGAGTTTGAGCTCGTCACCGACTTTCAAGGTTCCTGCGATCAGATCCAACATTAGCGATGAGATTGGGGACCTTAATCTGAACAGGAAATGAGAGATTCGACCATTCAAAGGATTCTAAGCGGCTTTCTCCTGCTACGTACTGACCTGCGGCGAGGCGGCCGATATGTACCACGAAACCACCCTGTAGATGTACCTCGGTGACAGCGAACTCGACGTCCTCGTTCTCGACGTGTTGCAAGAAACCTGTGTCATAGATTTGTCCGCCCTGTTCAGCGTAGAAGTTCGTCCTATCCAAGACAATCCCGCATAGATCACCAGCATTGACTCCGTTGACGAATTGCTTTTTCGATCGGATCGCCACGATTTTCCCTTCAATAAGACATCGATTCATTAAAGCGAGGCGAACCAGTCTCGACGACAGAACCTAATTCATTCCGGAACTAAGTTCCGTGGACAGGACTCGACATCCGATCCGAGAGAGTTTTCTTGCGGGAATCCGTCCGTCCCTGCTCAAAGAAAGGATATTCCGAGGGCTGCTCACCCGTGCAAGGCTGGAAGGTGTACTTCGCAGATTTTCCAGTTCCTTCTGCGGTATAGACGTATTTTGGGGAATCATCGGTTGCAGGGAGCTTCTGCTTGTCCTGGAGTTCAGCGATCGCGTGCACGTCGAGTTTCGAGGAGTCGTCAGCCTTGTCCGCCCCGCCCTGGGAGGCGAGGATGGCTGCTTGCTTCGCTTTCTCGTAACCGGCTGAATCGACGAAGATCCCCGATTCTTCCACCATTAGCTGCGTAAGATCTACGGGGAAGCCATAGGTATCGTAGAGACGCCAGGCGACTTCACCCGGAAGGAGACCTCCCTTCTCGATCTTCGAAACCGCTTTTGTTAGAAGCCTTCGACCACGAGACAGCGTTTTCAGGAATTGAGTCTCTTCCTCATTGATGATCTCCATCACGGTGTCCGGGTCTTTCTTGAGCTCTGGGAAAGCATCTCCTAACAGGCCGACGACGACCGGCACCAGGCCAGCGAACATCCCGGGCTTCGCGTTCATCTTCTCCGTAGCGTAACGGATAGCCCTGCGAAGGATACGTCGAAGCACGTATCCTCGGCCGACATTATCGGGGCGTCCGCCGTCACTGAGCGCGATGGTGAGAGTTCGTGCATGATCTGCGAGTACTCGGTAGGCCATGTCGATCCCGTCGACATCTTCCGCGCCAACTTTCCCGGTGTAAGCTCTCACCCCGGTGGACTTCTGGATGGCGTCGAAAATCGGAACGAACACGTCGGTGTCGTAATTGGACCGCTTGTTCTGGATGACCGATACAAGCCGCTCGAAACCCATGCCGGTGTCGACGTGCTGCTTCGGCAGCGGACGGAGGCTGGAGTCGGCCTCTCTGTTGTATTGGATGAACACGAGGTTCCAGATCTCGAGGACATCGGGATCGTCCATATTGACCAGATGGGCGGCGTTTCGGCCCCCTATGCGGTCAAAATGGATTTCGGAACAGGGACCGCAAGGGCCTGTCTCTCCCATTTCCCAAAAGTTGTCCTTCATGCTCCCCGGCAGAATGTGATCCTCGGGGACCCCCAGGGCCAGCCAGATACCCTTGCATTCGTTGTCGGGTTCCAGACCAGCCTCTGGATTTCCACCGAAATACGTCACGTAGAGTCGATCCTCCGCGAGACCGAACTCCTTGGTCAGAAATTCCCAAGCCCAGGCACAGATCTCCTTCTTGAAGAAATCCCCGAACGACCAGTTGCCCAACATCTCGAAGAACGTATGATGGTATACGTCTTTGCCGACATCGTCTAGGTCGTTGTGTTTGCCTCCTGCTCGGATACATTTCTGGGAGTTGACGGTGCGTTTCCATTTCGCGGCCTCGGTGTTTGGATCAACAGTGCCCAAGAAAATGGGTTTGTACTGGTTCATGCCGGCGTTGGCGAATAGCAAGGTGGGATCGTCGTGAGGAATGACGCATGATGAAGGTACGAACGTGTGTTGGTACTTCTTTTGGAAGAACTCGATGAATCTCGTGCGAACCTCTTTGCAGGACGTCATGCTTCCTGGAAGGAAATATATTTTCAATTTGCCAATCTGCAACTGAGCGCTCCTTCAGGGAGGACGTCCGATGAATTTTGCAGAAAAATAATGGGCGAAGGTTCTGGCGTTCATCAGACTTTCCATAATCAAAGAGGCGGGTCTCAAAACTTGTACAAGATCTGGGTCAGACAACGGTCAGTGACGGACACTGTGGCTCCTCAGTGCTCGCCGCCACGGCTGTCCCGTAGGGACATCCTTCACGGCAGACGATTCTCGGACTGAGAGGCCTTTATTCTCAATCCGGAGCAGATATCCCGGGTATCGAAGCGAACTTATCGGCACGGAATCAGAATTGCTCGCTCAGTAAAGAAAGTGAGATCTCGAAGGGTCTCATACTTCTTCGAGACCTCCGTGACAAAGGGAGTCGAGCGCTGAACTACTCCGCCGCGTCTGATGCAATACGAGCCAGATACCGGCGAGTCTGTTTGTCAACTCGAAATTCGAATCAAGTTGATTCGGGATTTTTCGGGACCCTTCCCTAGGAAATGGACAATCTTCACTTCATCTGACAGTCGAAGGGGGTTTCCGAAGGGGATGAATGAGAGAAGGCACGAAGGGGAAAATTTTCCAACGGGATTTGACCACGCGTTTTCCGAATACCATCACCAGGAGGCAGACTATCCTGCGTCAAATCTGTGCTAGCGGAGCATATAGAGCTCGTGAGGCTTCGTATACGCGCTTCAGCAGTACGGTAGCGCCGTACTTTTGCCATATGGCGGTCGTTCGGTTTCTCTGACTGGGACACCGGCGAAGTTGTTTTTGCCGCTGACAGATACGGCGAGAACGGTCATAGAAACCAGGTGACACTCACGTTGTTGAGCTCGCTCCGAAACTATAGGATGTCACTCGGGTTCGATTCGAGTCCGAATTCAAGTTACCCGTACGACAGTGAGCACGCTGTGGCAGTCGTCGAACAGGGATCCACGACTTCAGCAGCCGCTAGACGGCGCTCCCGTCTGCGCTAAAATCTGATCTCTCGGGTTCCGGTCCTTCTCACGGTGCTCATGGAACATAAACGCGCGAGGTGAAAAAATCCGTCCAAAGGAAGAGGCCTGACAAGTCCTACATCACCGCGCTCGCATAGTTGAGGAACGTCGTGATTGAGGTCGAATGGTGCCGCCTGACGCCAGATCCGTCGTTCCTCCGAGAGTCCGTAGTCACGAATAGAGTGCGTTGGGAACTGATATCAGACTTTAGCAGAGTAAACATAGCCCCACGTGGGAGATTCGAACACACAATCGAAAAACATGACGGGGGCTAAGAAATCGGCCAAAAAGGCCCTTCAGCGGAGCAAAACCCCGGGAGAACTGGTGAGTCAACACTTCAATGAAAAGAAGAAAGTCTTAGTGAGCGCGCGAAATTGTCGTGCCATGTCTCTCGCCTTATGAATTATTGCTTGGGAGTCCGGCGCGGACGGGCAACGGCACCCGACTCCATCGAAGAATATTATTTCTTCATCGAGTGGCCAGCTTTCTCGATTATATCCTTCGACTTAATTTGAGAACCTTCCTGTGGATTGAACGAGTCTTGCGATATTCGGGAGCCAATGGAGTTGTCCGCTCGATGCGGAGTTTCTGTTGTCCACTCATAAAATTGACCAGCTGAGTGAAATGAAATTAGGACATCGCTGTTGACGGTGTCGAAGAGAGCGAAGGAAAACCGCTCCCCTGGAGAAATCCTAAAGAGCCCTGATGATCTCCTCGGAGCAATTCTCGATACTCTAAGACTCGATCCGGCATTGTTGCAGCTCGTTCCATTTCAGGGCGGCAAGAGCAAGAACACGAGCGAGAAAAAAGCGATCCAAGGCAAGAGTAAAATCCAGAAAGCAGCTCCGAAGCCTCTGTTCGAAGAAGATGACTCCGATGCTTCTTCCGTGCTCGAAGACAGTGAGGATCCTACGTCTTCCGAAGACGATGGAGCTGGAGACGAAGCTGATTCTTCCGAACTCGAGTTCGAGTCCGATGCGGACTCCGGCAAAGAGGAATTGGACCAGGGCGATATAATCGAAGACAAAGAGAAAAACGAAGAAAACGGTGGACCTGAGGCAGAGAAACCGGAAGAGGTAGATATGGCAGATCCATCGAAAATAATGGGAGTGTTCAAAGAAATGAGAGCTTAGTGTTGGAAGGTATCCCTTGATATCACTCGGAATCGCTCTTTCCGATCATAGGAACTCGAAGACGATGGAGTCTCTATGACATTCTGGAGAGCGGACGAGGAAGATTTCAATCTCAAGTCGAAGGTAGACCTGAAGAAGAACAAGAAGAAAGAGCCGCTAGAGATGTCCCCGCAGGATAGAGACGTCAAGCCCAACGGTAAGAGAAGCGCGTCGCCTCGGCCCTCGGCTTCGAAAGACGAATATGAATTCGATTCGTCCGACGAGGAAGATCTCAGGAACACTATCGGGAATGTTCCGATCGAGTGGTACGACAACTATCCCCATCTTGGTTACGACGTCAATGGGAGACGTGTCTACAAACCGGTCCGAGAAGATCAATTAGACTATTTCCTCAAAAAAATGGACGACCCGACATTCTGGCGCACCGTCAAGGATCGCATGACGGGTCAGAACGTCGTTCTATCCGAAGCCGATATGGATCTGATAAATCGGTTGGAGAAGGGCAAGAATCCCGACCCGAATATGGAATCGTATCCAAAATTCGAGGACCTTTACTCGCACGAAGTGATGATCCATCCACTGACGGCGAGACCGGAGGCGAAGAGGAGCTTCATTCCATCACTGCACGAGAAAGCTCTGGTCGGTCGCATGGTCCATCTCATAAAGAGCGGAGTTTATGCCAAATGTTGGAAACCCAAGAAAGAAGAAGGACCGAGGTATTACAATCTCTGGACCGAGGATGAGGATCCCTCTCTGATCAGGAGACTGCGGTCTTTCATTCCGGCCCCGAAAATGAAACTGCCGGGTCACGAGGAATCATACAATCCCCCCGAGGAATATCTCTTCACCCCCGAAGAAGAAGCCGAGTGGCATAATCAGGATCCCGAAGAACGGAAACTGAACTTCATACCGAGGAAATATTCGTCCCTCCGGCAAGTTCCCGGATACTCTGGATTCGTACAGGAGCGTTTCGAACGCTGTTTGGATCTCTACCTCTGTCCTCGTCAGAGGAAGATGCGCATGAACGTCAACCCCGACGACCTCATTCCCGAGTTGCCGAAACCGAAAGACCTCCATCCGTTCCCGGCTTTCTGCTCTGTCGTGTACAAGGGACATACCGACCACGTTCGTTCGGTCTCGATGGAGAACCTCGGTCAGTTCTTCGCCTCGGGCTCAGACGACTGCTCCGTCAGGATATGGGAGACGTTGACTGGTCGGTGCTTCAACACGATCCAATTCGAGGCTCCGGTCAAATGGGTGCAGTGGTGCCCCAACCCTGCGATCGCACTTCTCGCCGTCGCTTCCGGTCCGTACGTTCATTTCGTCAATCCGGGCGTCGGTGACAAAGTCGTTCTGACCAACACCGACGTCATCCTCGAGTCCCTGCCGGAAAGCGAGGGCAGTGCGAAGGGGTCCGGAGAGTGGTCTGTCGTCACCGATGAGGATCTGCGAAAACAGGGTCACAGACTGAGAGTTCATCATAAGTTCGACGTTGCCCAGGTCTCGTGGCACGCGAAGGGAGACTACCTTGCGGTTCTCTACGGCAGCGCTTCCACAACTTCGCTTATAATCCATCAGCTCTCGCTCCGTCGAAGTCAGGTGTGTTGGATGTCTGACCATTTCACATGGGAAACTTTATCTCGGATTAATTTAAGAGAATGAAGAATAACGGCGGAGCTCAAATTAGGTGACCTCTTGACCGATGGATCTCTCGCATTACAGAATCCGTTCAGCAAATTCAACAGTGTCATCTCGCGCGTGATCTTCCATCCGACGCGACCTCATCTCTTCGTTGCAACTCAGACTGTCGTTCGAGTTTACAATCTCGTCAAGCAGGAATTGCAGAAGAAACTCCTCACCAATTGCAAATATGTATCTAGTATCGCCGTGCATCCCAAAGGTTAGATCCAGGATACTCACTTTAGCTGACTTACTGGGTTACCTTCTCCTGAGAGCGTCTAGGCGCGATCAGGAGCCGTCGACATGAAGTAAATCTCCACTTCCTCACTTCCATAGGGGATAATGTCATCGCCGGAAGTTTTGAGGCCCGGTTATCGTGGTTCGACATGGATTTGTCCACGAAACCATACAAAGCGATGAAGTACCACGATTCGGCAATCCGAGCAGTGACGTTCCATCGCAAATATCCGCTCTTCGCTTCAGCATCTGACGATGGCACAGTGATCGTTGCTCATGGAATGGTCTACAGGTAAATCTAGAATAATTCTCGGGCAGCCGATGCGTCAGTGATTGAAACCGGATGGAAGATTGATTTTGCTCGCTTCTTCTTTCCAGCGATCTTCTCCAAAATCCTCTGATAGTGCCCGTGAAAGTTCTACGAGGGCATCGACGCACTAATGATCTAGGCGTTCTCGACTGTACCTTCCATCCCACCCAGCCATGGATCGTTAGCGCGGGCGCCGACGCTACGTTAAGGCTGTACACTTGAGACTGAAATGTTGACATTGATCATGAACAAAGTTTCGATGGCCGAATCCTGAGCTTGATCATTTCACGGTCAGGGAAGGAAACCCTGAACATCTTATTCAATTATGTATGAATGCGGAAATTATCGACCGAAGGCAACGAGAAAAAGTTCAGGTACTCATTGTCAGGAAGAGAACCGCAGCTGTATAGAGGGGGCGATGAAGGGGAAGCATAAAGCCTCATTCTCGCAAAGGAGCAATCGGTGATTTCGTGTCTGACAGTCGTTTGCATTGCTGAAAAATGAAAGTTCCATCCATGGGGTCGTCCTCTGAACTGCTCCGGCAGCTAGCTGTCAATTAGCATCGCCATCTAGACTCTTCGGAAATTCTCTCGGGATGACGTAGTCCGGGGCAAGGCCCAAAGAGATATCCCGGGCGATGGAAACCTTGGCTCTGCGGGAGGCGAACATGATCGAGAGTGCAATGATGTGGGTGGATACTATTATCACTCGACTCCGAATCTGCTCTCGGCTTCACTGAGGGAGGGGGGCATCTATGGCTCTAGGGGCGGGGTTCCATCGCTCAGAGTTTCGGAACCCTCTCCGGCATCATTCCGGATTGGGCCGTTGATGACGTAATCCCTCTCGCATGACGAGACATCGCCCATTGCGCCCTACATGGCGCGACCCAGCTCTTCGAGCTTCATTCTCGAGACCTGAATATCGAACATACTCTTAAAGGAGCTGTTTAGAGGACTCCGGCTAATGAGGTTAGGAAATCCCATGAAAAATTTTACAACTGAATCGAGATTTCGATTTCGAGTACGGAGGTCCGAGATAAGACTCAACCTTGAAAGAGACGGAATGAAGCTGCGAAGGAACGCCTAGGACTGGCCTCCAAGTAACGATACCGGGTACTGCGATGAGCCAAGACGTCAGAAGCGATAATCTGGGTACTTCTGTATTCTCCGATAGAAATTCTCGATGACCCAAGCTTTGCCACTCGACGCTCAGGTCGCTCAGACGCTCTCTTGTAGTCATCTGCGTTCGCAGGGCCAGTCCAGCCATCGACTGAATCCTCCAGAGGGACAAGGTGAACCTCGTGTACAATCGGTTTTCAGGGTTCCGTGCAAGAAGCCGATGCGATGATAAGATAAGGAGGCTCAATAAGTCTAGGACTCGTCATTCGAATTGATCTCTAGTTCGGTCGACTGATATCAGCTTCCGTGCGCACCCCATGCGAGGTCCAGCAACGGGTTCCGAAAAAATCATATATCAATGGATCGATTGTAGGCAGATCTTAAGCGACTCCGGATATCCCGTAAAAAAATTCCTCGAGAGTCTCTTCGACTCTTCGATGATTCACAGCCTCGGCTAATCGCTGAGTGTTCACGCAATGAAAATGTTGGAGGATGCTTGTACTCGTGTCCGGCAAGTTCCCTCGACATTGAGCTATGGTCTCTCACTTGATCGTGAGGGTGGAAAGTACGGGTATGGAAATCTTGATTCAGGATGGATGGATCGTAAGGAGATTGGTCCTCATGACGTTCCGGAAGAAATGCCATACTGCTTGGTCCCATGGCTGAATGAGAAAAAAAAGCCCTCGAGGTGTCCGGCGCGAATTATTTTTGCGACCTCTCCGCAGCAGTTCGACTAGGTGGTAAATAGAAATTTTCGAGATTGCGTGGCTGTATGAGCCGTGAAAGGGAACGGTGCCGAATAATCGAGCTGGCTGCCAGGATTGTATTCCCCCTTCCGGCGAGCCCCGCGAGGTACTGGCGATCGAATCGATCGAGGAGTGCAGGACGCTTGCCTCAATCCTGAGAAGGGCACGGAGAGCATAGACTCCGGGGTGTTCAGACTTGTTCCATCTGCCGGATTCGCAAAAGATCCGACGCGCCAAGGAAGCGAGGAGCTTCGAGGGAGACTGTATGATGGCGAAGAGCGCGACCGAAATCGTACAAGGGGAGTGCAGATCCAGATAGGGGGAATTGAACGTGGGTGGAACAGCTCAAGGCACCAGTGGTCAAATCACCGAAAGGCGGGCCGGGCCACCCTCGGGCTATCGCCCAAAAAGCTCTAAAGTCAGGTCTCCTCCCCTCCCGGGGCGGAGGGGCGAGCTCCCGGAGTCAGGGAAAACTGCTCGAAGGCGGGGAGAAGTCCAGGTGAGCAATTGTGTGACTTTCCACCAATTACATTGCCTCGTGACGGATAATCGGAAATCTTAAAGCCCAGATAGGACTCATGGCTTTGGAATTCCGCAATTTAGGACCCTGACGGAGGAGCCGCGGAATTCCGAGGATCTCAGAGCGAGCGTCATAAAATTGAAGTTCGAATCTGCGGGTCCGAAGTCTTTTTACGTCATTAGGGCAGAGATCAAGAGCCCAGCCCGACCCCTGACTCAGATGACGGCTCGGTCCCCGGGCGAGAGCTCCGTATCTCTTAGCTCAGCGACGGATTCCTGCGAGCCGCTGCAGCCGTGAATGGGAGTCCGCGCGCCTGCTCGCAGCTTCTCTGTACCGCTCAATGCCAACATGGCTGCCGTCTAGCTTTTCTCTCGCAGAGACAATTCGCTCTCAAACGCTTATATCTGAGCCGTCAGAAGGCCGTATCCGCAGTCAGGAGACGAAGTAGTGCACTCGAGGACATCACCTGAAGCCGTGGAAGCTTTGCTTGGGGTTCACACTCGCATGCGCTTCAGTGACTGCGGTAGAAAAGCCTCGCAGGAGAACTCAGCGACAGTGGTACTGTCTGAGAGTAGTGATCTCCTCCGATCGTCTGCGCTCGGAGGACAACATCTTGCAACGGCCCGAAGTCAATGCTTCCAAATTGATTTCGGAAGGATTCGAGGTGACGACGGCTGACAACGAGTCGTTAGAAGTCTTATGGGTGGTGTGGCTGGACCCGCGAACAACAGAATGTTGCTCTCGATGACGGCACGCGAACTAGCCGAAAACGATGACCAGGCCACTAGTCTGGTAATCGACCCATGGTTAGGTTTCCAAACGCACAAAATGAACCTCAGGTTAGTTTCTATTTGTTCTCTGACATTTTATTCGATTGAGTTCTACTTGGCTGGCTCAGAAAACCGTCATCAGCCGGCTTGCGCACAACGGTTCAACTTCTGTCAGTCTGTGTGTGTGTGAGAGTGAGTCCCTGCGTGTTGTGAGGGAGTGTGACGCAGAAAGATTCGTTACTGAAATTATTCAGGGTATCGGGCAGAACCAGCAGGAATTTATCGGTCGCGGTAGACACGAAGAGTTCCGAAAATCGTTCGACGCTGTTGCCCGTAGAGTGTGAAGAGGTCTGGAGGTTTCTCGGGACATCCTTCGGAGAGTCTCGGCAGGACCAGAATTAAATGTCCGCTGAAGACAGTGCTCCCATCGACCGGTGCACGATCAGCCTCTTGTCGAGCTTCTTTTCGACTGATGCGTCTAGCATGTTCTCAAGACGAAGTCTTCAGATAGATGGGATCTGAAGATCGAGAAATCTTCGATTGACTCCATGCAGTGGTGACCGATTGAGAATTTCGACAGGGATTCTCTTTGCGTTCTGTGGGCTCCGATCGGGCAGGGTAACGGTCAGCTGAATGAAATCCATCGGATGTGGATTGAGAAAGGCTCGAGGCGACAATCAGGGGCCTGGAGGTGGTCTATTTTCTGGGTCGGCTGTCAAGTCAACTGGGAGAATTTATCGAATTCCTATCGAAGTCTGAGGAAACATGCGCAGTTGTTTGCCGTTCTTCGTTTGCGCTCCTTGTGCGACTTGCCCTTGACAAGGCGATAATTTATGAGCAGCTCCGGACAAGTGACCGCATTCTCTCGATTGAGAAGCATGTCAGTCTATCTTCCTTTGGGGGGCATCTATCCGTCCTGAATATCAGAACAAAATCATATTTACAAAATCTCGAAAATGTTCCCTCTGTGAGGTGGGAGCATCGGATAACTCCTACAGAGAGAGACCAATCCATTGATCCTTGTCTGCGGTGAATTTATTTTCCGGCGGATCGGAAGGAACCGGAGGTTTCTAATCTTCAGGACCATCTGGAGAGATGAGTACCCATCCGACCAGCGAGTCGAAAGGCCGGAGACAGCTACCCAGCTTCTATTGTTGCCTGCTGGCGCTCATCGTTCTTTCCATCGAAACCGTTGAGCTGCGCTGATTCAGGCGACTCGTTCTTCCAGAGCATCAATCGCTCCTACAAAACCCTCGCTGGATGCTATAGATGATAGCTCATATTTACAGGCGAATATTTTATTGCAGGTTCAGACCCCCCCGTGCAAATGTTCGCAATGCTCAACTCCGACGGATCGTGGAGGGGTTTCGTGTGGATTTCGATTATGAAGCTGCATTCGAGAAATTATGTGCGGGAAATTGGATTCCGCCGGCATGTCTCACGAAGTCGCGGAAGGACGCCTTCAAAGAACACGTGAGTGCGAATATGATCCTAATTACTTCACTTCAGCATCTTTGATCGATTTCGGGGTTGCCCCCCTCCTCGCTCTCGTGCGGCCCACCCCTACGGTCCGATCCCGATTCGAAATCGCTAATTTTTCAATCTTCTAGGTTTACCGGTATTTGCGGCTTTTCGCTAAAGAGAGCGGATTCGAGATCCTGCCCTGCGACCGGTATTCGACCGAGGGTCACATGGGCGCCCGGCTCTGCGCTACTCGGGATTGGCGGAAGAACGATACGATACGGAACCTCGTCGGGTGCATCGCCGAACTCTCGCCAATCGAAGAGAGGCAAATTCTGGTCGCCGGTCGGAACGACTTCAGCGTGATGTATTCTACGCGGAAAAATTGTGCTCAGCTCTGGTTGGGACCGGCGGCGTTCATAAACCACGACTGCCGAGCTAACTGTCGCTTCGTTTCGACGGGTCGAGGAAGCGCCTGCGTCAAAGCGCTCCGAGACATCGGGATTGGCGAAGAGATCACGTGCTTCTACGGCGAAGACTTCTTCGGTGATTCGAACTGTTTTTGCGAATGCCATACCTGCGAACGTCGGGGTAGCGGGGCGTTCCGCGTGGACGCATCCGACGCACAATCCGACGTTGGAGACTCCTCGTCGAGTCAGAGTGAAGTCGACGGAGCCCGAAAATACTCGTTTCGCGAAACAGACAACCGACTCCGTCGGATACTCAACGGCGGACCCGAGGCCGGCGTTGATCCTACGACCTCGCCCAACGGAACGGCAACAACGACGGCGATGACCCCGGCAGCGATCTCTTCATCGGCAGTCGCGACGACGACCACGCAGGTCGCAGCGGCCACCACAACAGCTGCGAACAGCCGCTGGTCCGAGCGACGGAACAGCCAGACTTCCAATGGTTCTCAAGAATCCAAACGACCTCGACGGTATAAACGTCGTTCCACTGTCGAGGACATGATGCCGGAAGATACGATCTCTCCGAAGGAATCGGACCAACGAGTGAAAGACGCATTAATGCTGAAGAACGAGCGTCTGAGAATCCCTAACGACCCTGTCCCGGTCGATAACAAACCCCCTACGATCCATAAAACACGCTCGTCGACGCGTCATCAGCCACCAAAGAATACTCCGAGGAATAACGAGAACCGTCGTCGAGGGAAGCTCAACCTGAACGTGCCCGCCACAAACTCATCGCTGAGCTCTTCAGCGCGAACCTCAGAAGACGACGATCGATCGGTGGACGGAAGTTTCTCGCGACGGCGGAGTACGCGAAGAAGCTGTGGAGGCGACTCGAGAATCACCAATCGAGACCGGGATACTGCGGTTCAGGTAAACAAAGTCTCCAGTCAGAGCGATGCGGTCGGCAACCGGGCCCAACGCGTAGACTTAGCGCATCATCGCCACCATCATCATCACCATAATCATCATCGCCATGATGAGTACGATGGGAGTCAGCTGTCGTCCGAACCCGCCTCCCCAGCCTCGGTGGCTGAGGTCCCCGTAACAGCCGCTAGGCACAGTCCACTGAAACTTACCATTCGCATGGATGCGGATAAGCTCTATCAGGTGTTTCCGTCGCCCGCTAAAAAGCCGCGGGTGGACAACAAGCCTTTGGAGGGCAACTCCTGGTCGTCTCCTCTTACCAGAGCCAGACGTTCGTCGGATATTTTCCACTTGGGTCAAACCAAACGGATCCGGTTGATCGTAGGCAAGGACTCTATCAATATCGACTTGGCGAAACGCACCAGATCGGTCGAGACCACTGGCAAGCGGTAGACGACGGCGAGCGTAGGTGGACTGCTTCGCTCATGAGTATAAGTGTGTACGTCTCCGAATGTGTCCTCAAGTCAGTTTTGTTGTAGACTCGATGTGTGCTTCCTCCTCGCTTCCGGTTCCGACCTTACCTTAAGCCGAGCGTGCGTGATGTTAATGTTGTAAGATATATGCGTGGCTTATATGTTCCGAGGATGACGTGCGGAGGGGCCAGGCTCGGGGATGAGATCGCTTCGATAGGACTGATATCATCTGATACGACGATTTTTTTTTGTAGATAATATATGACCTAAAAATATGCATCTTATGACTTCCAGAACGAGATGAGAAAGAAAGACTCACATTTCCTTTCTATGTCCTATGTTCCTTCCCATTTCTGGCTGGCAGTTCGATTCCTCTGATCTGGTTGCGAGAGCCATTTGGACGGGTTCCTGATTCCGTGATTCAATCCCCTCATTCTCGATCTCCTAATTGACAAAATTCGTTTGAGGGAGACAAACCGTAATATTTTTATGGTCCGTGCCCCGCTACCTAATGAGGTATCGGCGACTTGGTTTCTATCAAACGAGCGGCATGCATACGTGTCTAAAGAAACTCGGTTGCACCATTTCTTTTCAGCGAGTCTTCTGCGACGACGGGGGTTTCTCGAGCCGAGCCGGCAAACATTGTTGTTTTGACAAACACAATCCAATACGAGTGTTCTGAAGGTGGCAGCAGCGGTCTCAGGGATCAGAGACTGCTCCATAAAGAAAGAAACCCGCAGGATGAAGTTAATCTGAGGCAAGCAAGCTCATATCAAACATGATTGCATGGCGAGCCATTGGAAACTGACTGATCCGGAGAGGAACCGATTTGAATACGACAATGCCTATATGCATAAACACTATGTATGTATATACGATATCAAAATGCCTGAGTTGACAGCTCCGAGGGTTTAAGTCTGCTCTCGGACTGCGTCTCCCCTCATCCGTTTCGTAGCTTTACCAAAATCCCGAGTCTCAGCGTGCAGCTATGAGCTAGGGAGTGAATCAAGTCTATTCGAATCAACAACGGCGTAGGACGGTATGACTGTGAGACAGGATACTTGATTGCGTTTCCGAGTTTTCTTACTATAGGCTTACGAATGTCTGGTAGCGAGCACGAGTGTTGAATAATTGAACACATTTGGGGTCCGAACACGCTACAAGCCTATCGGGCTCGGAGGTTGATTGATGTTGTTCTCATAGAGGCAGGCAAGCCGTGGAGACTTGAGAGTGTGCGCTTGACTGTCGAATTGTTTGCGTAGGTGGTAAGATATCCTCAGTCCTTTGGTGGGATTTTTCGGAAGCAATTTCTCTAACACCGATATTGCCATGTTCGAACAGATTTGCTCCAGTCGTCGGCCGTGCGATTTACAAAGAGATGGATCGATTGAAGATGGAAAGAAAATTCGCGTCATGGAATGTTATCAGTCGCTGTTTGAAAAAGAATATCCGGACTAGACTGCTGAGAGGACCCGGACGCCTAGAGAGAATCTTGTATACTGTGAAAGCTGACAGATCTGTCTGATAGATACCTAAGCCCTCCCGGAACCCGGAGCTAAGGATTTTTTGTGAGAGCACTGACGAGAAATCGACTTCATTGCGGAGGACTAGAATGCCTAGGAAGTCTGAACGATTGGAACGGAAGAGCACGGCTTCGGGAGCCATCTACGCTCGGTAATTTCGCAGAGAGAGGGTGGAATCCGAAAGGCGATCCAAAAGCGTGTAAATAGCAGAGAGAAAATGTTATAAAACGGTAAATACAGTATAGAGCTATTGAATTGCATTCTACGAGCAGTAAGCCGCGTTTTCTTTCATCCAAGCGCGGAACAGGCCGACAAAATCATGTTCTCAGCAATAAAATACACTGAGACGCAAAACGCATTCGTATCTGCTGGGCGACCCGCTGTCTTGAAGTTCCTCCAGAGTCAGAGGTCAGAAGATTCAGGAAGACAAATTTGATTCCAATTCATATTGGGATGATTGAGAGCTTCTGGTCTATTTGGGTCCTAGATTCGCCTTCTTCAGGGCGCGGCATTGGCGTGCTAGCTCTGATATCTTAATCGGAGCTTTGTACCGGCGGAAGAACACTCACAGACTGCCGAGGAGAGGCATGTACGAGGCGCCCAGTGAGAACTCTCATGACCCGTTTTCAAAGCTTTATTCTTGGCGAAATTTTGATCCCTATCGCGTGAAGTCTACAAATTAGAAGAATTCGAGAGGGAAATTCATGTAGTCCGAGAAAGCATTCGACAGGACAGCCCTGATCCATCGGTGCATGTCGGCCGCTAGAATCTCTTTTAATATTTGACGGGGCTCCTCGGTGCAGCCATCTTAGGTCCACCGTAAAGAGACCTCTCACTCCACACAGGCCATTTGATACATCTGAAAATGATGTTTCATTATAGCCTCGAACGAGTTCCTTGACTCACGCGATTCTCCGGAACCAAATTCTAGATGAACCTTACTTTTCACTCTCAAGGAATTTCGCCACTTTCGGCAGTCCTTCGATGCGTTTCAGATAAGACTCGAGTTTCGGGTGTTTTGAATACATTTTCTCGTATTCCGGCCACAAAGTTCTGTAAGCGAGGAAGGGAAAACCTCATAAATTCATATTCTATGTCTAGAACTGTGAGCCCCGTGGCCAACGCCTCCGGAAGTTTGGTCGCGGAGCTGCAGAGAACCCCCTTGTGTGAAAAGCAAGTAAAGGACTCTAACCGATGTTGGTCGAGCGTCTCCCAAAGGAGGAAGTCAACGTATGTTAGTTGCTCGCCCGCGATGTAATTGCGGTCACCGAGGAACTTCTCCAGCTGTTCACAGCGCAGTTCTTGGAATTGTTTCATGTACTCTTCCTGAGGAACCAACATGAAACATCAGTAAAGGAATCAGTCTTGAAAGACAGGATTGGCCTCGAAGGCATTGGGTCTACCGAATATCGTGCGGTCTATGGGACGCCTATCGACTCCTGATCGAATCCTCCCAGCCGTGATAATCAGCTCACCTTCTCTTTATCGCTGTAACTTTCACCGTAGCACAAGCGGACGCAATCCCAAATGATGTCATTTGTCTGGGAATAATAAACAGGGAATAAACATCATGGATCTCGGCTCCAATCATGGGGACCGTTTCCGGTATTTTCCATTGCGATAGGACGATAGGATTCAGATCTTCGAGAAGCGGATTCGCACCTGCTGTTCGATCACGTCGACTCTCTGCTGGCCTTCTTCAGTCTGGGGGAAGAGTCCTCCTCTCCGCGCGAGGTACCGTAGAATCGCCAATGACTGGGTCAGCTTGACTTCACCCATTTTCAGATAAGGCAAGTTCGGGAAGTCCAGACCGAGGGTGAATTTCTCCTGTGAATATCCCAGGGGTCATCATTGATTGAGGCAAGCCAAGGAATTAGCAAGGATATCAGCCGGAAATTTCTACGAGCAGAATGCAGTGTACGACTCCGATCAGAATGAATGAAAACGGATACCTTCAACCAATTTTCGCGGGTGTCGTTCTTCTCTCCGAAATCGTACGTACGCTCATCGTATTGCACCTCGCAGTAGTTCAAGACGTGTCGGATGGATTGTCCGAGCCCCCGAATGTTCCAGTACCCGAACTGGGCAACAGAGTCGTCCGCTGACGCCATTTATGCACCTGCTGTGGGAAACTTCAATAAGAAAAAAATGAGTATTTGAGGTGACACTCCTACAATGTCAGAACATGAAATCGATTGCTGACGACCGGAACTTCCAATTCCCTCCCCGTGCAAACACCGAAGATTTTCATTCATCGAGATCAGAGGCTCTTCATGGATTCCTCCATCGTTCGAAGAACTTTTAAGCGCAGGATGCCAAGTATTCATCGGCAGTTCTCGCAGCAGTTTTAACAGAGCCGGACGAACGCCGATGATCACAATGAGAGGTGGCCGCGGAGAGCTCTCGCGAAGAGGACATCGATCCTCTCAAATTGAACCACGAACGCTCAGCACGCCGGCATTCGAAAGGCTTTGCGATCGCCAGACACCGGAAGAACTCGACTCACCTATATGTATCTTACCCTTTGCTAAATTGAGCATGGTTTCGAGCACAGATGAACGAGCTCAATTTCCCTCTACTGAGAATCTCAGAAATTGGAGAAACTCCTCATCGTATAGGAAGACGGAATCTCACCTCAAATATTGTCTTCAACGAAGCTCTATTCCCACGGAAACGCGCCGGCATCTGGTGGACAAGGAGCATCAACGGAGGCACAACACAGAGAAAGCGTGGCTGATTCCGGATAGTGTGGAGCGAATATCGGAACGACACCCATCACTGTAGCCTAAAGCATTGAAGTGATTGGACGGCCATTTCGGAATGAATATCCATGATTCGTGACGAATCTGCTGAGCAAGAGGAAGAGTGTCAAAGAGTTCTCGAGATATAACCATCAGTTCCTTGCACAGCATCGTCGGCCTGTATGACTGCCGGCTACGATCCGCCCTCTACGAAAACCGAACGTCTGTAGGTTTGCGAAGTGGAGAGGTATCGCGGTTTCTTCAGGCCACCGGTCGCCATCGACAGAATGCTTTGGTCAAGTGGCAGTCGGACGCCGAACCAACCATTGAATTCCCAAAGAGTTGTCAGGGGAAAAGAAGGAGTTCCACGTTGATTTTCCGGCCAGCGAATATTGTTCATAACTTGGAAGTTTCGACTCTAAGAACCGGGAAACACTCGCAGCCAGCTTTATCCTGAGAATTTTGAGTAGAAGGGTATCAGAGCGATCAAGAAAAATCTAGCCAATCTAGGGCAACGCGACGAGGGATCTTTGGATTATCGCCATCACAGAAATTTTCGGAACGATCGGAGGAGCTTGGAATCTGGGTTCGAGCTGGTTCCCAATATTTGACCGATCGCTTGGGCTCGGGTGACTGCGTGCAGTTCCCGCTCATCGACAATAGGCCGCCTAGTGCATCTACGATGGGCGGAATTCCCCGTAGAAGTCTTCCCAGTGGCTGTCAGATACCCAACTTCTCGGATGGCTGCAGTATCAGAGTCTCGCTTCTAGCTTCATAGACGATCCGCCACCTTCGGGCGCTGCTCGGTTCGCACGAGGTACGCCTCGAGGTGCGTCGAGAACATTCTTCCATGTTCCGGCCATAACGTCCTAGTCCTCGAGGAACATTGCACTGGAATGAGCGTAGAGACAGGATCTCGGCATCGCACCCGACCCTCACCGAGTCTGGCCCTGATGGTAGATCACGATCAAGGCTGAACGATATCCTTCCGGACTCCAATCGAATGAGGAAGATATCCATTTGGGGCTCGTCAGAAATCCTCAATCCGTATCCGCGGCATACCGGCGCTGGTCGGGTCTCTACCAGAGGGATGGATCACCGCGAGCCAGCTGATCTCCAGCGATATAATTCTGCACAGCGCTCGTTTATGGGGTCTTCACGTATTCCCCCTTTCAATGGAGCAGTATTCCGCTGCGATCGTATTTTACAGAGAGATTCACAATGTGAGATGCAAGTAATCTGTAATCAACTTTCATTGTTACCTTGGCACTCTCGTATTCAGGGGGAGACAACAAACGTCAATCATTCATTTGGTCGGAAGTCTGTGAAGAAACGGAAATTCGGGCACCGAAATGATATGAGAATATCTACGAGGACTTTATCGGGAGGGGGGGGTTGTTCCGCTGTACTTTCTGCTCGGCCCTCTTAACTCCGAGTCGACTTTCCTGATCTCGAGGGGGAAGCCCTATCGGCGGGTGCGGAAGCGCATGATCGCCACTGACTGTGTCCGCCTCGTGTCTCGGCAAATCAAGAACGGCGAGTTCGGGGGATTCAGACCATGATTGAATTCGTCCCGCCGACGATCTACCAGGATTGTGTATTCAATCTCATACTGGAACGGATTCATGCACGACTTGTCGAGAGGAATGAATGCTCGCACTCCCAATCGGTATGGATTTATAATCTAAATTCAGGAGTTCAAGTACGATCGAAATGAGCTACCCTGGAGCCATGCTACACTCGTGTCATTGTTCTCTCCGAAGTCATACGAGCGCTACTCATACTTCATATCGCAGCAGATCAGACGGAATCGGATATCCCGCCCGGATCCTCTCATGTATCAGTGGCCGAGCGTGATGACATCATTGGAGCAAGCCATCTAGAGGAAGAGGATATCTTGCAGAGAACGTATGCCGCGATATACTCCAGCCGATAAGGCTATCGATCACGTGGACGGGAGATGCAAATCAGCGGGTTTATGATCTAATGTCATCTCGGAATGGAATTCCCATGATTGTGAGACATCACCAGAATATATACGACTATTGCTACACCTGCGGAAGGATCAGGACGGGGATTTGCCCCAACGTATTGTTCCGGAATAGCGCATCAGCTCACCCCTTTGGGGAACAGAAGCCGTGCAGCTGAAGGGATTACATTGGAAGGCTCAGCCATGACCTTTTTCCTTGAGTTCTTCAACTGATCCCTTCCCTGATCCCGTTGAGGTATGCAACACAATGTATTCAGCAACCACGTACAGCGCGATTGACCTCGCCGCGCGATGATCGATTCTCACCACCTCTTCCGGATATTCCGCTTGGATCAACTATCTCGGGAACTCCAAGAGCATACTTGCTTAGAGAGGGCAGCTCCGACTGACTTGTGAGTCCTTGTAGATTACGTTCCCGAAGAAATCCCGTGAATTCGTAATCTTTTTTTTCTCGAGTCCTTTCTCACGTCTGAAACATCGAGTCCCGCACACGTTTCAGTCTCTCTCGCGGAACATCCTTTGACGGACTGAATAAAAAAGGGATGACCGCAAATCTTGGAGAAGACGCTGCTCCGGGTTCGTCGTACCTATAGAACTTGACTACCTAGAACCTTGAGACTCTTCGACGATCGAATTTCTCTACCTAATCTTCCTCCTAACTCTAGTAGTTCACCAAGGATCTCGACCTCGCGGCACGCGAGCACAATTCTCGTGCGCCCCCATCGAGGGTGCGCGGTACTACTCGGCCCCATAATTGAGAAAAAAATGTTGATTCTATTCACTTCAAAAAAGCTAGAAACGAAGTCAGGAACAGACCCGCAACTCCCCGCGGAACTCCGAGTCGGGGAAAAAATCCGCCCATGTTCTCCCCATTGTGCCTTATCTCCAGGCACGCAAAAGATCGTGATCCTTGGAGGCTCCTTCCGCATCAAGCTCCGACGTGGAGTGGCTGAGCTGGTCTGCGCTGCCGTTACTCTGGAAGTTTGCGGACCTACTCCCTCGTGAACAGGGATTCTGAACGAATGTCTCGGTTTCGCCAGTGAATCTGATTGGAGATCTTGTTGGCTACTTCCCGGGACTTATACAGCTACTCACCTCCGCTCAATATCGAGGAGCTACCACCCAACACTCCGTCCCCACGCTATTGGATTCCTTCGAAGTTCGAACGCTCACTTTCCTCGAGTGCGCAGCCAAAACTCGCGAGCGGAACTTTGTACATATATGTAAGCCTGGGGACAAAAATAGGGCAAAAACTACGGGAAAATCGGTTCCTGCAGGTGAAAAAGAATGAGAGGAGCTTATCGAGCTTTGAATGGTTGCTTTCTTTGAAAACTCGAGCGGCTAGACTCTGGGTCGATGCCGGCTGTTATCATTCGTCACCAATTCAAGCTTTATTGTATTCCGTTGGGGATCGAGAGTTCCAACCGATACGAGACGACGTTCATGCGACCGCAACGAATCCGTCCGAGTTTGCTGACAAGAGCTCTGTCGAGTTTCGGAGAAGTCTCCAGCTGGGTGATCCTAGGGTCTACGCGGGGAGGGGTACGCTTTCTTCCTTAACCAAAATGAATAGGGTCTCCTCTTCCAGCTCATCGGGATTGGCATCCAATGTGTCCGTGTCGATTCCTCCTCGCAACTCGATTCTTAGAGATCTCTGCGCTTCGAGCTTCTCATGCTTCTGCTGCAACCAAGCGCGATGGAGCTCCATGAGCCGCTGTCTCTTCTCCATGATGTCCTTGGACACCTTGCTCATGGAGGCACGATCCTTCAGGCTGAACTGCTGCGAATATTTCTTGAAATTCTTCTTGATCTCCTTGAGGTGCTCTTCGGTGAGGAGGCTGCGTGGTCGGGGTCGCCATAGGAACGCGCAGTACCCTGTGGGGGCAGCTTTGCGAAGTAGTTTCCCCTGGAAGCTCCAAATCCAGTAGGCGTTGTCGGATCGGTCACCAGCCCACGCTGACACTGCGGTCACGACATAGCGCCCGGTAGGATCCCACTCGATGTCGGTACAACGGAAGTGTTCCGTGGCAACCATGCTCGTGAAGTCGTTTCCGGTGTCCAGGAACTCGAGCGTTCCATTGAGGTTCTTGAGACCTGCCAGCAAGATGATCTGGCCGTTCGGAGACCACAGTAACCGATTACATGATTTCTTCTCCATGCGTTTCATTAGTACGACGCTGGCCTGCTTCACCTGGTAGAATGAGACGGAGGCGTGCTGGCCCTCGCCGTGAACGACGGCGAACTTCGAGCCGTTCGGCTCCCAGGCAAGCTGTGTAACGCACGAGTCTTTCAACTCCACGGAGTCGACAGGGATGTTCTTCTCGCGGATCATGAATACCTGGGGACGGAAGAGAAAAGAACGCTCTAGAAACCATCGGAGCAATTACTCTATCATGATAGCGTGAGGGAAATTCCCAATCCAATTAACAGGGAAGCCATATATCAGCAGATTGAAGATACCCCGCTACTTACTTCGAAATTGAACGACATGCCGCTGTACTTCGTCTGGTTGCCCTCCTTCTTCAATTTTTGATACCTATCGACCTTGACGGCAATGTAGTCACCGTTCTTGTGCCAACACATTTTACAATCGGCGACGTTGTACAAATTCTTCGATCTTAATTCTTTCCGGGAGGGAATCTCGATGAGGGTGACTCTGGCGGGCACGTCCCGGTTCTCCGAAACCCAGTAGGCCATGATGTTCATGGTCGGGCACCAACTGAACGATTTGACTCCGGTGACTTTGATTGACTTCATGTCGAGCAGACCACAGCTGGGAGTTTCGTAGATCTGGATTTGGTCCTCGCCCTGACGAGCGAAATAGCGGTCGTCGTGACTCCATTTGAACATTGGCCACATGATTTCTTCGGAAGGTTGGAAGGTACGTCGTCTCTGTCCGGTGAGGATGTCCCATACGATCACACAAGGTTTCCGCTCGTCCTCACTGAGGTCTGGGGCCGTGCTTTTGCTCACGGCTCCTTCGTTGAAAGTGACCAGATATTGCTCACACGGTGAGAAGTCGATGAAACGCACCTGGAATTAAGAGACGTGCCACGTGAGTGGAATTCGGTATACAATCCGGCTCTGACTGGGGGGAAATGCGGAATTTTCAGGCTAGACGACGACGCTTCGACGAAAACGGAGATGGTCGGAGACGGGGCGCATCGCGAACAGCTGATATGTATCAGAGATAATACGACACCGGTCTCGCGGACTGGAAACGGGCCCTCGAGGCATCGATCTGGCGTCGGGACGTCATCGATCGAGAGCCAATTTGACGTGGCCGGGTCTCTCAACACGATTTCGACCCCTTTTTCAGAAACTCACCTTATAATGCTTGAACTTGCCAACTTTATCCCATTTTTCACCTCCCCACAATTGGATGCCCTGTTCATGGAAGGTCGCGAGGAAAGTTCCTCTCGGCGACCACATGACAGCCAAATCGGAGAAGTTCTCGCGTTCGAGCAGCACCGAATCCTCTTGGAAGCCGTGAAGATACATGGTAACCTTTCGGCCGTTCTCGAACGTCACAACAAACTGATCTCGGCAGTCGGGCTCGAGCAGGAAATAGCTTAGGTTACCATGCGATTTGTATGGCTGAGGTTGAGGTGGATGCCAGTCTTCCGACATGGACTCGTACTTCTGGAAGTCGGTGAATGGACAAACGATGAACGTGTGGTTTTTGTCGAGTTTGTGTCCGTTCAGAGCGCGTACTGCTTCCATCGCGCACGACGCGTCCCTGTATTCGATAAACATGAAGCCTTTGTTTTTTCCATCGGCTCCGATGGGGAACTCCCAGGAGTTGATGTCGCCGAACGGCCGGAAAAGCTTCTGGAGAACCGTTTTCAATTTCTCGAAACGGGTCCCTTCTGTTGTGTCGATTACTGGAATGTTGTCGCAGATTATAACGGACTCCAAACCCTCTGCTTCCGCTGGTCGCTTCTGGTAGAGATCGGCGAGCAGCTCTTCATCGTTGATCTGGTCAACAAAGTCTTCGGGATCGGAGAAGTCGGGCTCCTCGTCGCTCTCCATCTCCATCTCGGAGTCAGGGAGCGGTTCAGTTTTGCTGTCCGTAGTCACCATAACTTCGTACGACGTCTATTCAGCCCAGGATGCACGGTGTTCACGAGAAATTCACCAAAAATACTCGGTTGCACGTTGCCGGAACACATATGTCGACGAGGAGAAGCGACAGCGGCGCGCCGGCATGGAGGCTTCGTTCGCCGGCGTGCTCCTCGTGTAGAAGCTTCGCTGAGCTTCGAATGAAACGCGCCTTTGGTGGTTTTCCTTCGCGAGGGCCTACGTAGGCGGACTTCTGTCGTCTGAAGCTTCGACACTGTGCACGCGATCGAGTTCTCTCGAGAGATCGTTCTCGACCAGGAATTCAAGCCCCCGAAATCTCTCCTTCATGGTCAGCGATCTCCATTCCGGGATAAGAAGTTCCATCATCGTTACCCATGACGCGAGTCGCGAGGGGATGATCGAGCAAGAAGAAATGCGAAATTCCCGATTGCTGGCAGGACCCCCCTTCCCTGTCGGGGGAAGATCTGCCTGGCCTGGATTATTATCGAATGGGACCGAGGGACTTTTTCTACACAGTACCGATGGCTTCGGAGAACCGTGGGGCACGACAATGCACCGGGAGAGCGTTCCGGAATCTTCCGAATCCCGCAGAGCATCGTTCCCGATTTCCATGTATAAACGGCGAATTTCGGTCGCGTGATTCTACAGATTCAATAATTATCCCCATAATTATCCCGGCTCGTCGGGTCACGGTAAAATACTCGGTATGATCCTTATCGATAGCAAGAAAATCATTGTCTCGTCCGACTCCCCCATCATGGTCAGGCTGCCTGACCGCGATGTGATGAACCTCAATCGGAAGCTGAAACATAGACATGAATTGATTCGAAGAGAAACGGCTCTGACTGACTGAGTCCGTCGTGATAGGTTATTTATTTGAATTCTCGCGCTCCGGAGCGCCCTCTCGCGACGATGATCCCATCGGCTGCTCGGCTTCGCTATTTCTTTTCTCCAGTGCACGTGTCGTGAATAGGTGCGTTATGTCAGAAAACTAGATAAAACTAGCGAATTAGGAATGTTTATCCCGCTGAATGTGAACTCCCTGATGTGGAGCGGATGTGGTGACCGTATCCGATCCGAGTCCGCCGTAAGCTCCCACATGGTCCGCGAAATTCCCCGACGGTCTGCGAAACGTGTTCCGCTTTCGACAGTAAAACTCGTGTTGCCGCTGGGAAGTGGTGGATTCCCGAGTGTTCGATACGGCCTTCCCCATCGAGGCAAGAAGCCGTCGAAATTCCTCGGGTTCGGGAGCAACGTCATCGAAGTGCGAGCAGTGGATTCGGTTGTTTACTGCGTAAGCCGGCCGTTCATGTGGGGTCGCCATGCTGTGAAGGCTGGAACTTGTGGCTGGGGCCGCTGTTTGTAGTTGTGTCTGGGGGAAAAGCGGGGTCACCGAGCTTCATCACTCGGCCGTAATTTGACTGGTTTCTTCAGCGGAGCGCGGATGGTCGATCGATGCATATCGTGCGGATACTGTGGGTATTCGAGACAGCAGGTTGTTCTGCATGAGGCTCCTTCACCCCTCGGATAGGCTTATACTGAGCTTTTCTTCGGAGAAAGAATTTATTTCTGGGGGGATAGATGCAAAAGACTTTGCGAGCTCCCCCGAGCCAATTTCTTGCGACCTGCATCGTGAAGTCCTAGTCTGCCATCCATCATCATGTATCGTGTGCGAACATCCCGATTCCAGCGTTTCCGTCGCTGTAGTCCCGCTAACTTCGCTCCAAACAGACCGTCCCTCTTCTGTCGCGGACGCATGGAAGGTCTAGGGACCGGGGGAGGTAGAGATAATGAGGTGGGATCCTCTGACAGAATCTTCATTTCGATTAAAAAAAACGATTGATTCCAGACTTCACGATGGCCCCCGCGAAGAAACCGGCGGTCGGAGCTACAGCTAAGAAGCCCACTGTTCCAGAGACCCTCCTGAAGCAGCGTAAAAATAATGCTGAACTTCGACAACAGCGCATCCTCGCTGTCGCGGCGAAAAAGAAGGCTGACCGCGCTCGGCGCGTGGTGAGTTTTCATTTCATTTGAATTCGGTGTCTTTCCTCGAGTTGCGCATCGAAAACTCACGAAGGCTTTTGACTCAAAATCATCCATTCTTCCCAGCTCGCTTTCCAACGCGCAGAGAAGTATGTTCGGGAGTACCGCCAGAAGGAGAAGGCGGAAAAGAACAACCGTCTCGTCGCTAAACTCGAGGGAAACTTCTTCGTTCCCGATGAGCCCAAGGTCGCCCTCGTCATGAGGATCCGTGGTATCAACGGTGTGTCGCCGAAACCCAAGAAGGTCATGCAGCTGTTCCGTCTGCGACAGATCAACAACGCCATGTTCGTGCGTCTCAACAAAGCTACCATCAACATGCTGCGTATCGCGGAGCCTTACCTCGCGTGGGGTTACCCCAATCTGAGAACGGTTCGCGATCTCATCTACAAGCGAGGATTCGCCCGCATCAACGGACGCCGTGTTCCTCTCGTCGACAACTCGATCATCGAGGAGAAGCTCGGCAAATATGGACTGGTTTGCATGGAGGATCTTGTGCACGAGATCTACACGGTCGGTCCCAACTTCAAGCAGGCCGTCAATTTCCTCTGGCACTTCAAGCTGAACAGCCCTAAGGGAGGCTGGCGCAAGAAGACCACCCACTTCGTGGAAGGAGGCGATTACGGAAACCGGGAGGCTTTCATCAATCGACTCGTTAGGAAGATGATCTAAACCGCACAACTTGGAATCTTCCACAACGACATCGGGGAAGAGTTTTCGAGGAATAAAGTTATGATCATCCATATCCGCAATTTCTCATTGCTTCAATCAGAATTCATTCCCTTCAATCAATGGATCAGATCCCCAAAACACTCCGCGTCATTCACGTTCCCGACTCTTCATCTACCTGAGGGCTAGCTCAATGTTGATTGGATTTTGAGCTCGAACACTGCACTAACGGTTCCAAGTCGATTTATTTCCGTACGCAACAGAGTTCCCGACAATTTCAATATCTACACAGCTTCAGATTATTCATGAGGTAAAACTCCGTGAGGCGAAATCGGGTCCGGAGGGATTCTACTCCACCAGACTTCCCCCGTTATATATTCATTGGGTATATTGTATAATACTCCGAGAGATATCGCTCCACACTTCCTGGAGAGAAATTCGGGGTTCCCGCCGCGAATTCGTTCAAAACATGAAGCCTTCATGCGTTGACTCCCGCACAGTCTGCCTCCAATTCTTTGCTAGACGAGGTTTTGTGGAATTACAATTCAACATCGCCATAGGAAGAACATCATCGTGATCAGTACTCCTATCAGCGTCAAGGTTAGAGATGCGATGACAGTACCGCGAGATGAGTTGCAGTAATCGCTCTGACATCTGCACACCTTCACCGTTCCCTGAGAGAAAAGAAGATATTTCGGGAATACTGCGTCGACGGGAAAGGAATCACCATCACGACCTACGGAGTACCTGCTATTCAGCGGATCTCCGAGCTCACCTGTCTCATTCGGGTTGCGCTGCAACCACTGCTGATGTCCATCCGGGACTTCGGCTCCTTCCCGCAGGTCCGACGGACCGATTCGATGATGCCTTTCAGAGGTAAATCGAGAGAGGAACTCGTGTCAACAAAAAAGATTCGAATTCCGGGTCTGACGGCCTGCCGCCGAACCGGAGCGACCCTCTCCCCTCAAGACTGATTTTTTTCGCTCCGAATCGGGAATCTTAAGAGTAGCGACACGCTAGTCAGACATTTTCTTACCATTGAGATCTTTGAAAATATGAAGTTGACAGCCGTAATCGCAATGAGTCACCGACACTTTGTCCGGTTGAAAGTATTCGTCCCGACACTTCAAGGTGTGGTTGATACCTATGGCTTCTTCTTTCTGACTCCAACTGAAATCGGGGGCACATAAGCATTGAGACACTCGGAACACGTCAATCGAGGAAGATTGGGTCTCGAGCTAGATGAGTTCCGCCAGGACCGTCGGATTGTACTCGCCGTTCCCGAGCGGGGAGGAATCCGTCCACCCCGGGATTCCGCCGCGGCGAGTCGCGGCGAAAACCTGGCTCCGCCCGGGAGGATTCGCAACCTGGGAAGTTTTTCCGACTCCGTCTCCGTCATATCTGGCCCTTGCGATTCTGCTCCTGATCTGGCACCAGGGCTGCGGAAGCTACTCACCTGCAAAGATAGCACTGGGTGCCCTCTATCGGCTCCGGGACAATGGTGCAACACAGAATCAGTAAGCAGGCCAGCTGGAAGGAGGAATCCGGAGTTGAGAACGTGCATATACATGCCTAGAAAGCGAATGTTGAGTTACTCCCCCGGCTCATCAGGTTCCGAACCGGGACACACAGACCACCGCGCGCATATTTCGACAGATGCCCTTCAGGCAATATCCGCAGCAGACTCGCCCACACCGATGGGGCGAGACCGTGTGCTTTGTCGCGACAAAATCGCGAGCCGAATTCTCACGCTCTCTTCGGTACTTCCCGATGGGCTGCCCGGGGAGCGAGAGACGAATCCTCGGGCAGGACATTATGGGCAGGAATCCTTCGGTCTCACTCAGGTAGCCATAGAGTGGAGAAAGTCAGACTGAGAAGGTCGGAGCGGTCATACGCGAAGTGTTCAAAGGGAACCCGCGACACTCTGCGAAACATCTTTCGTGAGACCAATCATTGCTCAGAACGGGCAATTCGATCCCGGAGGAGAGGAAAGACCGAAATTTCATCTCGGCTCCGCAGCCTTGCTCGGAAGCGAGTCATTCCCATCCAGTGCCTATCTTGTCCGGCTCTCTATGCTTTGGATGTCTGTCGGGGAATCCGAATCGGTTCCATCCGCGCTTCAATCAATGGATCACGACCTCCGATAGAAAGACGCTCGATATCGAAATATGTACGCGTCACCGCTCTCCGCACGATCATTGCGGGGGTTTCTTCACCGTCGGAATTCGATCATCGCTGGCCCAAGTATGCGACAGGTGCTACGAAAGAGCGGAGCACCTGATCCAGTCGTGACTCGACTGTCGCGTAGCCAGCTGTATGTCTTGACACCGTCCCGGAGCTTCATTTCGTAGCCGGGTCGAGCTCGACAAACAATCAGCAATGAGTGGCCAAGCATCGCTTCATTCTCGAAGTCGATGATGTTACTGCCGAAGACATCTTTCGCCAGAGGATCGACAGGGCGGTGACTGACAGAGAGTTGAAATTCTTTCGGACTGGCGGAGACGAATAATCAACGCTCGATAATAATCACGATCATAACTGCTGGTCGACGACAAGGGTCATTGTCTGAGGCGTGCTTCCAGAGGAGTCCAGAAACCCGAGGAAAGGGGATTCGGGAAAGATATCCTAATTACACGAAGCAGGACCTTATCTCCTCATGACGAGAAACAATCTCGGGCCCGCTCCCTATCACTGGGTGTCGTGGGCTCCAACTCTGGAGGGCTGATCCAATGTTCTCGATTTCGCAGGCTAGTCGACGCAGCTACCTTCGCTTTATCCCGTAGGAAAAGTCATGTGATGAAAGGAACGCATACGAGGCCATGAAGAGATTGAGAGAAACACAGAACAATGAAAAGAAACGGGTGGTGCTCGTAGCTGTATTAAAGCCTACGAGGTTCACGCCTATTCGTGAGCCATGCTCCATTCAGTCGCTTCCGCTGAAGAGCTAATCGCCGTCATAATACAGACGCTTAAGTTTCTTCTCGGGTCGGCGATTCACCTTAGTCCTCGGAAACAGTCAGGGATCTTTCACAGGGAATTCCGAGAAAATGCATTCGGAGAGGGTTCCGTCAACACGAGAACGCAAGCGGGATCGCAGACCGGTACGTAATTAATTCTGAGGCCTTCGTTGATAAGCGAGTGATTCGGAACGCATCTACGCGGGCGTATCCGATACACCTTCGCGAAAGAGTACAAGTCAGAAGCGAAATTAGTTTTGACAGCGCGCGAGCCTCACTCGAATCATCAGTCCCTAACTGTTGAGCACAATTTTCAATGGGCGTGTAAAACAGTCAAGGTTCGCCTGACGGTAATGAGAAATGAGTGACTGACTGGCTGTTCGATCGCTTGACAAGTTTGTAATTCGGATAATTCATCTTTCACATGGATAAATCCCGACGAGCGTAGGAAGCGAAGTGACTTCTCGGGTCGTATGAGGAAACTAAGCCTTCGGCACGCTACGTGACAGTACAAATATGTAGAAACAATGTAGAAGAAGACTCGACCGAAAAAGCATCACCAATACATCGGTCGCAGGGTCGAAGCGACACAGAGCAAACAATGTGGACTGAAAGCGAGAGAAGTCAAGAGCCGAGCTCGATGTGGACACATGCCAGTATAGCACGGGAAACTCACTACTTCGGTGAATTGCATCTTCGAAAAACGTGCTCACTGTACGAAGACGAGAAGTTGTGTGGGAATACGAAAAACTCCGCGACGGGAGAGGAGCCGCCGTGGTGGTAAGGGCTGCCCGACGATCAATGAGACGTTCCATGTAGGCTGGTACTTAGATCCCTACCTGATCCAGCGTTAAGAAACAGCCGTTGAGACTCGAAACCCGGTGCTCTAACCGGCCCCCATCCGGATCGAAGATTTGGTAGCGAGATCTCAGCCTTCCGCAGAGACCGCAAAAAGTCCCAAGCGAGACCCGTTCTCTGTGTGTCTCGGAATTACATACGACTCATCACCCATTAGATGTTGGTCTTCAGCGGTACCCACACATATCCTCATAGTTGGGAGGGTGTTCCTACGATTGTCTGGGAGCGCTAAGAGATGGGATCCGGAGCCCAGCTCTCCTGGTCTCCGACCCCCCGTCAACTTGGATGAGCTTGCTGCCGTTGGCGCATCGGTATGCCGAATTCTTTCCGCTGTGTATTCGATGCAGTACAAATATGCAGAAACCGGTCCACCTGCCGAATCTGCCGCTTCCGTAATCAGCCTCGAGTCTCTCTATTGGAATCCTCCGCCAGGTTCTTGGGAGTCACGATTCAGACTGCGTCTCCCGGGAGCCTTTTGGAGGCACCTTGAAGGGTCTGAGGGCAACCTACCCGAGCATCGAGGGCCCCAGAATGAAGAGTGTCTAAGGATCCGGCGCATCAAGGATGAATAACTTCTCGTTCGAGCATCAATCGGTCGCTCCTCTCATTGTGGAAATCGGCCGACTGATCGAAGTTTCAACTTCCTCTCGCCCCAAGGCTGACGGAGCACGCAAAGGAAGGTATGCATTCCCCATCGCGGGAAATTCAGGATCCGCCACCTAAGTCATCGCGCTCAAGACTTGTTGTTTTCAGTGCGTCGTGGAGCGTCGCTGCACGAGCTCCGATCTCGGCTCTATGCCCCTTGGGGCGTAGAAGGCGGATTTTACGGTGGCATCGCACGCTCCTGAAGATAAATTCCGATCGAGTTGGGCCGCTCGCTACACGCGGAGGCATTGGGTGAGATTTCTCGAATCACGTTTGATCGGACTTCGCCGACTCGTCCGGTTAATTTCATTCTCGTCGCGGAAGTCGGAAACGCAAGCCAGACCCTGGATCCGATCTCCACGACTGCGTGGTTACACGGCATGCTTCCTCTGAGGTGTTTCGTATGGTTCAGTTGTAGCCTCTGACCAGTGCCGGATTTACGGATTAAGCGCCCCCGGGCTCAATCGGGACCGCCGCCCTGATACAACCCATTTGGGAATGAATCCCGACTCTTCCCGGCGCTTGCACCAAGTTCCCGAGATCTGTTTTTCGGTGTCCGCTAGGAGCGTGCGGGATCCGTAGAGTTGGAAACAGTGGCGTAGCCAGAACGCCCGATCGCCCCCCCCCCGTAATTTTTTCCGAACCGTGCTGGGGCGACGCCTGTCAGCTTCTATGACGGTGACGAAAGCAGGAATCTCGGCATTTCAAGTCTAACGTTCACCTACTCTGTCGAATAACTTGTATAATACCTTTAAACACGATTGCAGCTTGCGAAACTATTGATTACTTGTATATTGACATGAGATCGAGATCTGATGATTCTGTGAACCTTTCGAAGGATTCGAAAAAAATTCCGCCCCCCCCCCAAAAAAAACTACCTGGCTACGCCACTGGTTGGAAATGGTAAGCACTCTTTTAGACGATCCCAGATTAGGATGAAAGAGAGTTCCCTTCCAAAATAGTTCATCATGTATGATCTCATCGATCATGCAAGGAATGAAATTTCGCCGCTCGTTTTCGAGTTGGCTCCCCGCCATTAACCTGACGGCTTCAGGTAAAAAGACAAAGTTGACGTCCTCGTCGTGGCTTCATTGAATTGTCGAGAATGAACTGCCGCCCCAGTCTTTAGCCTGCTAAGCCTTCTGGGAAAATCCGCCACTGACAGGAACCGTCACCGTTCTGACGGGTGAGGAGAGCCCAATGAGACCTAAACTGATCCGCGAGACTGAGCGGATGAGTTCGGTGGAGAAGAACGAGGTGGGTTCTTTCGAGCGGGAACATCATTCCGAAGTTACCGTCAGTCGGTTTCATTTTTTCGCAGCTCGTCTTGTTATTCTCTGTCAATGTCGGGCCGATAGCGGTGGATTTAGCGTACCAGTCCGAGAGCTTCCGGAGCTGGCATATGGACGACGAAGCCAATGTTCCACCAGACCGTGAGGTTAAGAGATACTGCTCTCGGGAGTCGGATACCTTCAAGGACCTTCCCCTGTAGCTGGGGTGGGAGATTCTGACAAAAAAAAGACATATCGGTTTTCTATACGCCTTGATTCGAAGACGGCTCGGAGTTCGCCGAGCCCATATCATAATACTTCGAACGAACTGATAACCTAAGAGACTTGGCTTTCCTCACGGAACTATATCAGTCTCCCGTCCGGTACTCCCACGAACGATATACTCGAGAGAACATTGAGAGATCAGGATAGAGATAGATACCTCGCATGAAGCGGTTTCCGATACCATGGCAAACTCTCAAGAGGTGAATCAGACCTTCAATGGGGAATTGAAGCCCGAGTGGGGAAGAAGGAATGCTTAGTGAGCTCATGGGACTATCCCGTGAGACACAGAGACTCATGAGGGAATTCGAGTGAGTCTCTGGAAGAGACCGATCTGAGGTCACATCGAAAATGAAGAGGTATCACATGAATTTCGAGCCTCGCTGTTTGCGATTCGTGTTCTTGATGTTCCGCTCGGTTTTGCCGCAGATGATCAGAGGATCGGTTGAGTTTTCCAATGGGATAAATGGCTGCTCGAGCTTCATGAAGAGCTCATCGATAATAGTGAAACTTAACCCAGGACAAGCGCAGACGTAAATCATAGTCGCCACCTGATGCCGGAATGCGACTCGAGCGGAACGGAGACCGCCGTGGTCTTCTTCAGCTAGAAAAGGCAGCGACTGAAGTTCCTGAGGGAGCCTCGTGGGGTCATCTCCAGCGTGAACGCTCAGGCCACTCGATCGGATACCTCTCTCATTCTGCCGCAAAGAACGGGAACCATCCGGATACAACGACGCTAATTTTCGCACAACTTATCGGTCGAGCAGAAGATCCTTGCTCTAATTGAGATAAAATCTGCTGGAAGATGGCGTGGATGAGGTAAGAGGCTTTGGACATAAGAGCTCAATAGAACATCTCATATGGAGGAATGCGCTCGAATTGCTATTCGGGAAATGTGATTCAAGCCTCAAGCCTTCGAAGGAGAGCTTGGTACAATTGGGCTTCATTGATTTGAGCTCCGGAAAATCGGATCCTCCGCTCATTCGGATCGAAATAGCCTGGCCCGATGTGTTTGTACCAAGCAGAGCTCACTATATTTTTTGCGGCCTGTTTTCGAGCAGAGAGGAGGCAGGAGAGAGAGAGAGAAGGGAACTTGCCCCTCTCACTACGCTTAGGGAACTCACAGGACGGAGCATCAAGCAAGAGAACAATGTTTTTGCTTTTTCCGCGTGAGGAACTTTGCTAGAGCGCCGAGAGTTGAGAAATAAACTGAAGCGCCGTTAGGTCAACTCGAAGGCTCGTCACGCAGAGTTTTCATGTTCGAAAAGCAGCTCATGTTGGATGATCTATCAGAGTGATTTGAGACTAACTCAGTTCTTCACCTTTCAAAGTCGAATTGACAGGGATATCTGCCAGAAGTGGAACTATCGGATTCTCAGGCACCGGGAAGCAGACCCCAAATAATTCTCCGGATGGGATCAGAGCTGGTTCCTCTTTGCCGAGTTCGGAGGATGGTCTCATCGGGCCTACCAGCTGCTGTATTCCCTCCATGTCGATCCCTGGATGTTGCTCTGAGCTCGATCCTGTCGGTGCCGGTGTGGCGGTAGTACTCGCTGAGTTTTCCTGGATGAAAGCTTCAGACGTTTCCCCGATGCCAGCTATCTGACTAAGCGAATGCTTCGTGGTCAGAGTCCTCACCGTGCAAATCCACCGCATGGAGCAAGCCTCCTCCTTTGGGCGACTAGTTCACGCTCATCAAGCAAAAGCGTCGAGTCGACAGCATGACCAGACTCTAAGTAGATCTCCATCCGGCTCGAATGCCTTGATGGAGACCTCCTGGGGATTTGGCGTCGAAAGAATCGGAACTTCGTGGAGATCCGAGTTGCCGATTCGGAAGTTGGGAATAAGGGATACCGATTATCGGAGATGCGATGTTCGGCTTGCCCATGTGGGTTGAGGCACGACAAAAATCGCCAGCGATCGATCGAGAGTGGGGATCGAGGCGATTCTACCAGTGGCGGATCTGGGAAGCGCCTTCGCGAAGACGGCGATACTCATTCTTAAAATTACGCGCGGGTATTGAATTCCTTAAAAATGCAATTGCTCGATGGGAGAGGGTAGTGGATGATATTGATTGTGATGATCTTTGCCTAAACTCTCAAGGTGATCGGGCGGTTTCTCCCCCATTTCCAATCCTGATTTTCGGACGCATTGGACCACACAGGATCAGACGGGATCACGACAGATAACACCAGGATCGCGACGGATCGGACCAGGCTCACCGCGGATCGCACCAGAATCGCGGTGGGTCGAACCAGGATCTCACCGAAATCGAAGTCATACCAGGATGACACCACAGTCACGCCGGGATCACACTAAGCTAACCTTAGGATCAAACCTGGATTGTGCCGCGATTGTTGTGATCGGAGAGAGATCCATGTGTGATCTGACGTGATCCCGAATCCCATCCCTAGTGTGTGGTGAAGGATACACATACGTATGTTGGCGCCGCCGCCGCTGCTGCCACCGCTGTAGTGCGTCAGTCTATGGCAAGCGGGAGAGCGAGCAAATGAGTGAGTGTGGGAGGGAGGGAGGGAGGGAGCGAGCGAGCGAGTGAGTGAGTGAGTGAGTGAGTGAGTGAGTGAGTGTGTGCGCGTGCGTTCGGACGTCGCTCTGTTCGACGACTACGGCGACTGGCTCTCTGGTTAGTGACGGTCGCGACTGTTCCTTCCAGCGAATGTTCCCATGGAGCGAGCGCGATAATTCGGACTGACGAGTAGGCGACGAGACGGACAGCCGCCGTCACAGCAGCAAGCTCATCCATGTTCCTAGCGGCGGGTGAGCCAGCGCAGTAGCCGACCGATACATCTGAGCCTCGCGGACGCCATCTCGGTTGGAGTGGGCTAACCGCTCGAAATATTTTCTAAAACGCTGCTCAGCGCCGGGCCCGACAGTGTGACGAGTGAATACGGCGCGTGAATCGTGCTATCTACTTCGGGTTTGGACGCTTTGGTGCGATGTGGATGCTTCGGCCACAATGACGGGGGCTACTAATCGCCGCTGCCCTCTTCGATCCCAGCCGCCCATAGATCGGCGCCGTCGGCTGCGCTAGGGTGTGCCAATGCCAAACACGATTATCAACAACAACAACAAATTGTACGATTTTTCTTCTTCCTCGACCATCATCGGTTGTTGGAGGTACGTGTGTTCGCCAGCAACACGCGTACGCCGCGACTACGGCGCTCCAAGACCGATTGTTCAACCCTTGAGTCTTCTGCGACCGCAACCTTTGCAGCAGTAGCGGCAGCAACAACAACACCAGTGGCAGCATCGCTTCTGTCGGGAACTGCGGGGACATCCACTGAAACAACGGCAGCTCTCGAGAGCACCCGACGCCCACTTCGAGGACAACAACAATACGTGCCGTGAGAGGAGTAGCGACTGACTGCGGAAGCTGCTGCAGTAGCCAGGCCGACGTCAACACCTGCGGCAAGAGCAGCGACTTGACGACGACTGCAGCAACAGTCACGGTGAAAGGAATACGCGGAGAGCGGCGCGACATCTTCAGCGACAGAATAGCATTCACTCTCTTCAGGAAATAACAACAACAGGATAAACAACAATAAAAAGAGAGCAACGGCGACTTTCACCACAACGACAACTGAGACAACAACGACGACGACGGATTAAGAAGGAATAGTGAAACTTGTGAAACATAAAGCGTCCAACAACACTGACAGCGAACTCTTGAGTTTACTCCATTCCGTCTAAACGTGTCGTTCAGTTCCGGCGGTAGTGGAACACCAACGATACCGCAATCACGATAACCTCAACACGAACAACCATTGATCTTTTCGAGGGGTTTTTGTCTTCCCGACAACATTTTAAGGTGAGTGCGAATTGGGGAAAACCCTTTTCGAGCGGAAAATCCGAGATTCATTGAGATCTTGCTAGCTTCCTAAGCTCCTTAAATTCGGATGGCAGGCTCCTCTTCGGGCCCATCGAGCAATGCATGGGGCTGCTGACATGCGGTGCCTGTACTCACCTTCAGGAGACAGACGGAGTCGTCGACGAGTGAGAAGCATTCAAGTCTACTGATCTCGATAGATGCGAGTCCGGAACTCAGCGAGGTTTTAGCGCGCAAAACCGGATTAGCTCCGTTGAGCTCAGAACGCTATTGGATCCGATTGATTATCCAGATCGGAAGATTCCCACATCCGGAGCTAGAAAAGATTCTGCGGTGACCGAGGCGAATTGACGACTATGGATCCTCCACCCGTCCTGTAGATCCTCTGTATCCCCCCGGAGGTCGTCCGGGTTTTCGACCGCGACCTGAAGAGGCCAGAAGGAGGGGCGGAGAAGCTCAAATACCTTAAAAACAATGAATATGAATATCGGGGATAGGAACGAGTCCCTCCCTTTCTCGTGGGCGTTGATCTGAGCTAATGGCTGTCAGTTTGAACGGTAATTATTCGGATGAACGGGGAACTCCTCTAGCCTGCTCATTTTGAGTTCGATTCCGAATGAGGTTCGTGATCGATTCGCGGTCAAGTTCCCGGGAGGGAGTTTTTCCTTCTGATGATCGGCAATTATTGTTCTAATCGATTCCCTCGGGTACTTGTTTCCTCACGGGAGAACAAAACGGATATTCTGAGGGGCTTATTTAGCCGCAATCACAGATCATTATGATGATGGTATCCGCTATGAGGAACGTGTTAATCGAAATGCGTGAGGAGAAACAGACCCCTCGCTCCAGCAATCGGTGGACGATGGGTCAAGCCATGCGGGTTCCCCAAGTTATTCCTACATTTGGAAATCGCGCCCAACTCTAAAGCTGGGAGACTCGGGCGGTTATCTGAATACGCGAAGATCCTCTCGTGCTATCTCGAGAACGATGTTCCTTCAGATCGGACGCTCCTTCTCGGAGACTTCAAGGGAGAACAATCCGATCTTCTATGATGCGTCCTGGTGCTTGCGAACCTCATTGTAGTACAAACAAACGGGAGGGAGAAGCGGACCTTTTCCTTCTTCCTGGCCGAATTCCCCGCTCGAATGATACTCTCGTGAATTCACGTCAGTACCTCCGTCGGAATTTCGCTTATCCTTCTCATCCTGCAGCCAGAGTATTTGACGGATGACGGCCAATTTGATTTTTGTGCGGTCGATCCCCTGGGATCGGGCAGTGTTTTTCCGGAATGTCATCTCGATCGTCGACGAAGCTGGGGAACAGCTTCAGTCCGGCGATCCCTCTTCATCACACCTCGCTCGCGAACGCGAACCGAATCTTGAGCCAGGAATCGTGGAATCAAATCGAATCCGCGTCCTGATCGCCAAGGAAACCAATCGCATCGGGCAAACGTTCCGCAACTTCGTTCCGCGTACCCCTTGCGGCCGCTGTCTCATTCCCCGTTCGGGAGTGTCCAACTGAAAATTTCTGATTCCGAGGATCGGCGTTCCGTAGCACCGGACGCTGGGTCTTCTTCAATCTCGAAAATCCCGCGGTCGACGATGGTCAGGGATCAAATCGACCGGGTCGCCGGTCTGGGCGCCCGCCCGCTCGCTTGCTGCTGTCGCTTAGCCACCAAGCAAACTGGCGGATCGCTGTTCGTCGATTGATAATTGGTGTTGTCACTGCTTGAAGCCTGCAGCGTCGCATTGTAGCAACAGCAGTCGACGCTGTTGACATTGCTTTTCAACCAAGCAGTCAAGCAACCACTGAACAAACGCATTGACAGCGTCGCAGCGGCAATGAACCCAGCTTGCGGGTCGGACGATCAATGCGCCGCATCCTTGTAGCCCGTGTTCCACTAACTGTCTGCTGAGCGGTCAGACGTGTCGGGTTGCTTCGAAGAGCAATTAAAGAGCTCATGACGCTCGAAGAGCACCTTCAGAAAGCGATCGACGGCCGAGAATTCGAAGCTCGTCAATTCGACCCGCCCCGCAACCTGTGAAGGTCTTCCGCCTGCCGCCATGTCGCTCTCGGATCCCCGACCTACGACAAGGTAGTTCATGCTTGGCTTGACCCGGCGAGCGAGGCTCTATGCTTCTAGATGGGACGGCTCAATGTTTCCATCGGAGTTCTCCAGCTCCGAGCGAGCAAATAGAACAGTTAGCGGTGTGATGAGCATCATCATCATCACCACCACCGCCATCATCATGACGGCGGCGGCGGCGGCAGCGGCGGCGGTGAGGGACAGGAAAAATGTGCGAGAGGAGGATTCGGACTCAATCAAGGGTATTGGGATCGGCGGATCGGCCGAGTGCTTAACTATGTGGTTGAGCGAGCGAACCAGCGAGCCATGGGCGGATGTACGGACTGCTTCGATATGCGTAACCTTTGCCAGTTGTGCCTATTCATAGATTTCCTTTGGAGGGCCTCGCCTTTCCAAAATGGCGCCGTCTGTCCGCCAGCTCGCTTGCCAGCTGCCCGCCATTCCTCCCGCCGTTTCGCCCGCTAACCTCCTACCCGAGCGCACGACTGTACACTGTGACTCTCATTCCTACCGGCGAGGGCGACCGAGGAGCTTTCCACTGGATTTTCCTATCCCTCACCGAAGAGAATGCGTTGAGTGACGCGTCAGATCGGCGTTGAACATTCAACTGTTGCTGTCATCGATCGGAATTCCGAATCAACGATCGAGCTATTCGGCCGAGCGACGGATGATGGGCGTAATTTGTGAATTATACTCGTACGCGCACGCGCCACGTTCATGCGGAAGCCAGCAGACGGGGAATCTCAGCGGGCGGCGGGACTCTGAACCGGATTGGAATTATCTACATGTCGAGTCTCGAGACGATCCTGGTTTCGCTGTGAGATCACCATCGATGCATCTCTCGACCTCGGGCATTTGAAGAAATGGGCTGGAAAGAGGAGCGGAGGAGGCTTCTGATTGTTTGAACCCCATCTCGTCACTCGTTGCGAGCTGGTCCCGGTATTCGTGATTTTCTGAGGTACGATCCCACGGACAGATCGGATTACAGCGTCGAGGAACGACGTCAAGTTCATGCTCCGGTTCGTAGAGATGAGCGTCGAGAGAGTTGGTGACATCGAATATCCATCAACTTGGCGATATTCTATGAAATGATCTGAACGCCACTCGTCAATAGAAAACGGAATCCTTGACTCCGATCGAAGGTAGATTCTTCCCGAAACGTAGGGATTGAATTTGCCAGTACCGATTCCTTTCCTGGGATTGTCTCGATGCTGCTCACAGCATTCAAGTGTATGTATCCCTTCTGGAATCCATGTATTGGTTGACTTGCGCGCTTGAGTCGCTGTCGCCCGGATTCAATAGAGCTGAACTTGATCGAACTCGTTCAGGCGTCGATGTTGCTCTCGCAATGCAGAAGACGACGAGCGCCGCGGATCTATAGCGCTCATGGGTCTTCTGGAAGATGGGTGTAAATGAAATACAAGCCCCCGATTCCTGGAAACGACGAGTAGGCGAGCGGATCGCGGCCGATCGGAGCCGATCCCGAAGCGGGAGTACTTATGAGTTATGAGAGTCCAGCGCCGCCGCCAGTCCATACCGAATTCTCAGCTTGAGACAATTACCGATGTTTTTTTCGTCTGGAATGCTCGATCTTGGGACCGAATTCGAAGTTTACACATCACTGCCGGGGACACTCCACGAAAGGTCGAACGCGAGAAGCGAAAACTCACAGGAGAATCTAGGACGGATTCCTTCATAGCTGGTCTGGCTCGAGTTGGACTGGATGCGCATCGGAATCGGACAGTGGAATTTCCAGGGCGGTGATCTCCCTACCTGTCGGATATTCCCCACGCGGGTTAATCGTTCCCGACGGAGCGATATCCTGGACAGAAGGAAAGACGCAACGTGATTCCGAGATGGGATCCTCGGAAACACCAGAATTACTAGAATTATTATATCCCGACTGATTCGAACGAGATCGGATACACGACTTTTGCTCGGCATGGCTTTTTCGGGAATGGGAGACTCTCGCGCAGCCTTCCGAGCCATTTTCTGTTTTACTTCTCACGATCAGATTCTTCGAACAATGTGCTGTCGATAAAAATTGATCCGGAAATCACCGGTTGCCTCGATGCATGTCTATTTTCGATCGGGTTTTCCCCGAAAACTCGGTGAGTCATGATCTGATGGCGATTGAACGGACGTAATCCAAAGGAAATTTACAGTACAAAGAGGGACAGTCCGCCTGACCATCGAAGGCAGCTTTGCGAGCGCCTTCAAGGGAAAATCGTGGCTACTCGGATCATGAGGACTAGAGTTTAGAATCCAATTGGCGAGAATATTTCGAGTTCTGATCGCGCGCATGATCCTCGTAGAATTCACGTTCAGTGCTCCTATCATTGAAGCGAGATTATCTGGGTATCCTCGATGATATTGATGCTTGAAAAACCGATTGAGTTTCCCTGCGGACCTGCAGGCAAGGCTCATCCCTGTGTCCTGTCTCTACCGAGGCCTTTGCAGGAGCCAATTGTCTCTGGAGAGGCCGTACCTGACCGAGTCCAAGCCTCACCGTTGACTTTGGAGTCGGCTCCCTCTTGTATTAGCCTGCCGATGCCATTCCGCGAACAGCGTTATAATTTCTTCGATCGAGAGAGCCTGTTGTACGAGAATAGTTCCTCGAACACGGGCCGCTTCAGTGACGAGCCCGACGAGAGCAGCGAAAGCTGACGCAAGTAGCCTGCCTCGCCTCCATGCGTGCCAGCTCGCTCGATTTCACTTTCTTCTAATTCCATCCCCGTTGTTGCTTTTCTTTTTTTCGTCCGTCGTCTCCGTCCGAGCTGCATTTCGAGAACTTCGACAAAAAAACGGTCGCATGATAGAAACATTTTGTCGGCACTTCGAAATTCAGAGGACGAAAAAGAGGTTATCGATTGAATGATCAGGAGATTATTTGTCTCGGACAGTCATCTGGGAGCGGGACCATCGGTGAAACCGTCCGTAATGGCCATGAGGAAAGCCAAGGATTGGTCCCCAGGGGCGGTGGGGGGCGAAAAGGGGAGGGGAGAAGGGGAGGAAGGAACAGTGTTTAACACGCGACTCCCTCGTTGAGCTTGCCGAAGGATGCTCCATCGGTTCTGAGCTCTTCTATTTAAGTAGGTTCATTCTTCATTCGTGCTCCAAGCTCGCCTCTTTCTCCCATCGATAGCCTGCCAGCGGCGATCTCGACTCCACCACTGCGGTTACTCCTCCACCACTGGTAGCGGTACCAGCATGATCATTGCTTTTCTCCTCAGCCGTTTCTCCATGGTCCCTTCCTTCCGCTGTTCCCTTCCTTCTTTCCTTGCACTCCCTACAAGAAGCGGGATGGATGCGCCACGAACGGCGAGAGCTCGAACAGCGGTAGCAAAATGGGCCAGACAGCGGACTGAGTTGGACTTGATATATGTGGAGGGGGAGGTCAGGGAACTAGCTGTGACCTCGCCAATGAATGATTCGAACGCACAGCTCAACTTCTTCCGCTTTTCCAAATGCCAATAATACCTTTTGTGATGATTTGGTCTGCTCCCCGACGGATTGGGCCGATCGGGTGTCACTTTACGAGCTGCTCCCGGTTGGGAGCGTTGCCGAACAATGGCGATGTATGTTCGAAATCTTCTTTGCGGCTTCCAGTTGCATATCATCGATGCAACGATAGAGAATGAAATGCCTCGCACACGTATCCTGCAGGACAAGCTCCGGATAAGTGGTGGGGGATAAAAAATGCGTGGACGTCGTGTCGCGGACAGCCCCAGATCAGGGAGACGGCTAAATATATTTATCTCGTCTTACCCGTAATTACTTGCGATCAGGATCGCCGGTCCCCGAACTTCGCCCGGATAATTTGATGTGGGATCAACAAAAAACATAACAGAAAAATGTCCCCAGCGAGAGATTCGATACGAGGGAAGGAAACGTTAGGGAAAGGAGCCAGGGGTTCTTTCGTTGTCGGTAGCCCCTGTTTGACTGAGCGAAAGTCATCTGAAAGGAGTACGTTTAGATGTCTTGGGACGAGCATGAGCTGTGCAGGTCACAACTATAACGCTCTTGCTTTTCTTTGCAGTTACACGGGTTCTTGCAGGCAAAATGATGGCCTGCTGTTTGTCGGAAGAAGCTAAAGAACAGAAACGTATCAACCAGGAAATCGAACGCCAGTTGCGAAAAGACAAACGCGATGCCCGACGAGAACTTAAATTACTGCTGTTGGGTGAGTACTTGGACGAAGGTCCTTCCGCTAATCTACACATCGCAGACAGCCTGAGCTGATCCGAATATCCGGAATGGATATCAGTGTCTGTTGGCCCACGGAGGAACAGGAACAAAGAATAGCTCTTCCACAATAGTGGAAAATCTTGAACATTCCCCATGATTCGTGGACTCATTCTGACCGAAAGATTATTGTGCTTCTCCGCAGGGACGGGAGAGAGCGGGAAATCAACATTCATTAAACAAATGAGAATTATTCATGGGTCGGGCTACGACGATGACGACAAAAGAGGTGAGATTTATCTGTGCTCAAGTCTACACGAATGGCCGCCTAAGATCGGAGGTTCCCATCGATGCACATGGGCTCCAGAAATGATTTTCCCATGGCGGTGGTAGACGGCAAGGGACGATTCTCCTGAAGATACACTGAACGAAGAAGAATTCGGAAATATTTTCCTAAGATTCTCCATTGTTTCCGTCCAGGGTTCATCAAGCTCGTCTATCAAAACATCTTCATGGCAATGCAATCCATGATCAAAGCGATGGATATGCTCAAGATTTCATATAAGGATCCGACAAATACGGAAAACGCACAACTGGTGTCATCTGTCGACTACGAGGCCGTCACGACATTTGAAAAGCCTTTCGTCCAGGCTATTCAAAAGTTATGGGCCGACCCAGGAATACAAGAGTGTTACGACAGACGACGGGAATACCAATTGACGGATTCTGCCAAATACTATCTTTCCGACATAGAGCGCATTGCTCGAAGGGACTACCTGCCTAGTCAACAAGACATTTTGAGGGTCCGAGTGCCAACAACAGGTGAGTTTCGCTTCGGCACGCAGATCCCCCTCAGCTTATCGATAGGCAATGAAATAGAACGCTAGAAGAAAGTGTCCAGACGAGAGGATTTTGAGCGAGGGTCCTGAGTTTCCGGCCTCATTCCAGGAATCATTGAGTATCCATTCGATCTTGATTCGATAATCTTCCGCATGGTCGACGTCGGAGGACAACGTTCCGAAAGACGAAAATGGATCCATTGTTTTGAGAACGTGACTTCGATTATATTCTTGGTTGCTCTCTCTGAGTACGATCAGGTGAGTTAGTCAATCGGTGGAGCTCTGGCAAGAACTGAGAGCTCATCGTCAGCGCCATATGACGACCATCACTTCACATGTTGGACTATGACGATCACTACATTCTTCTACTCCTTCCTCACAGATTCTATTCGAAAGTGACAACGAAAATCGCATGGAGGAGTCGAAAGCCCTGTTCAAGACAATTATCACTTACCCGTGGTTCCAGAACAGCTCGGTCATATTGTTCTTGAATAAAAAGGTATGAATCCGCAGAACTCACCCATGAGATATACATACCGACTCATCTGTCCATTTGTTTATTTGCTTCAATCGCTCGTCTCTCGGCTTCAGGACTTGCTCGAGGAGAAGATCACGTACTCACACCTGGTAGACTACTTCCCGGAGTACGATGGACCCAAGAAAGATGCTATCCATGCCCGGGAGTTCATTTTGCGGATGTTCGTCGACTTGAATCCGGACTCGGAGAAAATCATCTATTCGCATTTCACATGCGCTACAGGTAAATCCTGAACGCCTTGGGAACTTGTGTTTTTCGCGCTCCCAATATTCCCCATTCCGAAAGGTCGGGGAACGTTCTACCCTTAATCGGTCAACTCTTCGAACATTTCGTTTATTGTTTTTATATTCCTCAGACACCGAAAATATTCGCTTTGTCTTCGCCGCTGTGAAGGACACGATCCTTCAACTCAACCTGAAGGAGTATAACCTTGTCTGAGGATATTTCACCGCCAGCGCTGCATGCATCGTAAACCTATACGTACCTATCTTCTGGTAACTATTCGCCATCGAGACAAATGGGAAACAATCATACCTCGAGATCGAGCAGCTCGAAGGAGTGCTTTCGAGTTATCGAATGGCTTGACCCGGTCATCAACAGTGTCCTCTACGACAACATCAACGCCAGAGAACCCCACAACTACTGCAACATGAACAACAACAAGAACTGGAGCAAGAACAACGTTTGGAACGGAAGAAGCGTCTTTTCGAGTGACATCAAGATGTCATCCTAAACCACTAGGATTTCTACTGATATTTTTACATTATCTTGGGGTCGTCGACGCAAAGCTATTTCCCACTACATTTTCCGGACGAAGTCGTCGTCGAACGCGTTTTCGCACGAAGAGGCTAGCAGTCGCCGGACCCACTCGTGAAATTGGAGTTTCGATCAACTCTGTCGCAAGCACTGCTAATCGTCTGAGTGCCGGCGCCGCCGCGCTGCTGCTCTCCATCGCTCTGAGAGGGCCGCCGCGGTGATGACGGCGACAACAGTTCCGATGATGATGATGATGATGACATCAAAAAACAAGAGCCCTCCCGGGGGTCGCTTGCTCAGATGAAGTTCTGTTCGACGGAGCTTGAGAGAAAACAATAATGGAATCGATTGAACAAGCGTTGCTAACTAGCTAGATGCTGAACGACACTGTCGTCACTGTCGCTATTATTGGACCGATCCGACTCTATGTGTCGAGGATGTTTGATGAATGCTTGAACCCGAATCGATCGGAGGAGAGATTGACAGTCGAAAGCATGAATGGACGGAGGAATGAATGAATGGATGAACCAAGCTGATGAATGTTAGGCCATTATGATGAGGGGCTGACCGGAGAGATGGATCGGTTGGATTGAGTCGATGGACTGGATGAGGAACTGCGACTTTTAAGGGTGAATGCGTTGATGGACAAGCAAAGATAAGAACGAGGAACGACGCGTGGACTTGGGAGCTGGCATGACGAGCTGTATCAGTCTGGAGATCATCATTGCGGTGCCAGCGAATACGATAGCGAAATTAATTTATCCGTGGAAATTCGTGATCGACGTCAAAGGAAAGAGAATCCCAGTGCCGTAACTCGGACGATTTCTCTCTGGTTCGATCATTTGGAGGAGAAAGTGGGACTCGTAGTGGATTGCTCGAGTGATTTGGTCTACCTGTCTGTCGTCTGCCAGTCTGTCCGTCATCTGCTGGGGGAATCTGGTCAGGAACTGCCAGGATGAGGTCGTTGTCGTCGTCGCGACCTACCCGTTCCGATCCAATCTGAAATCGTCCAGAACCGACATGGGGATGCCATTGCAAGCAAAGTGGTAAATTTTCTATAGCGGCCCTGTCAGACAATGATGAGGACGGGAGACTGATACGGAAGTGTTCAGCGAATTCGACTCTCGATGATCCAAGAGATGGGAGAGTGAGAGAATGGTCGGTCGGTCGCCTGATCGGTTGATGGGTCGTCGGGGTGCCGTGCAGAGGCGAGGGCGATTCTTCCGAACTGAGGCTTCTTCTGAATCTGTTGGGTCTCTGTTGTCGTCAAACACAATGTCCAGCTGCCAGAGGCAATAGGAGCGGGGTAAAAAATCTCTTCTGGTGGGTTGCGTCTGGAGCAACACCCCGAGAGGAACACCCACTGGGGCACCGGAGAACGTGTACGACCGGGAGAAGCCCGAGATCAGGCGAAATCCATGCGGCCATGCGTCGGGTCAGCGCTCTCGCGCATCATCCGAGACACGGCGACGACCGCGTACGGATGACGAAGAATGTTCGAACTTCATCGTATGAAAGGGTTGAAGAATGAAGACCCGATTCACAACAAGGCTCTTCTCGCGAGGCCCACCATCGCTGAGTCCTTCTCCGCTCTCTCTGCTACAGCTAAAGATGAGTCGGCACTGACCCTAGATGACGACATCAATGGCGACCAGATGTAAAGGAAATCTCTAAATGTTACACTCTCCTGTAAATAAGCATAGAATATATGAGTGGCGGACGGCGGTTCACAGAGGCGAAAACTTACATGGCAGTTAGATAAATTATTATTCACATACGATATTTACATGAACAGACTGGGTCTTCATATACATACATGAAAGTGTGTGTGTGCGCGCGCGTGCGTGTGTGAGGATAGAGGAAGTGCCCTGCTGACGAACAGAATTCCTTCGCTTTGGTATACAGCAGACAGAGTGATTCAGGAGGTTCAATTCTATCCGATGTTCGAATTGATTTTTCTGTCTGTGTGAGCTCGCTAACAAGAAAAATTAGAGTCAACATGAGGTCAAGATCATACAAAATCGATCGAGCCTGTGCTCGCTTCTCGATTCTTGACGGACCTCACGTTAAACCCCCCCCCTCTCATCGTCCGCCACTTCTGTATTGGGCTGAAGAAAAATTATCCTGCGCTCCAATTTCGCGGTGCATTTCATCCTATCGGTTCGGAAGTCTCGCCGCTCCATCGCTATAGAGACGAAATCCCGGACACACCGTGAAGCACGCAGAAAACCCCTTTGCCGAACACACAAACATATTTCTACTCACAATATGTATGGATGCTTGTTGACTGATGGACGACTGATCGAAGCTCTGCTCTCCTCCCTCGAGCCTGGACAGAAGTCTCAACAAAAATTCAGATCGATCACGCCGCCGAATTTCCGCCGCTCCTGACATCCGGCAGGACCGACAAGAACCATGCTCGACCTCGGTTTGGGAATGGAGCCGCTCGCGCTCAGACTCGTCCCTTCGACGCCGAACTGGATTGGGTGCTGGCTGGATTGGCGTTCGGCTGGTAGTGGCTGGCTCAAGGGAGACGAACGGGATCACGATGACAACGGCGATGGCGAAAATGATGACGACGACGGCGACGATGGTGATGAGGAAGGTGGATTATCTTGATTGATGATCACAATGGCTCGATGAAGATTTGGCCGAGTATGGTCGCGAGGTGGCCGAGGGGAGTATAGCGTATACGACGACAAAGCTGTGTTGCGATTCTCTTCCTTTACTGAAGTAGACAGCATTATACAGACGAAACAGAGAAGTACTACTACCAAGTTAGTCGGAAGCCGCCCTCCGAGGGGCTTTTGTCAGCTCAACTTCCGAAGCAGAAGCGTCGGCTTCGCGCCCAGTCCTGCACGCCCGCTGCGTGGAGCGCAAATGAGTCAGACCAATGTGCTGAACGATAGAAGTCACCGTCGCTCGAGCGATTGCGTATCTCTCTCCTCGATATTCTGATCAAATGAACTTGAGTATCCGGAGGACTATCCCTGATGCTGTACATGCACATATGCAATGAAACTCATTAGCGAATTCGAAGCACATTCTGTAATTTTCGCTCGGGGTTCGGCCGAGTGCTTCATCGACTGATTGATCGATTGTCTGAGTCTGAGTGAATTTCTGCGCGAGTGGTTTCTCGATTGATCAATAGAAGAACTGATTGATTGGAGAATCGACTGACTGAGTGAGCCGATGAGGGTCGAAGGCATGTGTGGATGTCGCTGAGCGATTGCTGGGGCGCATACAAATCGATCCATCGATCGGTCGGTCGTTCGGCCGTATGAGTGCGTAGTTTGAGTGATTAGGTTATTTTTCATGAGGAGAAAAATGCAACGCTGCCTCCAGTAGAGCCAGCTTTTGCTGACTGGTTCACTAGCTCAATTCCGACTGGCATGAGGATTCTATGCCGTTTGTTGCGCTTTGCCTACGATCATAACATTGCCCCATGGACTACTTAACATGAAGATGGTGACGTTTTTTCATGGAGACATTAAATCAATTGAAACATGAGTGATTAGAATATGGACTGACCTATGATCATATTCATATGACAGAGGTGACAACAGCAGCAAGCCAGAGCGGAGACATGTCGAGAGCGATGCGGCGCTCCGTCATTCCACAATCCATCTTCGATCGGGAGACATAACGCTTTCACGATGATCCGGGAGAGAGAGGCGAAATTTCATCAGAACACCATGTCGTAATGGGCAGGGAGCACAAGTACTCTCCTCTTGTCTCTGCAGTGGTCACAAAACGAGCCTAGTCACGCTGTCGACTCGACAACAGCCTCAGCTCGGTACGAATGATTGGGACTGATGGGTCCACTTTGATGGATGGAGTTCGCAATCGCTTTTTCGATTAAACGATCAAATATCTTCGAGTTGAAAATTGTGATTACGGCAATGGAAGCAGATGAGAAACCGAGTCAACAACTTGGAGGAAATTACCGGAGAAGGTGGGAAAGATTTTCCCGACGGAGAGGATCTCCAGCTCTCATAGCATGCCTCGATAGAGCGGGGTTCCGGCATTCGATCGACGGAGAATCGCGAGCGTTAAACGCCGGAAACTATGGGAATGGGCGGAGCGTGTCCGTCGTTTGAAGAGAATACGATTTCTGACCACCTGTCTCAACATCCGCTAATTGTCAAACACAGGCTTCGATAACCAGAGTTCTGCACAGCGAAATGCAAGTTTGAACTTCCGCCTAAGGTATGTTTTTAGTCATAGTCCGTATGATACTATATGAGAGATATTTGCGGAAACTGCGAAAAGACGACCCTCTCCTTCTGATTGTCTTGAATTGATTGAGCACGCAAGCTGACCCTGTCAATATTTGGTTGAATACTGTGGAGCGGTTACCTGGACGAAAACTAGCCCCGCAAATGTTATTCGCTTATTGCTCCTATTTCGAATCCGCGATACATACTTTGGAGAAGGCAGAACATACCGACCGATGATAAGATGCTGACGATGAATATACATAATATATATATATAAATAAAATTATATATATATATATGACACACACTATATGAATTGAAAAAGATGTAATGTGAGAAAGTACTAGTTGTTCATCATTTTCGATCTAGAAACCCAAACAACAACAACAACAACAACAAAAACAGAAACCCAGCGCTTCCAACCAACCGACTTATGTTCTGAAGGAAAAAGAAATTATGGAATTACGCCTCCAAAGTCCGCTACGCCGAGGTCGATCGGCTTTCCGCCTATCCTCACCCAATGTCCACCTGCAGTCTCCGTCTGAAGTCCACCCACTGTCTCGACCTGTATTTTCGGTATTGCCTCCACCTATGTATCGTACTTATCGTACTTTCGACCGTGGCCGCTTGTTCGTCGCGCGTACGATAGATACACGTCGCCGACGATGACTGGAACGGCGATCCGGTGGATAGTTTCGACAGATTCAAGTTCCGACGATGTGTTCAGGTGTTCCTTAGGTTAATTTTGGGTGTCTCTCTCCGTATGAAGCCTAAGGTTTTGCGTCATCAGGTCGCGTGATTGCCGAAGGTTCGAGTTTATCATCGAACAGTCTCTATTGAGTTCCCCTTTTCTCATCGAGCATTTTCCATTGTCTTCGATCAGATAGATGTTGTCCACTGCCTACGAGGTGGATGAATGGCTAAATATTCGATTGATTGACTGATGTCTGATGGATTGATTGATCGACTGATTGATAGATTGACTGGTAAATTGTCTAACAGTTTGTTTACGGGAAGGCAGGCGTATTGATGTTGACACGACTTGCCAAGTTTCGCCCCGAGCGATCTAACTAGGAGCCAGCTATCGATGATGAACCCAGCTATTTTAAATATAAGTGAATTTCGCTCTCTCTCTATTTCTCCTTCCCTTGGATATATGATGAAGAAAATGATGATGATGATAATGACGACGTCGATGATGATGACGATAATAATAATAATGATAATTAATGATAATAATAATGAATAAATAGTCTTGTCATCAAATGTGAGCGTGTGTTTCTTATCGAATCCATACACTTGGCTCCGAGAGGAACAATTATTCTCAGAGCCAGCAAGGACGGGACTTGGGCGGGGAAGCGTTTCCCGCTCCCCCCATCCGACCGCATGTAGTCCGATGGGCCCTGGGAGTGGTGACGCTGCCAGGGTACGAAGGGGTTTGGGTTTGAGTCCCGAACCAGTCGATATCTCTTTTCGGGGAGGTCCTCGAGGGTCATAAGGCTGTGGGGGCGCCGAGGGAGTTACGTGTGGAAGGAGACGATGATTCTCAGAGCGTGGTCCTCCGGATTCGACAAAATGATGGGTACTTATGTTTCCCAATAAACGCGCTCACAGAATGAGCCTGCTACCATTGCGTATGAACACCACATAAGACCCCGAAATTCTGATTCCAGGGCCCTATCGGGAGCTCTGGAAGTCTATCGAGCGGTTGGTCAGGATGGTCAAGAGGCAGTCGCCTTGGCATTTGGCCTGCTAAGGAGGGCAGGGCTCCTCGTCTCATGCTGGAATTTCGAGATATATCCTTGCCAGTCTGCAAGGCTAATGTAGCGACGACGTACCGTCGCGACCATTCATAGCCGTGGCGCTCCGAACTGGAAATTAATCTTTATCGACCATGTGATTCAAAATCCTTGACTCTCAAAAGAGGAGACCTCTCGGAGATCGGGGAAGGGAGACACGTACGGGATGTCTCTCTCTTTAGGCTTCCTAATTCCGCCGTGCCACCTTGCAGATATCTGAGAATCGGAACGCGATTCCGCGCTCTGGTGGAGATCAGTATGCAATACCCTCCAAAGAACCACGTTGGATAGGCGTGTATGATCATATGTAGATACATAGGTGATATTCTCGGCGGTTGAGAAGCGACCACCTGGAATCTTGAACATTACGGGTCATATGAAAGCCTCCGCTAGTCAGGATCATTGCGCGAAAGCCAGCTCGAGAAGGAAAATCCTCCCCCAAGTATCGGAAGCTCCCGGAAAGAAGACACCATTGCTTGTTCGAGTGCGTCTTCATTGAAGCGCTGCTTTACTCCCAGATCGGATCCAACAGGACGAATAGTCATACATTCACACATCAAAGCCGAGCTATGCGACGTAAGGCTAAAAGGCAACGGGGTTCCCGATTATGTCGGGAATGCCCCGCGCCTGAGATCCACTAGGACCTACTACTGTTATTCCACCGATTCTAGAGGCTCAAAGGGAACTCGGACGCCTCAATCAGCACGACCGAATACGCTCATGCGAATATTATTGCCCAGTGTTCATGACTGTCGACTTGAACATGAGAAATCAGTTATCGGCAACTTGTTCCTCTCGGGGAAAAGAAGAAAGACTTTACAGCTGGAACGTGGTGGCTGGAACTCGATCGAATTGTGACTCCGTAAGACATTCTTACATTTGGGAAGTTGCTTCTCAAAAACGTGATGGATCGGAATGCAAATGATCGCTTTCAATTCGATTCATATTACATACTGCAATCGTACTAAGATAAGATCAGGAATCCAAGGATCACTTTTCCAGGCACGATGCTTGCCTCGAAAACTCATGAATCACTATCAGGTGCGAGATCCTGAAGCGGAACATCCCGAGCTCACCTTCCCGCTTCGACACTGGGTGTATCCTCACTGGTCTTGATTCGACACCAGGAGACGGATCTCAAGCGCATTTCCTACCGATGAAGTTTTTGCGCGCCAGACACAGCTGGGATCGATAGATAGATACATACACTCATATGCACAAATCACAGAAAACCGCTAATCACATAACCGATTCACTTTCAAAGAATCTATCACATATTAAGCTCTAAAGCTCTCACTCCTCTTCAAACTCAAGATCCGAACGAAGAAAGACGAATTCTCTCCGAAAGGGACAAAAATGAGCGCTTAAAAATGTTGCGTACAACGTATTCCGTATTGGACAACTTCGAAAGACTTCATTCAGCTCCGCCTCGTGCTAGAACTCGCCGAGGCTCTTCGGAAGACTTCTCTGAGGGATTCGTATCGAGAGTTTCAATAATACCTCTCTCAACATCCTACGATAGGCCCTCCATGATCTTCTCGGGGCCCGCTCCCAAATGTGCAATGATATCGCGAGCTAGACGAACCAAACTCCGATATGTGAGGCGATCTCTTTTATGGCCGTGACCATTGAAGGAGAGGACGGTCTACCGCTCGTTTTCAGGAGGCCACTCTTGCTACATGGCCAGCCCCGGATCGACGTCGTTATGATACTCTCGAAAGCGATTTCAAGATACAGATGGGGGAATCGCTCGAGCGAGCGCTTCGTCGCCAGGGCGAGTCTTCCTCGGCCTCTTTGCTTAATTCGACAGCTGTCATAAATATTCCTCAGTAGACTTGCACAATCGGACTTTTGTGCGTTTACCTAACGAGGTTCCCATCAACTCCGAATCCATCGATGCCTCCGCGATGGGATCGAGGTCTGAACTCGATACTGAACTTTCCAGGTGAAGCCGATTTTGGTAGGCGTCGATTTTGAGGCTACCAGTCTAGGCTCAATAAAGTTTCTATCTCACAATCGCGTATTCGAAAAGTCTCGATGGGAGATTCCTTCAGTCAACGTAGATATCATCATCTCGTCTGTATGAAGTATTGTCTATCATCAGAGTAAATGAAGGACATATTGCTCGTTCAAAAACTTGATCGACTCAAAAAAATCACGAATGTTGGAAAGACCATTTCTGGACTCGATGTAAAGTCAAAATCCGGATTCCTTCCGCGGGGTGATCGATGCTGCTGGCTGAAAACGGACCCTCGAAGCATGGTTCGATATCTGCGGATCATACCCCTCAGGCTCACGATAGACAGTGTCGGATCCCGGCCTCGGGTTGGATGAGCCTCGAGAACGATGATTATGATGCCGTGTGGTTGCAAAATGATTATCGCGTTGGAGCCTTTCAATACTCCGCCGGTTCCTCGTTGTCATCCACACGGAACAGCCACCTCTCAAGCGGAGTCACCTTGAAAATTCAAGCGAGACACTCGGTTTCCAAAGCTGAAGGACTCGCCGAACTGAAGGAGCAGTCCGCGACGAAGGCAAGGGAGTATTTACCTCATGTTCCGTTATGCCGTAGAACTCTCGCAGATCATCGGCTGGGAACCAGGCGGGTTCTTCTGGGGGGAGCAGATTCACTCCGAAATATCGGAGGATCGCGACGCCGGGGATCCAAAGAGTAGAGACGCCAATGAGGAATATTATCAGGAGCACGCACCACGATGGCCAGCTTTGGGGAACAGGTATAGCCTAGAATGGGTCAATGCAGGGTTTCTTATCTGGAGAGAGAGACCCTCTCAAGCCTTACGCTGAGCTGATCACGCCGAGAGAACTCGACTCTATAATTCTGATCCTTCGTCAATGACCGACACATTGACAGATTTAATATAATTCTGGACACCGAGCTCACTTTTTCCCGATCCCACGCCTCGTATACGATGCCTCCCGTGAAGATTTGGTAGAAGGACGCTCCGAGAATCGTCAGCATTGTAGCAGGGGCCAGGTACTTCCAGCAGATATTGAAGTAGAAGCCAGGACGCACGCCTGTCATGAGCTCGATGTCGTCGTTGAACCTGCATTGCACCGTGATAGAAAAATATTCAGGCCAATGATGCGGCTTTGTATTCGAGGGAACCAGTGAGCAGCGATCAAAACTCGAGCTCGGGCAGCGATAGGAGCGACGAGAGTCAATTATCTGCCGCGGACACTCACCTTTTGAGGCCGTATATCCAGGAAATAGATATCACTTCACCCAGAGCGATGATGAGCAGCGGGAAACTTCCCGCGAAGTTGTCGAACAACGTAAACACGTAGTTCCCGGCTCCATGTGCGAACATCATGGACAAGACACAAGACAAGGCACAGATGCTCCCTGGATTTTCGAGAATCGACCGACTTGCAGTCACTTCTGGACTTGCTCAGAATCATCGACGTATACCCTCGATCTCTTCTGATGTTTCTGACTTGATCGACGCCATCCGACCTACCTGTGAGGAGCTCTTTCCTGAGATTGGGAAAAAGTTTGAGGTCAACCACTGAGGTGACAACACCCTCCAGAGTCCCGAACTGGCTGTCGATGCCCAGAGTGAAGAGCATCATGAAGAACAGAACCGACCACAGCGGAGCCTCTGCGGAGATTCAAGCCTTTGCGTAATGATACATTTGGGAATCGATCATGCATCGCTCAATGAAGTGATCCGAGGATTTATCCGACGAGCTACCTGGGAACTGATTGATTGCCTCCGTGAAGGCGATGAAGGCGAGGCCAGGTCCGGAGGCACTCTGTTGGAGCTCTTCTTCTAAACTGCATTCCATCCAGTTCACGGCTCCCGGCGGAGCATGCGTCATGTTCGGGAACAAAATCGCCCGTTCGGCAAGACACCGTTTGTTCGTCATATGAGCCTTGAAGCCTGAGAAATTGGGGATCATATCCGTGAGACTACCGCTGGAATTTCATGCTCCACTCCTGGGCGAATATACGGGAAATCCTGTCCGGAAAATCAACAGATAGGAAGACCCACGTACGTAAATATCTCCACGGCCGCCCGTGCCAGAGCGCGGCAAATTGTTATCGATCGATCGATCCCGTGTCACGGCAAGGCACGCTCCCCGATGGTACTCACCCAAAATGGAGAATACGACGATTCCGGCGAACATCGAGGTTGCGCAATTGCAACATGATACGAGAACAGCGTCCCTATTCCATGGAGAGAGAACTTGCGTCAATCCATGTCTGATGTCATCTACCTAAATCGCGGTCACAGCGGACCTGACTGGAAGGACTGACCGGAAACAATTATTGTGAACTGGATTATACGACGAGAACGCAATCAAACCGCCGAACGCCAGTCCCAAGGAGAAGAAAATCTGCGTTCCAGCTTCCAACCAAACCATCGGATCTCTCAGCTTCGACCACTGGAATGAATGCATCGCTGATGATTTCCCTTTGAAAACCTCTGGATGTCGAGGATTAGCAACTCAAGTCAGCAAACCCTTGCATAGAGTGGCCTCATGGAGAAATAAACTCACGTCGGGTTTGAAGAGATGTATCAAACCGTCACTCATTCCTTCCAGAGTGATGCCCCGGAAAAAGAATATGATGAGTACGAAGTATGGGAACGTCGCGGTGACATAAACCACCTGCAACCAGACGGTCATTCAATCAGTGATGAATGGATTATTTGTGCCAGCCGATGCGGACTGGTAAGATGAATCTTCCGACAATTTTTCCATCGTCGCAGTTTCTCCCCAGTATGCGGTTCGCTGCGGAACAGTGCTATGCATGACGGCGCCCCTGCATAGTGATTCTACTGACCCTAGGCCCTAGAACTCGATCGTGAGATTTCGATCATTCCGAGCTACAAAAAGTTCGTACCCCGCTCGACCATGAGAGCTCTCTTTTATTTTGGGGGAAAGGAAACAGATTCCGCGACAGATCAACTTTCCGACTGATCAAAGAGCCTCCCCATCCCGGTGTTCTACTTCAGGGTCGAACTGCTCTGCACATCTCCGACATCTTCGGGCCAGAGCCCCTCGCACGGTCTGCGGAAACACTGGTCGCACCTCGAATCTGTTCCCGGGAGCTCCGACTCACCTTCCCAGAGGAGGCGATGCCCTTTATCATGCACACGTAACAGAGAATCCATGCCAATACGAGACAGAAGGCAATCTTCGTATTGAAAGGTTCCGGGCTCTCGATGTCAGAGGATACGTCTAGCGTGACTCGGTACCAAAAATATTGAGTCGGACTGCTTTTCTGTGAAAGACATGAAATGCTCCGAAATTGAGTTATAGCCGAATGTGAAGAGGAGAATGGAGGAATCGATCTTCATTTTTTCTTCCAGTCGATCTTCGGAGTCCTGCGTAGAACCGATAACTCACCTGACATTCAGGAACGATGACCGCTGTTCCGTTCGAGGATACAGTGTGTGGGCACTCCGCCCACGGCAAGGGGGAGCCAAAACTCTGCATGAAGTAATACAGGCACCACGCGATGATCGTGTTATAATAGAGAGCAACGTTGAAAGACACGACAGCAGAAGCCAAACCTAGAATGATCGAGGTCGGATATTCATCACTATCCTATCGCGGCTCGTGTTTTCACCGAAATCCCCGTTCGTTAATCAAGACTGACCGATGCCGCCACAGTATGGCGAGACGAGGTTCCAAGCTCCGATCGCTCCTTTCCGGAGTCTCTGACCCACGGCAAGCTCCATATAAAAGATTGGAAGACCCTCGATTGCCAGCATGATGAAGTAAGGGATGAGGAAGGCTCCTACCAAGAAACACGCGGTCGTCAAGCGGATCTCACTCCTTCCCTATAGTGGTGGAGTAGTGGACTTCGGAGCAACAAAAAGTCCGATCGAATTCATGGCGATTTTTTTTTTCTGACGGGGTTTTCAAATTCCATTTTGTTTAAGAAAGAGACCGGGGCTGAAAGAAAGGAACGCGAAATACCTCCGCCGTTCTTTTGAGCGAGATAAGGGAATCGCCAAACGTTCCCCAGCCCGACGGCGTATCCGATGGTCGCGAGTATGAACTGGAGTTCCGAGTCCCAAGATTCTCTGTTGTCTTCCACCCCTTCGGGACAGCTCGGCTGAAAAGGGATCTTGTGAGACGGCTCAGGGAACCAGCGAGATATTTCGCTCCATGGGAGCTGCTTTTCGCAAGTCTAGCGTGTCGATGGAGTTTTGGCGCCCAGGGGCGTGTTCACACTGGGGTCGGGCCGGCCAGGTAAGGCCAACGACGGTTTGGAGCCTCGGCTACCTCTGCCGGAGGGGAGTCGAGAAAGACGAGGAATTCGGAGAAAGGATTCTCTCTCGATTCTCGAGGATCGCGTGGATACATCTTAAGTCTACGCGAATCCTTTTCAACAAGAAAGGAATCTCTGCCGGGGTGACGAGTACTCACCTTGAATACACGTCGGCCATCCTTCGTGACCTCCGGGGTTGCGATTTCATCGGTTTCGACAGGGGTCGTCGGTACGACATCCGCCTCAAAGGCCCGATTCGTTGCTCCATAGCTCGGCTTTGGGGAATAAGATTCCGCTGAATTAGTCAGCCATCGATTTCAGGTTGAATTTCTCCTTTCCCTCGAACGAATTCGGATCCGGAAAAAATGAGTCAAAGTTTCTAAAAGCTCTCCCCACCAAGAGCCCGACCATCGACTGCAGAAACAAAGACAGCTCATATGAAGGTCGAGAGCGATCCTCGCGCTTCGCTCACACTCGAGTCGCTTCCACTCCATTCGAGTTCCTAATCGAGAACTCACTATGTGGTTCGATTGATCGTTTGCCTCGGCCAGTAGAGGTCCTTGCATTTCGCGCAGCTCGACCTGGAACCGTCCATTTCGAGATACTTCTAGTAAAAATGCAGCTAGACGTTGAATGAGTATCGTCAATCGACAAGGAATCGACTATCTCAGCTCCTTCCGAAAACCTCCGAGACTGACCTTCGGTCCTACGGGTATTTCCGCGACAGTATTCTGCTTCCGGAGAATATTCTGCATTTTGCCGAGCAGCGAAGACTGTCGATTTTCAGTCGCAAGAAGAGCCTCACTCGCACTCGCAAGAATGACGGATTGTCATCGTCCACAGACTTCCGGAAGCGCGCTGGAACCCACAAATTCACCGAGCTTCAGATCATAATGCTCATTTCCCTTGGGTAGAATCCTCGAAAACACCCATGGAGACCAAGTCTCTCGAAGGGGTAGTCCTAATGTTTTGGATGATTTCCCACCCGTCCGTTTCCACGAAGTTTCACTTGAAATCTCTAGATCACCGAGCCCACGCTCAGATTATTTACGATCATTACTACTGTTTTTAGACACGGGGTAGAGAAGAAAAAAACATTTTCAGCAGAGGACAAAAATCCCTCCCACACTCTGCCTTCGCAGCGATTCTCAGGAATCACCAGGAAAAGAACTCCACCTTTCTCCGAACGGCCATGTGCGCAGGTGCGGTGGAACGCCGCTCCGCCGCGTTCCCCGATCGTTCCCGAACGATCTCCGCGATGAAAAGTGAGCCGCAACGTGTGTCCCAATCACTGAACTATTTGAGAACTCGAGAGAGATCGTGCAACAATTAAAAAAAAAGGAGGTTTATAGTAATCGTCATACCTGTACCGACTTTTAATGCGACGGAGAGCGGAGAGGCGCGAGAAAACGTTAACTGCTATCGAGCGATGAATGAAATGGATTCTTGTCTGAGGCGGCCAGGAGCGAGGGGTAGAAACGCACGAGCAAGTTCAACTGGTGGGAAATAGTTTCGACAGCGATTCTAATGCGCGAGAGCACGTCCTAACGGAATATGCTTTGTTGATGTCAGCCGAAGCGAAAGATACATAGACCCTTTTCCGGGGGCATCACCGTCAGCCGACTCGGGTTCGACTGGGAGAGGACCTTTACTGAGGGAGAGGCATGCCGCTGAGGATATTTCGGGTCCTGACCCTGCACGGCTGCCCGGCCGAGGATCAGCGGAACAGAAGGAAGAAGATCGCACGTTTAGCATCAACTGGGTCAAAAACTTTTGCGCGAAAATCCGGGATAACATTCTCTGTGCTAGCATTGAAGTCCGGACGGGCTCGGCGCCTGACTCCGTACCGGGGGCGAGACTTATGGATTTCGATCGAGCTGATAGATCGAGCCGGCGCTGATTTGGACCTGCGCTAAATTAGGCAGCGGGTAAATGGGCCGGAACCCTACGTACGTGAAATGGGACCTACCTTCGTTTTGAATGATGGCTCCACGTCACTTCTCCGTCGCATGCTTTATTTCCGAGGCTCGGGTGAGCTCCCCTCTTTCTAAATTTCTCAGCATGGCTCCACGTCATTCATGCATTCCATCTCCACGGCGGCCGTCAACTACAAGTTCATCTGTCGTGAGACTCGTTGTAGTTACATGTCCTCACGACCCCTCTTCACTTCGAAGCGACTCCAGCCGCGGCGTTCCACCCCCCCATGGCTCCCTTCCATAGGGAGCTTCCAACTTTGCGTCACATCGAGGATCACGCGCCGGCGAGTATTCCTCCTGCGAGTTTCCGCTCACGGTACTCGATCGGTGGGAGATAACGAAATTTTTGACTCGGTCTTCTCTGATATCCTCTGATGCAATGAAGCGACGTAAAGACACGTATTCCTCGTCGAGCTCCGTCGGGTCCAATCAGTCCTCTCCGACGAGTTTCGGCTCTCTGGATCCTGATTCTGAGAACTCGGGCCCGGTCTCATCTGTTGAAACCTCGACGACCGTCTTAGGATCGAGAAGACAATCGAAAACCTCCGAGGGCTCCCACTCCGTCCCGAAGGTCAGGATGGTCTGTGAGCGTCTTCGACCGTTGGTTGGAGCTGGAGAAGATTCGGATAGTGACTCGGACATCGAAGAGAAGTCCGAGGAAGGGGATGATTCGGAGGAACCGACGCCGGGAGCGAAGCCCAAGAAACCGGTGGATGTGAAGAGCCCCTCCGACTCCAAAAAGATTCCAATTTTCGAGCAGCCAAAGGGCAATCAGGGAGAGTTGAAGGACAAAGTCAATCGGGTCGTCAGAAAAGCGGAGAACTCACGGAAAGGATTTTTCCAGCAGAGTTTCCGGGAGAGAGAATTCTTCCGCGTCAGGAAGGAAAAGGGCAAGAATGATGCCGATGTTGTCGATAAAAAACTCGATCCCTTTAGTGACATCGCGGCCGAGAAGGATCGCATGGAGAAGATCAAAAAATTGAAAGCCCAGATCGAGTTTCCGAAATTCAGGAATCCCACGGATTTCCTCATAGAGAATATCGAAGGTCAAGTAAACTCAATTGTAACTATCGAGGAAGCTCTGAGCGGAACGTTTCGTAGATACACAGATGTGAGGTCGAATAGGAACGCGAAGCAATCGAAAGCCAAAGTCGGAGAAGATACCTTGAAGAAGGACGGGGTGCGTGCAAAAGCAGGACTGGACGACGGAGGCACCGGAACGAAGGCGCCAGGAGCCGCCAGTACGAAGGCACCAGAAGCCGCCAGAACGAACACGGCAGGAGCCGCAAGGACGAAGGCACCAGAAGCCGACAGAACGAAGACGGCAGGAGCCGCCAGGACGAAGGCACCAGAAGGCACGAGAACGAAGACGCCAGGAACCGCCAGAAGGAAGGCGCCAGGAGCCGCAGAGGAGAAGCCCGATAAGGGACAGAGCGAGACCAAGGAGGACGAGAAGGAGGCAGAGGGAGAGAAACCTGTATCTGAGCTTGAGGTCAAAAACCCACCAGAAGGCGGGGCGGAGGAAAAAAAGGACCCCTCGAAAAGGCGCGGGAGGCAAAAGATGCGGTGTCGAAGCGGAAGAGAGACGGTGGTGATAAAGCCGGGGGGAAGAGGAAGAAAATCGACGGCGGCAAAAATACCGAATCAGCAGTCCCCGAGCAAGGGGAGGAGAAGAAATAAGACAACCATCTGTAGGGGTACAGCTCCTTGATCCTAGGAAACCCGCCCGAGAAAGTTCTCAGAGACTTGATGCGGCCCAAGAGTGAAGCGCTGATTTGTAAAATTTCGATGAACATGACGATGAGAGCTCTCGAGGCTCAGAACTGAAGGAACCAGAGCAATGCGTCCTGAATCTGATCATGTCCTAGGCGCGCATAAGGGGTGCTCCGGGGTGCGGGGATAATGCGGAACGAGTTTTCGGCGATATTCCTCGCGACGTGTGACGGGGCTGTGTATACAACGCGGTCACAGCGAGCAGGGTCCTCCAGGGACTTCGCGGCTCAGGTGATGGCCTTCCCTGGGTGGAAGGCTTACGTCGCAAGGACTGAGTGGGGACGAGCGAAAGCTCGCCGAATCACAGTTCAGACAGCGGGGAATCGGAGTCTTAGATCGCCCCTGCTCTCGACTGACCGCTCGACAACACAGTTGCGAACTCGAAAAAGTCAGTTTGCGCCTGACTGAGCTGGTCGTGGAAAGCTCTGCGATGGAGTACGTGTGACTTCGCTGACCGTCATAAATGGAAAAAAATCGAGGTCGCAACCATGACGGGGCCGGGACCCCGGAAACGGGGCGGCGGGCTTTGCGTTGTTCGTCAGGCTCCATCACACAAACCAGGATTCGCAAACGGCTGACATTATGATCACGTCGCGTCGGGGTCGTGGCTGTGTTTCGGAAAAGCTATCAGCGATTGTCATAGAGAAAACTGTTGATTATGGGAGCGCGACTTTGCAACGCCGCCATGGATAGCTCGCATTCCAATCAGTCGTCAATCGGTCACTGAATTGTCTCTCGAGGGAAACCCCAGTACCGCGTTCGCGGACTCGCTAAGATCCATTGCAAGCTCTTCAGGGTACTTGAGGCTTTGAAAACTTTTTAATGGGAATTCGGTTGTACTCGAGAGGTGCCCCTCCCTCTCGCCTCCTTCCGCTGATCCTATGATCCATCTTCGGTCGAGGATGGCGGGCGGCGCCCAGGATTGAAAACGAGACTTGCGATGGGGAGTAAACGCGATCCGTGCACGTATACGTCTCTGTTGATGGGACGCCACCGAATGATGATGATGATGATGAATGATCGGAGCTGAACCTTAATATCCAGAGCTCATTTAGGCATTCACGCAGCGGACCTTCCTCTCTCGAATGGGGAAACACTCGCTTACTTGGTTCCGCGCGATCCTCTCCAAATTAGGCATCTGGAACAGCTGGGAAAAAAATTAAGGGAGAGTGCAGAGCTGCGTATGTGCAGGCTCGCGAGCACGTTAAGGGTCTATCTCGGTCTCGTGAGCCATTTACCGAGCGTCCTCGCAGAGCTCATTGATAACTTAGTCTCCTCAGGTCGTATCCCCACCGTCTTGCTCTCGTTAGGCAGATGAGATCGAGACTAAAATTTCCCCCCTTCGAACTTTGGAGTCGGCCCCATGGTGGTGGAGTCCGATCGAAGTATCGAAGTTTCATGTTTCCCTTGGGCTGCCATGTGGGAACCGCTACCGGAGATCGACTCCGACGAAAACTCGGAGCGCCAAAGAGTGTGTGACGAGCGACATTTATGATCGAGCTCCGGAAGGGACTTGGCTAAGGCTCAACATTGGACGACGATGGGGACGCGCAAGGGACTGCAGTCCAGGGTGACGGTTACTGCGTCCGTACTCAAGAGGAGCACGAGCTCATGATCTCTGAATGATCTGCTCGAGTCGCGAATTCTGTCGACAGCTGATGATCTTCATCGATTCCTCCACTGCTGTTCGTTCTGGAACGCGAGCCATGGTCAGTCATGCGAGTATATGTCACGTGAAATCAAAAGTCATTCTTGAGGGTGCCACGAGAGGCTCCTCTCAATCCTGTCCTTCCTCCATCATATGACGGCTGGAACCCCGCGTGGCTCCGCTCTGCGGATGGTCCAGTTTCCTCACAAACGCGAATTCTCCTACAAGGTCTGGGTGGGCAAACCCTGTCAAATACTCAGGAATGGAATTCTCTATTCGTCGGAAGTCATGATGGGGAAATTCCAGGTCCCGCACCTGGGCTGGGGACCCGAAACCCATCTCACGCGGTAGCCTAGTATGCTGGATTCCGCCTCGGAGATTTCGGAAATCAAAGTCGCTGAGCGCTCAGATCGAAACTGAAGTCAATCAGTTATGACTAGGGAAGAGGCACGATCTTCTCGATTTCTACCGATATCCGAGGCACTACCGATCATATGAGCCCCTCGTTCCGGACAGCATGATCGAAGCGACGCAGTCCCAGAGGATTCTCGGAGGCGCGATTAAATTCATCCGCGAAGGCCTATGGGGATGATCGTGAGTGATCGCTCGTACTCGCATCCCGGACTTCGGGTATAATTTCCTCTCCGATTCAAGACCCTCACCAGAATGTCGCAGAGCCTTCGGGGAGGGGGGAGTGCATTTCTCGCAATCCATCTTTAGAAATCCTACCGCGCAGTAGATATGCGCTCTCTCGCCCGGGGATCGAGTCTCAGCTCCTTCCGCAATCCGAGGAACACCGGATGCCCCCATTTGCATACCCCCTTTGAACGGGCCATTTTTCTCGCGAAATTTCGCGGAGGCTCTCCGAGGAAGGTACTCTATGAGTGCATATCTCCGGGACGCGGGACGTATCCTGTCGGAGACCGCGTAACCCTATGCAATAGGATGTGGAAAATGTTGAGAGAATTGTCAGATTCCGTGATTCTCAAGCAGAGATCATCGTCATCAGCATCTGGCAAAAGAGAGCTGGTTCTACCGATCGCAGACAGCCGGCTCTCTCTTCATCACTCGTTTGCTTGTCAGCAGAGTGTCGAACAGCGGTAGCGGTGTCTTGCTGTGTGAGGGTGGCTGCCCGACTAGTTAGACGCAGCGCACGGATAGATAGTTCGCAAGAGAGCCCTAGTGAAGGTTCTGGGGAAGCCGCATCTCCAAAAGAAGAAGCTCTCCAATAGTTTCGCACGCGTTCTTTTTGATGCTCTGTCTGGATACTCCGCTGGCTGAGTGTGTATGTGGACGGTCCTTCGGAGCTCACACGACGGCAAGCAACTTCCGAACAGCAGCGACCGTAGCGGCCGGTCTACAGCAATAAACTATCCATCGTGTGGTCGATGGCGATGTGCTCAGTGTCCGCGGGATCGGAAATTTGAGAGTTCGGCCCCTTGTGTGAAAATCCCCGCGAGCGTCAAGTCAAACTCTCACCATGAAAGAGAACGCCAGCAGCGATGGGAGCGCGCAGGTGAGAAAACGTCGCCTGGGGAAATATAGTGAACATGATTCCCGAGGGGCACAATCGGAATTCCATTGAATTCCGAATGGATAGCATTTTGAGGTTTCGTTGCGAAACTCTCCTCGGCGCTAAAGGTTTCCCCCACGGAGGCTTATGCTCTCTCGATCGCAACGCCGAGACTCTAGCAGGGTTCGGGAAATAAACTCGAATTTTCTATTATAATTGAGTGTCTCAATGAGACCACCGTCGTTCGTGTTTCATGGATATGCTCTCTGGAGAAAATACACGCACTCGACCGAAAAGCGGAGAGCCTCCGGCAATACAAGTCCGTGTGGATTTCGGCGTTGAGATTCATTAGCGTAGCGATTTACTACGGAACGCGTCCAGCATCCGACGCTCGTATGAAATTCTGAAATTCACGCAGCTGTCTCTCTGTCGGAGTGCATTTGGGTATTTTGCCGCTGGTCATCAAAGTGAATAAGCTCCGTCGCTCGAGAGCGTCTCTCGGTGTCTTCTGTCGAGGCGAAAACTCGATTCGTTTCAATATGTCGCCGTTCTGCTTGCGGTGATACTGCTTGGGCCCGAGTTGTTTAGAATCGCGCATCGGTACCCGCTGAGAATCCGCACAAATATGGGTGCCTTGAGCAAATACAAGCTCACGCTCAGAAATGCTCGAGGCCCTAGCGCCCGACAAGATGTGAGCCATCGATTGAGATCATGGGATCATCGATGTTTCACCCGGAACACGATCGACTTCAAAGATTTTGTGTCTTTACAGCCGAAGACTGAAACTCCGCCACCTGCGAAAACGGTGGAGAACGGCTCCGCAGAGAAGGGAATCGAGCCCGAGATCCCCGTCGCCCCGAAAACGACGGGGGAACCGTCTGTCATTGCCAAGAAAACACCACGGAAGAAAAAAGTCGGAAAAGGTGAGACTAAATAACTGAGAACTATTCAAACCTCAATCGACACAATAATATTCACAAAAGTATGTAGAATAATACCCGTACAAGTATTATTGATTATCACAGTATTCAAAATGACGTATCCGGAGCTGACTCGTCATTTCGAGCTTCCGTAGTTCGCCTCACAGCGGCTCGCGCCAGCTGGCAGAGAGCTTCCTTATCAGAACTCGAGTTTCTGTTCTCCCCTCGATTGCCGTCCGTGGTTCCCATTCACCACGCTAAGAGCGAGGGTCTGAGTGTCGAGAGTGACACAGTCGACGTGAGATTCGCAAGCTGTTTGTTGAGCTCAATCCATAATATATTGCAGTGACGGCGGAGGCACCCGCAGCTGGCGCAGCGACAACAAGGGCGGCGACTCCAGTCGTGACCGCATCGAAATCACAGCCGAAGCCGCCGGCAAAGGCTCCGGAACCGAGAGAAAAGAGGTCTCGGACCGCGACCCAGCCCTTCCAGAGCTCCATGATCGACCAGATTCAACAGGTAGGCCTCGGACGAATTGCCAGATAATCACGACGGGGAGCAGCTGTGATCCTAGAAAATTCCATCTTTTTCTGAGGCGACTCGCAATTCCCCCTCTTGTTCTTCCAGGTTACGGCTGAAAGCACTCGCGGGAAGAAAAAGAAGAAGGAATCGTCGAGCGACGCGGCTGCGGTAGTACTTTATGACCCAGGCGAATTTCTCGCCGTCCGCAGCGAAGGCGATGGCTTTTTCATCTGCAGAGCTCTGGAAAAAATCACGCCATCTTCTGGCAATATCAAAATCGAATGGCTCGATAACGTGAAACAGTCATCGAAGAACCACTACGCGCTCGACTACTGTGATATAATCGATCGAGAAACCATCCTCACCAACCTCAAATTGAAAAGAATCGGACACTTGTTGTACTCGCTGCCCGATGAAGAGAGGACTCGCACCATGAATATTCTCGATCGAGCCATAAAAGTGCAGAAAGGAGAATTGCCCCCTCCCGACCCCAAAGATGTCACCGCAGATGGCTTAGATGTCTCGCTGGTCACGGAAGCCGAGGCAGGAACCGCCAAGAAAATTCCCGCCGGGAAAGACGAAAAGCCAGGTCCGAAGGCCCAGAAGCGGGGGCGCAAAAACCAACGGAAGAAGTCCGCGAAGAGCAAGGACGACTCGCTTTCGGAGGACGGGGACGATGATTTCCTCGAAGTGCTGCCAGCCAAAGTTCCCAAAGTAAAAGAGCCGAAGCCTTTCCCTAAAGGCGTCATCTACCTGAAAGGCGATTTTTTAGCCGTCAGAAACGCGTCTGACGGTTACTACACCTGCAAGGTGGTGACAAATATACACCAAGACTCCAGAACTGCCCATATCCAGTGGATGTACGAGGATCCGGACTGTCCGAACACCTACGTACTAGATTACCACGATACTATCCAGACGGAAAGCATTTTAACCAAGGTATGTATGCTGGAGGCGTCACGTCGATCTGTTTCGGCGAATCATTGCTTCCTGAACCCAAGACTGTCTGGGCGTCGATGGTTCCGATCCCGAAACTCACCCACGACCTGTTTTGAAAAAAATTATTCTCTCGCTTCAGCTCGCGGTTACGCGGAGGGATCGAGGTCGAATACAGCTCACGAACGCCGAGAAGAAACGAGCTGAGAAAGCTCTTGACGAGAGTCGGGAGAAATCTAGGAGCGGAATCGAGAACGGCATTCCTCACTCGAAGTCGAACACGTCCACCAGGCGTAACGGCACCGAGCCCGAGAAAATCAAGTCCGAAAGTCCCGCTGGAATGCGGTTGACCATTCGGAGGGTGAACGACGATCATTCGAGCTCGTTACTAGCCGCCGATATCCCTCAGATGACCGAAGATCCACTCTGGGACCATAATAATCCCGAAGGCGGAGCGATTTCCCCGACGAGTGACTCGACCGACCGTCTGTTCGCTTGCGTTTTCCAACGCGACCACGTCGGTCTGCGACGTCTCCTCTCGTCCGCGCAGGTCGTCTCCCCCTACATGTACCAGAGCGTCCACGTCCACAAGCTCGCGCTCAGCTACGCCGTCGAAGCTCACGACGTTGCGTCAATACGGATCCTACTCGGACGGGACTGCGATATAAAAACTTGTAAGAAACAAACAAACCTCATGTGGTGCCAAGGGGGTGAGAGAAATAAGAAAGAGGGCAACGGAGCATTACTGAGGGATTATGTGCTCGATTCACCACTATCCAAGGAAGCCGCCATATCTCAGGTCAGAGGTATCGCACTGGAGAAGGGCGTCCGCATCGACGTGCTGGAAGAACTCCTGGGGAAAGATGCCGTTTCGGAGGCGAACGCGATCAAAGCCCTCGAGAACGGAAACTACGACCTGGCCGTCTCCATAGCCGCGGCTCTCCGACCAACCGATAGCGAGAAAGGAAGTTCGCTAATCAGAAGAATCCTCGTGACGGGCGGACTCGAGGCCAACGATCTCTTCACCGAAATCAACTCGAATCAAACCACTGTGTTCCATTTGCTCATGGCAATGCCTAATCTCGATGTTCTCTCGAATGTTCTCTACTCGAGTCGACGGGTCAATATGGATCAGAGCATCCGAGACCTGCTGACGAAACGAGATCGTCTCGGCAGGACTCCCATCCATTACGCAGCGGCTGCCCGTACGACATCAACTCTGGAGTGGCTCATCGACCGCGGAGCGAACTTGTACCAAGTCGATAACGACGGCCGCAACGTTTTGCACATGATCGCCGCCCATGGTCGGGTGGAATCACTGACTCTACTCATAAAGTTGTCCGGGATCGCGCACCTCGACGACTCGGACCGCTACGGACAGAGCCCACTACACAGAGCGATTTTGTCGTGCCAGCCACGAATGCTCGAGCGGCTGTTGGGTGAGCCCATTTCCTTATGATATGTATTTATATACGAGAGATCTACGATGATGAATGGAAGAAAGTTCGAGATAATTCATATTTGAGGGAACCTTATCCTTACGGATAGATCAGAGAAGAAAAGTGCTCGTACGTAATACGGGGGAGACTCACGGAATTTCTACGCTTACAGCCTTCGGAGCAGATGCCAATAAACCTCTTGGCTCCCACTCTGACAGGGTGACTCCGCTCATGCTAGCAGCTCAGCGAGGAAACCACCTGCAGATGCTCATCAGCCTCCTCAAATTCGTGGATCGGGTCGATGGACAGGTGAGAGTTCCGCCAGATCCGGGGCGATTTCGGAAGATCGGCGAGAACTCCCTCCGAGAAATCCGCGGGATCTCGACGTTTGATAAATAAATCGCTTTTTTCGAGCTCGACTTAATATTCTCAAATATTCTCTCGCAGGACAAACGTGAACGGTCGGCCTTGATACACGCCGCAATGAACGGTCATACGGCGGCAGCCTGTCTCCTCCTGCGACATGGAGCGAATCCTCATCTGGCGGATAACAGCGGCAACTGCGCCCTCCACCATGCAGCCGCATACGGCCATCTGTTCGTGGTGAAACTCCTGGTCGAAATCGCTAACCTAAGCCCTGCGCAGCTGAACGACGCCAAGATGTGCTCCTTAGAGGTGGCGTTTCGTAAGGGACATATTGGCCTCGTGAAGTATATGCTCGGCTTAGGCTGTTTCGCACGCGGTTTCGACTGTGGATTCGGCGAGACCCTGCTCACGTCGTGCATCCTAATGGGGGATCTGCTCGAACCGACGCAGGTCGCGCGTTTCGAAGTACTTCTGAAGTCTTGTCCCCAGCTGGCGCTGAAGACCGACAGCCAGGGCAACAACCTCTTCCACCGGCTCGTCCACATGGAGCATCGCATCATGCTGCAACAACTGCATAAAAACGACGACACGCTCGAGGAACATCACGAGTGTTTGGCCGATATCGTTGACCTCGTGCTCGCGTTGCCCGTCGCCGAAAAAGCGCTCGCAGCGGGGAACAACGAGAAAGAAACGCCCGTTTCGACGGCTCTGTCGTACGGATGTATTTGGTTCGCGGCTCGCTACGGTCAAGCGTCGCTCTCAACCTTCAGGAGCGCGTTCAAGTCCGAGAACGCTCTCAAGAAACTCGCGATGCATTGCGCGTCGTACAGCACCACCGATCTCATGTGTCCCTTGGTCGACAACAAGACCGACGTCGAGTCGCTGAAGAAGATCTCGCGGAGTCTCCTGCAGAAAGGCATAAATCTCCTCTCGGTCGCGTTACAGAGCGCCGAAGACGTACAAGTCCCGTGGAAGGTTGACAACGTCTGCTCGTTCATTAAATTTCTGTTTTCCGCGCTCGAACACGAGTCCTCAGGACCGATTCTCCACGAAGCCGTTCGCTGTCGATCGTCGAAATTCCTCGAGACCATCCTGGAGTCCGCCGGGAGCGGTCTCAACCGGGAGGCTCGTCTCAAGGACCTCACTGCCCTGCAGGAGGCCGCCGTGCGAGGTAACTCGGATGCGGTTCTGCTTCTGCTCCAGAACGGCGCGAAGACCGAGCTTATGATGCCGCCGAGGTCGGCTGACGACGTAGCGACACCGTTCTTCCTCTTCTGTTGCCACCCCGAAAGTCCTTTCGGAGCCGAAGTCATCCGGGCCATGGTGGACAAGGGAACACCGGACTTGCTCGCTCTGCATCCGGCGACTGGCGATACGGCGTTGCACTACGTCGTGCAGAAGAAGAATTGGTCGGTCGACGATCGGAAGGCGACCGTGGAACTCCTTCTCGAGAAGGGGCTCTCGGCGTCCGCGCTGAATCTTCGCCGGCAGAGCCCACTCCATCTCGCGGCTCTGAACAACACAGGCTGCGACCCGAGCATCGAGTTCATTCTGAAAAAAGCGAACGCTTCGATCGAGGCGGTCGATGCCGACAACCGATTGCCTCTCCACTATTTGTTCCTGAGTCCGAGCGCCGAAGATGATCCGATCGACGTCTGTAAGATCCTCGTCGAAGGATCGATGGTCCCCCTCCTCAACACGACGGCGGATCGGGCCGATCTGCAGACGGTCCTGCACAACATCGCGGCCGCGGGGGCCACCCTGTGCTGTCGTTACGTGCTTTCGCTCGGTGTCAGTACGGAAGTTCGGAATAAACAAGGGAATACCGCTGCCGCGTTGGCGACGCTGAACGAGAGGGCAGGCGTTCTCATGTCATTGATCGATAGGAGATCGATCGTTAAGGAAGAGATCTGTAGAGCTCAACCGACCGAAACTAATATCCAATCACAGCTGATATGGAGGTAAGCCGCTCGGCTCCAATCTCGATTAATTATACGGTTCTGTTCGGAGCGCGTGACTTTTCCTCGAGAGGGAAAACTAACGATCTTCCCGCATCCAGGTATGTCTACCCGAAGCAGACCCTGCTGATGCGACAAGCGTTGATGCAAGCAGTTTTCGAAATCGGGAAGAAAGAACTCGATTGTGACGGGCATACCGAAATATCCGACGCGAACGAAAGGTCACCGCCATGCAACGGAAAGAGAGAGGATGAAAGTTTCATCAATCGGAGCGCCTCGCTTCGGGGGGGAGATCGCGCAGGAGGACGCCATGCCGAGTCGCCCTGGACGTCCCTCATTCCAGGACTTCTCATCGACCAGCTCGAGACTGTGCAACTGCCGATCACGGTGGCTGTCGATGCTGCCATTCGAGCTGAGAACTATGAGATAGCGCTGAAGCTGCTAACGAGGTGAGATTCTGATGCACCGGCAGTCTCGAACAACTTATTTTTCTTTCGCATACGGACAGTCTCGGCAGGATGTGGGTTCGTATGACCCCTGAGTTCGTTCGTGCTGGAGATTCCAGGACTGAATTCGGTATTATTCCGAAGTTCCAGGATCAAGGACTTATGGACCTTGAAGCTGATACTCAGCAAGCAGACTTTGCTGCATTTAGCGGCGCAGCAGAAATACAGCGCTGGTCAGATGAAGGTCGTTCAAGCTCTCCTTGATAAGGAGGTCGTCCCTCAAGCTCTTGATGAGCATGGTTGCTGTGCGCTCACGTACGCGAATATCAATTGGAATCATGTGTGAGTACCGCGTGACATTGAGGAGCTCGAGCCGCATCAAGAAAAAAAATAGTATGGCTCCCGGGGCGGCCGGATCTGAGGATGCTTCCTCGGTCGGGCTCGACGAGTCCCTCTGCGAGCCGATGTCGCGAGAGATCGGAGCGATAAGTTCCTTCGAGTCTTATTCCTCTACTTTCCTCAGTTTGGCGAACTTCTTGCTCGACAAAATGGGCGTGGAATCGGCTGCTAGACAAGGCGTGGATCTTTCTTTCCGCACGCCCTTGTCGGCTATCTTCTGGAGACTGGAGAAAAAACCACTCCCCGAACCGATGATCGATATCGCTCGGCGACTGATACGGTATGAGACACGACGATCGCGAAATTATTTACAGAATATATTCCTTATCTGTGTTTTCCGACCGATTTCCCACGGCGGAAGACTTCCAGGTCTCATGAAAATATTTTCGTTTCGATTCCAGCGCCGGTGCCGATATAAATGTCCTCAGTTGTTACCCCGTTCTCAATCTGGAGTTCCCCGGCACCGTTTGTGTGTCCGAGAACGTGATGCATGTAACTCATTCCGCTGCGGCGAGAATTTCTCCACTGATTATGGCCGTCTGTAAAAAAAATCACGCGACCGCGAGATTCTTACTGAGGTAAATAATTCTGCCTCTGCTGAGATGGTCGTCACTGACGGGGATTCTCCATTAGGGAATCCGACTGCCAAGAAGAGAATTGTTTAATTCTTATCGACAATGAGGGAATCCCTTGTATATTGGTACTCGAGAAAATCGTGTGTTCATTTTACAAGTATCCCTCAAGAGGATGTCCGTGTTCATGCATGAGGGGGTGTACCTATATGTTGAATTTTCTCCGGCTAAGGCGGATATCCTATTGCAGGGAAGGAGGAGCGAATCCCAACTTCGTCGATGGCCAGCAGAGGAACGCTTTGATGTACGCCATCAAACTGAACGATCTTAGCATGGCGAAACTCCTTCTGAACTATGACTATGATATTCGAGAGGACAGATTCAATTCGGTCATCAGTGGGTGCTTACCAAGTCCTGAGGCCACATTGCGCGAGGACGAAGAAATCAAGAAATACGTCAAGACCTCCCCCGTCGATCTCGGTCACCAGGTTTGTGGATACCCTCAAAACTCCGACTGGTGGCTCGAACTTCGAAAAAAAACAGAAATTCATGGAGAATCCGATTAATTCCAGGATATCTACGGGTGGACCATAATCCACCATGTCGTGGCTCCCCTCCCGGAGATGACTTACGCTTCGACTCGAATGCTCCGACTTCTGGCGACAATCAAAGCCCCTTTGACTGTGCCGGATCGGAACTCGATCGTGCCTCTACACCTGAGCGCTGCTCGAGGTGTGGAAAGCTTGACGCTGGCGCTTCAGAAGCTCATATCCGACGGAAACCCATGCCCCCGCATCGGTGAGTGTCACGTTCGGCGCAAAGACGGGGTCCGCCTCTAAAATTGTTTACCTTTCCGAGGAACGGAATCTTCCCGGTGATATCCTCGATCCGCTGATCCCTAACGATATTTTCCCTCCCCAAATGCTTCAGCATACCACGGACTCCCTCCAATAGCCGATGACCCGGTCATGCGCATCGTACCGCTGCGAGATTTCAATGCAGACTGCGAAGCGTACGAAGAACAACAAAGACGAAAGCGAAGTACCGACAACGGCCATGGAGGAAGCGATCGGGAGCGCGGTCTGGGAAGCATTGTCGATCCTTTCGGGCTCTCCGAACCACAGGAATGGGAAATCGTCTCCGACGTCAAGACCAAAACCACTTACGATGTTCATCTCACGAAGCTCGATCGTCACTTTGTGAGTGTTGCCAGGGGAGCCCTCGATGGAAAGCCCGACGATGGAAGCCCTCTCGACATAACTTCCGGTTTTCGGGACGAAGTTCGGAAATCAATCCAAGTTTATTTTCAGATCTATTCATTCTCCAAACTTCAATTGCTGACCACGCTCGACCGCGGCAGATTCGTCGTTGTCGAGCGCTCAGGACGCGTCGGTGACGTCGGCACAGCCACTCGCACCAGTTGTTCTACGGAGTCCGAGGCCGTACAGGAGTTCTGTCGTCTGTTCCAATTGCGCACTGGAGCCAAATTTGAAGACATGTCCACATTGCGGCCTGCCCCCGACGTGTTCAGACCGGTCACCGTGAATCGACCGAGTCCTGCTCGCGAACTCAAGAACAACGAGCCCGCCAGCGCTGTGATTGAAGTTCTATCCGAAACTCGGAGCAGTAAACTGCCAAAGCCAACACAGGATCTCCTGAAGACCACGATCGAGGTATGTAGATAAGGAATGGGGTCGCTTTGTCGATTTTTCTGTGAGAATAGATCGCTGGCCTCATCGATCGAGGAACTGACTCCATTCTCTTCGATCCAGGGCTGTAGCAGAGTGCGATCCGTGCCAGCCGATGACTGCCTCCGCCAAGCTCTTTCGATCCTCGAAGAGATGCGACAACTTTCCGGTGAGAAGAAAGAGCTCGAGAAAAATTCCCGAACGGAAGAACAGCAGCTGGCTGGACTGATGCTTCGCTTGGCTGAAAGGAGTCATCAATTCCACGCGTTGCTCCCGCCCGGGGAGGATACGGAGAACGAAGGGGGGCCGATAGGCTTAGAACAGATCGAACCTCTGTGGAGTGAGGCCCAGGTTAGCCATCGACGAAATTTTCTGCAATTATCGATATCTCCCTCCAAAAACCTATCATCTACTTCATATCCCCTCAAAAACGTCTGGATTTCCTCCTCAGATTGACGCGCAGCTAAATCGAGTGACGCAGTACCTGGACGTCCAGTTCTCGCGAAAAATTCTGAGAGGAGCTCTCTATGCCGCGGACGAAATAAATCCGCTGGATTACGTGTATCGATCCTCGCAATGTAAAATGCAGATAGTGCCGTTAGGCTGCCTCGATATGCAGACGGTTTTGCAATACATCCACAACTCAAGTGAGTTTGCTAGGCGACTATCCGGGGGGGGGAAGCTTCTCGGAGCTCACGACCAGCAAGATAACTGTGGCTTCCCCCAATCAGGTCGCCACGAGCAGATCATAAGGAATATCTACCGTTTGTCGAGGGAATCCGAAGAGGTCATCATGGCCGACGGCGACGTAGGCAACCATTGGCTACTTTGGCATCCGGTTGAAAATGCCAGTTTGCTCTCTGTCCTCTGCCGAGGTGTTCAGGCCACTCACCTGGGAGTTGGATGGCCAACCCAGATGAAGGGGATAAAGTTCTACGATCGGTGAGTTCTGCCCTCGATCAGTCGATCTCAGAATAACAGACTCTCTTCCCCGGATCCGAGACACGAAAATCATTCCAGCAGCTGAAAACCGCTTCCTTCCCCGTAGATTCGAGCACGACACCCAAAGTAAAAAAGAGTCGGATGCCGGGACGAATTTCGAGCTACTCTGCCAGGTAGCTCTGGGGGATCAGAACGGCAAACCAGGAAAAGCAAACGGCGGGAACAGCGTAGCGCTCAAAGGTCGCTGGGGTCCCGATGCCGCCGATCATGTTTCTTGGCAAAGCTGTCTCCTACCGTTAGGACCTACGGTTTTCAACGGCAATTCCGATGCTCAAGAACGTGCTTTTAACGAATACGTCGTTTATAAACCTCAGCAAGTTTGCATTCGATACCTTGTAGAATACGAGAAAACTTGGAAATTACGAACGACTACCGACTAGAATCGAGCCGGATGTTCGCCGTCCCGCGGTGAGAGACCGGCAAGGAGGTGACGAACAGCTAGAACCCAGGGTTTTTTGATTAGTTCGACGAACTTCACGTCGAAGCGCTCTCGATTTTTCGAGGGGCGATCCTGTACCTATCCCATGGAGAAACTATGATACCTGTCTTAATCATTGCCAAATTCTATGAACATTCACTTTCCGCTGTAAACACCGATAACTCTAAAGACCCGTTCCATATGAATGTCTGACTAAGTATTCGATAGAGCGTTTAATATCGAAGGTTCATCAAACGGAACCTTCATTGTGATTTGAATCAAACTTTCCAAGCAACGCCCTATGAGCCCCCCTATTGAGGTGTAGAACGAGCACCCGGGTCTGCCATTTAGCTGGAATGACGTCACTTGACTGATAACCGAACAGTGACGATTACCTCCATAAACGAGTGCTTCGTACGCACATATCCATCTTAGCTCTATCGTCCGGAATTGGAGGAAACAAGTTCTCCAAAGGGCTTTGTGGGAAGACTTTTATCGATGGAGCCCCATCGGATACACGACATGCATTTGGACCTCTCTGTCTCACACGCAGACATCATCATTGCCCGTAGAGACTTCGAAACTTGCAATAATCCCCGACAGACTCTTGTATATGATCGCATCGATTCGTCGGGACGCAACAGTGGAAGAGAAGCATCGATATGGCTTCCTGGAAACCCCGAGAAGTTCAAGTCGGAAGGCCGGAAGCGGGGTGTGCCTTGTACAATCAACGCTTGCAATTCTGGATGATATCATGTGAGACAGCTCCGAAGATAGGTATTTTGATTCAGGTGTAAAATCAGAACATAAAGAACAAGACGACATTTTTTGAATAGTAGAGATAAGTGACGTAAAATAAAAGCGAATGCGCGAAAGATTACCCTCGTCTTATCCTCGGAACCGTTGAGCTGGTCGCGAGCCGAAGAGCCGCTGAATCCCAATACGAGCTTCCTCTCAGTGTCTTAGGTCCCTCCGAGGTCTCCGTTACTGAGACGGGGTGAAGAACCCACTCGTGAAAGAGATTTCGACGTCATCGAGGGGCGGATCCGAGGATATTCTCGGATTCAGAACCCCACTACCCGAAGCCGGGGATACATCAAGCTTCTATATGCACGTTTGTGATCACTGAGAGCACATCGTATACCGATCGTTTTGAAAGGCAGATCGGGGACAACAGAGCTCTTCTGTGCAAAGTTTGTGAAGTTTTCCGGTTCCGCTCGCCGCGATGGAGAAGAGCCCTCAATGCAGGTAGGAATATCGTGTCCCTTCTTCCCTATGACGAATATCCGCGCAACGATCCGTCGAGGAACGTTCCCGATTCCAAGCTTGCTCGAGTCCGATGGCGGAGGAGTTTGTTTCTGAAGAGCCTCTTGAATGGATTTCGATGGGCTGTGAGACACGAATGGGCTGTCTGGGGAAAGCCTCGAGGAAGCTCGTAGGGTGTACACAAGACCTGATGGACGTGGGACTTCGGAAGTCTACAAACACGCAAATCAGCATCGGAGATCTTATTCGTTCTGACTGACTCGGGAATTACTATTATCAGACTTATTATTCCTCCGATGATCTGCTGATTTCCGTTTCCCATCAGCTTGATCAGGAGCAACTCATGTAGCGCTGGAGGACAAATTCACCCAGCCGTGCGAAGATTCTTGTCTGAGAGGAAGAACATCCCTTGTTCCTTCATTAGATTGGGGAGCTCTGAGCGGGGCTGGGAACTCACACTGGAAAGCCCCCCGATCTCCTGATGTCCTTTGACATATTTTCGTGTAACATATATACCCTGGATTCGGCCAATCCCCATCACAAGAGACCCGAGAGACAGCATTTAGCCTTCCGACACTGAAGATCTCCTGACCGTGTATCGACCTCATGAAAGATGCGTTTCTGGGGGAACCCATATCAGCCCTGCGAATTCCCTTCTCGAGTTGTCTTCCCCTAACTCCCTCGTGCTCGTATATTTGAGTGTCCTGCTCACATCGGACAATGAGCAATGAATTAGCAAGCGTTTTCCATTCGGCAGCAAGGGCAAGAAGTCTGCGCGGATCAGTCAACCCCTCGAGTCCACGAGATTCAACACCGCGGTCAATCCGAACGACGATAGTGAAAATCCCATCAGCCATGAATCGCTTAACAGAACTTTCGAAGTGAAACCACAGATACATCATACGGGTCACTTGATGAATGACTCCGACATATCCATCGACGACTTGAACCAATCCGATTCGAAGCATCGCGAAGAGGTCAAGAATGAGTTCAATGGTCTCAATCACAGGTGAGAATAACTTCATTAATTCGGTGCATCGAGAAAACACCCGAAAAGGTGAATCCCCCCACCGCGGGTTTCATTCTGCATGCGAGCGATCTGCTGGTTCGGAAGCCATCATTAATCAGAGCGATCCCGTCCTCACAGACTCCTCTCATACATGGATCGGGTGCGCCAGAACGAGGCGACCGTGGCGGAGCTTTCCAACGCGAAACAAGCGCTAGAGAAACAAATCGAGATCTTGAAGAAGACCCATTCCGAACAGACCGCCCTGCTGCGGTCCGAGCTCGACGATCGGGTGCGTAAGACCGTCGTCGCCGAGGAGAAACTCTCTCAGGCGCAGCAAGAACTCACCAAGCATGAGCAAGCAGTCGCCAACCGAGATAGGATCCTCGAAACGCAACGACTCCATAACGAACAGCTGGAGCAAGCTCTGGTGAAGGAGAAGCAGATGGTCGAGAACGCTATGCGAAGATCCGCCGAGCTTAAAGAGGCTCTGATGAAGACTCACGAAGAGCGAGAACATCTGAAGGACGAGTGTACGCGGCTCAAGGTTGAAGCCGCCAAGCTCCAAGAGCAGGTCAAAGTCGCTTCGCTGGAGATCACCATGCATGAGAATAAAATGTCGGCGGTCGAAAAAGAGCTCCTGTATTCGACGCAGGACGTGTCGGCGAAGCTCATGGAGCAACGGAAACGTCTCGAAATTATGGGCACCCAGAAGCTGGAGGAAGTCCGCAATAAGCACAACCAGGAGCTCGAGCGGTGCCGCAGAGAGTTCGAGAAGAAATTGCAGGACACCCTCCAGACGTATGTCTGCGCCGGCAAGTACGCCGCCCTACAAACCGAATCGGAGTCCTACCGGAAACGAGCCGAGCAGGCGGAGCTCAAACTGACCGAACGAGATAATCTGATCCGAGATCTCCGGGACGAGATGGAGAAACTCGAAAAAGCCCATCAGCAGAAGATGATCGCGGAGAGAGGACGCCGAGAACGAATCAACAAAAGACTCCTGGCTCAAAGTCGAGACCTGGAGGAAATACGCAACGAGCTGGAAACCTACCGCAAGCTGCTCGAAGGATTCGATCTGGACGTTGATGGACAGACGTTTTGCCGGACGCCAGTAGGCGCGAAGCGGCTCCGCACGTCGTTCGAATCGTCCCCGCTACTCCTCCCCAGCTCTGTGATGCGCAGGGCTGCGGAGAATCATGGCACGCCGAACGGAAAATCGAATGAGAGCACGCCGGTGTCTCTTGAGGCCCGGAAAGCACTCCTGAAGAGAGCTCTCACCCCCCGCAAGAGGACCTCTTCCGACGGTGACGAGAAGGTGGGTGTCTAGATCGAGACCCGACGCGATTCTCCTCCCAAAGTGAGGCGCCTCATTTTCGTCCCCATTAAATCTTCCAGATCCCCACGAGCAGTTCGGAAAGAGATTGTTTGGTCATGTAGAAGCAAGAAAGATGAGGAGGACGCGGAAGCATCGGCGTAACATTGGATGCGATCGATTCTTTCGAAAAATCTGACGGAACCCCAGGGGAGGCGGGATTTTGGGAGGCTCCTCTGGTTTGGAGCAGCGAGTTCGAATGCATGACTCGGACCCGCACTCGGAAAAATAAAGAATGATACCTTCAAAAGCAATGAAAGTAAATATGCCGAGCTTTGAACATCTTAACACTTCGAGAATTCTTTATTCACGGGGCACGCGAGTATACACAGTTTTTACCTAATTGGATTGGCCCTTCCAGGCTGTACGTGTCCTTTGCTCCATTAATAATGTTTGCGGGTATCCCGCTTACGATCACGAACATATATACACCGATTCTCACGAGTAGAGCTGTCGATTTCGGGAAATAGTACAAATATATATAGTTGATCATTAATGTAAATTTCATATGCAAATAGATTTGGCTCCTTGTTGAAAAACACGGATTTTTGTGAGTTGACCGCCTCTCGGAGCATCGACCATGGGTACGACGGAAGGCTTCCAACGCGGAGTTTGTGGGGATCGGATTGTCGTTTGCAGACCCCGCCGTCCGATCTCGCGGGAATCCTGGCAGTCACGGATGAATTGGGGGTCATAACTCGAGAGAGGGATACGGACGGCTTGACCATCCGTCGCACGGCGATGAATTTCGCGGTTTCGATGAGAATGAAATGCCTGAGATCGACTGATTGCATTCTGTGGTGATTGATTCTGAGGGGGCTGATACGTCTCTGAGATGAGAAATTGGCTCCACGATTCGAAGAAAAGCAAATCTGATAGAGAAACTCCGATATTGCTCGATCACATCTCCATGCTCGCTTCATTATCTTCCTCTTCGTCTTTGGCTGGCGGCTGTAGGAAATCCTGATATTTCTTCTCCCCTTCGACAGGAATGATAGGAGGGGACCAAGGAACTATCGCCATCGTGGCTTTTTTGACCCTGCAGAGGGGAGGAACGGTGGTTAGAAATTTGGGAAATCCGAGAATTGGATTCTCGACAGGTTTTCATCTCGAGGCGATTCGGACTCACTCATTGAGAGCTAGTCGTTCCTCCAACGAGGAAGCGTTCAGGTGGCTGCGCTGGATTTCTTTCAGAGCGTCCGTGAAGATGAGATTGCTCTCTGTGTTGTTGACCGCATTGTCGCTCGCTTTGTTGAATTCGAAGGAATCCTCAGCCGCCATCAGCCCGTCCGCAGCCGCGGGCCTGTTGACTGCGGTCTTGTTGGGGACATATCCACTGGAGGAAATATGAAACAGAATGGTATATCGAAGCAGTCTCCCTATCGAAATAAAACTGAATCCTCCGACGCAGCTCTCTGCCAGGCATCGATCGAAGAGCCCCGATACTTACCTTGTGCATGGCTCCTGTAAACTGAGCCCATTCAGCCGTTGGAGCATCTTCTCAGTTACGAGCTGCTTCGCCGGAATCGGTTCCCACGGATCACTTGTCATTTTCCGTTTGAAGCGTGGTATGCAGTACGAGGTTGAAGGGAACGAAGGATACGGGCTTGGGACCGCTGTAAGATTCGTCCCATATCAGTTGAGATCTATCAAAGCTCCGTGATGGGAATATCTCCCGAACTTCACTTCGGCTCTCCCGGGAGAGACCTCGATTACCACTCACTTTGCGCCGACGGCATCATTCTCGAAGAACACGGATCGCCGGGATGCACGTAGAGATCACCCGAAGCCGTATTCGCGCCGCCAGGAACCATGACCTGCCCCGGAGCCAGCATGTGGCCGCCTTGGAAGCGCATGAAGTGTGCAGGGGCATTCTGATGAGCCCATGGCATGTAGGCTGGAACCGCATGGCTCCACTGCGACGCCGGCTGCACGATTCTGGAGAATGGAGATGATTATTTCCCATTGGCTGTTACTTTACTTCTTCGCGTGGGCTGAGGTCAGAGTAGGAATCGTAATATCGCCACAAATACTCCGAGAAACTTCTAGAATATTCCCTAAACCTAAGTCGCGACGCTTGCGTAGCATGATTCGGAATTCCGACTGGGGAGTCGGAGCCGAGTCGGCATTTCGGGACCTGTTCCGATCATCGAAAATTCCCCTCTATAATTTCGGCGCCGGGAGGCGTGAATCCAGGTCAGCCGCGATCGCGCTTGACGCAGATTCAAACGCTATCCGAAAGCGTTTCGCAACCCATCGGGTTGATGCTCCGTCATACGCTTATGAGGTACGCGATTTTGAGGAACTCAAACGTTGCGGGAACATGGAGTCAAGGCCTAATTCGGAAACACCGCCGGTCTGGGATGACTTGGAATCGGCGGGAATCCAGACATCATTCCGGAAACGCACCCTGAACAGGCATCGTCTAAATGAAGGGGCAACACGAAACCGGAAGTGCTGTCATTCCGAAGTTGAGCGCTGACTCGAGTCCGAACCCCGATTGATAATGAATAACTCTGTCTTATCACATTCCGCGGCCGGAATGATATGCACGAATCGCCGGATCAAACGGAACATCCCTCGCACCGAAGTCACAAATAAATCCGGAAGTACAGATAGGAGATTGGGGAGTTTTCCACAGCTTCGGAATCGGATGGATAGCTTTTAAGGGAGGGGGAAGGATTATACTTACCCCGCGCGCGGCGGACTAGGCACGTAGTTCATGTTCCTCCGTTTGGGAATCTTGAGAGCTGGTCGAGCAATCTGGATATTTCAATACGTCGCCGATTCGCTGAGGTCGAACAGAAAGTCACAGCAAACGCTTCATGAGGCTGCGCAGCGCCGGAGCGTAACGAGCTCTTTCACTGGGGATCACCGTTAGCAAAGCCTCTCTGACGTTCACGAGCAGCTGAGAGTGTTCGCGAAAAAATCGCTGTGTTTTTATTGTTGTACAACAGCAGCACGAGCTAGCAGACGAGTGCTCCCATCATCGGCATACGCAAGGAGTTCGACGTTCCCGCTCTGAACGGCGTACTTTTGCACGCTTCTACGAGTTCTCGAGGGGCGTGAAATAGAACGTGCGTTGAGTCGATGGGCATCACGTAGAAGGAGTATGCGGAGTGGACAGCCACGTAAATGGAATCTCCCGATGGGGGAAGAATAGAATGCTGCTTGTGATCTTTGCTGGGAATTCGACCGGAGTATGGCGCTTTCTCAAAAGATCCCTCGATTTTGACATTCAGCCTCGTCGGGATCATACAGGATCGCGACTGGATCACGGCGCATCACTCAGAATCGCAACGGATTACGTGCGATCAGACGCGGCTGAATTCCAGAGCTGAAGAATGATGGAGGGAAGCGCGGGATTCCGAAAAACTGAGGTGGTGGTTTCGATGATCTCGGAGTTCGGACGGAAATGCATCGAAGTCCGCGCGACGAAAAGAGTGCGTGCTGAGCGGTACAGTCGGTGGAGAGACGGGCCATCCGCAGAAGTGGAATGCCGCGAGCGACACCGGAAGTCACGAACTGACATTCCGCTTCATTGTATCAAAAATCTTCTCGTGAGTGGAAGGAAACACCCGAGCCGACTATTATTCATCAGGATGACCGATCTAGGAATCTTTGAGTCAACGAAACTCTCACTGAAGCTAAGAGGGGTCCGCGAATCAACCGCGCTCCCGTGATTTCTGATTCGAAACTCGAGTCGTTCCCGTATTGCTCGACTTCCCGCATTCAAGGATGAGCTCGGTTGATAAGCGCCCTTATCACGTGTGGAGTCGCTCTCCACTCGCTCTCATCTGGAAGGGCCTTGTTCATGTCAATCTCGAGAATGTACGACGTACACACCCAGAGGAAGGCTGCCTGCCCCGATTCCTTCTTCCTTCGTCCGTGATCGGACGCCTGCGAGAGACGCCCGTATGGGTCTCCTTGACTTTGTCCCCGCATAAGAGACTGTGGATCGAGATGTCCGACTTCACGCAAGAACTGCTCATGCCGCACTGTCCTGGTCAATCGGATAGTATATTGTTCGGGCGGATACATAATAATGTGAGTGATCGCAGAAGGCCTGCGGTTCAAAACTCGCGCGCCTCCTCCTCTCTTCTTTCTCCTTGAGCTGGTGCCTGACGGATGGCGCCAAAGTGTTCGAAAAGACTAGCTCTGCGAGGAACATCAAAGAACAGCGCTAAACACCGGGATCAGCCATTCCTCTCGATATTGGTCTTCGAATCCCTCCGTACGGCAACCGGGGATCATGATGGCGGACCTACACAACTTACCCTGGTGAGTTCCATCCAACCCAGGAGACAGAGCTTGCTGAGCGCGATTCCCGTTTGAAGTTCGCAGCCTGATTCGGCGAGGTTCCCTGTGTCTTGAGCGCGGAAAAAGCCGTCAGAGAGTCTCCATTCTCCTAATCTCCATTGGACCACCGATATAATTTGCATCGATAAGCCAGAGCTGACTTGCCCCACAATGTGCAAGAAAACGCGCTCCCGAATCTTCGTTGCCAGAGAAGGAGAAGCCGTACTAAACTTGTCGGGTTTGATCTTAAACGTATCCTCCTCGCAGGGTGGAGAAGTACCGACCGAAGACACTGGACGACCTCATCGCCCACGAAGACATTATCTCGACAAGTGCGGGGGTTTCATGATAATGATAATTATGTTGTGTACCAACTTCCGTCTCCGAAGAATCTCGCTGAAAACATCCAAGTCGAATGCGCACCTAGACCAAAAGTTCTTCCGGTTACAGTCGATCGGTTCGTGACTCAGGACCGGTTCCCTCATCTGCTCTTCTATGGACCTCCTGGTACTGGGAAGACGTCAACGATTCTGGCGACAGCACGGCAATTATATGAGCCCAAAGAATTCAGTTCAATGGTCAGTTCCTCCGGATTTCCCTTCCCTCGTAGAACACTCGACGGTCTTTCCTCGCATCAGGCCTGCGAGATCCTCCTGCGTGGGTTCGGGAGCGACTCGCTGGGAGGTTTCAGAGCAAATGCTTTTGATATCTCGAGTCAAACTCGAGCGAGAATGAGTCTCGCTCTCAGCTGACCGCTTAGCGTAAAGAATCGCTATGATGTCGGAACGGAATTTTTTCACGATCGGTGTCAGACCCATGGTTCGAGGCGAGGTCTCCGAATTGGGGTGGGAAATTCGCCCCCGCCGTCTCAGCGGAGTAATTCCGGAGTACGGTACATTCTCTGCAATCGAAGCATCTCAAAAGAGCGCTGGCTGTCCTATCCGAGCAGGTCTTAGAGTTGAACGCATCGGATGACCGAGGCATCGGGATAGTTCGGGGAGAGATCCTGAATTTCGCGTCGACGAGAACAATATTCAACAAGAAATTCAAACTCATCATACTCGATGAAGCGGACGCCATGACGCACGACGCCCAGAACGCGCTCCGCAGGTGAGTTCATCGATGAACGAGGAGAAAATGCGAGTTTTCCATAGCGAGAAGAGATGATGAAATGATGGCTCGCGATTGGCTCCGGAGAGGAAACCCCGACAGAGACGAGGAAATCCATCTCGAGGATACAATCATACCGAACATGTATTTTTCAGAGTGATCGAGAAGTATGCCGACAACGCACGCTTCTGCATCATCTGCAACTATCTTTCGAAAATAATTCCGCCGCTGCAGTCGAGGTGCACGCGATTCCGCTTCGGTCCGCTGTCAGTTTCCCAGATGGTTCCCCGAATCGAGATGGTCATAAAGACAGAGGAGTAAGAATCCTTCCGGCTGAATTCGTATACCGGGAATTCTGCGGCAGCCCGTGGGTGGGGATCTTTAATCTCGTTCTTTTTTCATTGAATAAATTAGCGTCCCGATAACGCCTGCGGGGAAACAAGCGATTGTCGATCTCGCCGAGGGTGACATGCGGAAATCCCTCAACATTCTACAGGCCTCATACATGGCTTTCTGCGAGCGGGTGAGTCATGTTATACATCGGTTTCGAAACCTCGTTAATCGGGCACCGAAGAGGTTGAGGGTTTTTCCGCGAGGAGGACATGGGGAGTCTTTGCGCGGATCCATGATCTTCCTCCCCATTGAGTCAAACAAGTTGCAAATCTTATCACAGGGCAAGATCGATGAGACGGAGGTCTATCAGTGCGTCGGTGCACCCCAGAAATCGGTCATAGCAGACATCATGACGCATCTCATGAACGACGATATAACCACCGCTTATAGGAAGGCGAGTTTCCAATTTGTGGCATAGGTCATGTTGTGTAAAGTATACGGCGAAATAGAGCTGTTCTGATTCGCTAAGATCCCTCGCGAGATAAGAAGTCGACCATCGGTTCGCAGATCCTGGATATCAAGACAATGAAGAGCTTAGCCCTCCAGGACATCGTCCACAAAGTCCATCAGAGTATCATGGAATTTGACCTCAAAGCGAAAGTGAAGATTTTTATATTGTCCAAGCTCGGTCAATTGGAGTAAGCGTTTTCTTCTTCACCTCGGGGAACGACGGAATATCTTATCTATCTCATATACCTCAGGTCTTGATATATGGATAAAGCTGGAGCGGAGATACTGCTATTCTCGCATTGTTACAGAAAACGCTTGGCAGCGGGATCTTCGGAGAACATCCAATTAGGTTCACTCGTATCGATCATGTTCCAGGCCAGGCAACTGATGTGAAGCTTCGCCGAGCGCAGACTTATATATTCCTTAGCTGTTCATAATAAAACATTGTTCACCTCTCATACCTTCTTGGAGATCCTAAACTCGGTCATTATTTCTCTCGGCTATGTATACGACGGTTATTCAGGATCGCTATCGGTCACAGGTAGTTTCATGTTGAGAACACTTCCCTTTAGACTGGAATTTCACAAACAATTTATCCGGTGGCAAAAGTCCCAGGATTCAGCATATCGTCTCGTCCAGGGTCCGCGACAGGGAACTCGCTCGAGCTCTCTCAAAATCTGGCACGAAGTCGCCTCTTGGAGTCAAAAGTCATCGATGCCCGAATTCTGTGATGATTGATCCTTTCCTGGAAGCCAATTCTTCTGAAATAATCCCTCTTCCTCGATATGAATTCAGTCATGCAGTGAGAGATGAGCGGGCGGCAGTTCCCTTCCATCAGTCTCGCGCTGATTTCTGATTTTCATTCTCCATAGGTTTCGTTGATGAACGACACGTTCCGTCCATGCTTCCATGCGGGATTTCCATAACGAATTCCACTCCGGGAAGGGAGGGGGGAGGCAGAAATTCCGGAAGAAACGCAGTTCAAGGGCGTGATCGATCTCGGGCATTCCATCGGGCATAGAGATTCGCTCAGAAGAACTCCTTTCACGGTATACCGCGCATCCGCGATGAGTATAAATTCCGTTGCTGAAGCGGTCCCCTAGGCTCACGTCCCCGGGAATCTCCCTCGGGAAAGTATTCGTTTCATCTGTCGAACGTCCATCGAGATTGGAGATTCTGAAATCAATCGCTTCGGGTGATTGTGGGCGGAGGAACGGACTTCGACGTGGTGCGTGCACGTTCTTCACCGACACACATGTGCCCCGGTATTTAAGAGCCGCGCCCGAAGGAGATCGTTTCTGTTGAGTGTTTTGCCGAGGCCGTCGTGCAGCTATCCCTTCGAAACGGTGAGTTTGTCCGATCGTTAGAGATCTTCAGCATCGTCTCAGCTCGCGTTTCGGGCCGGCTCGTTTCTGCGGAGTGGCGAATCTCCAGCTGCGAAACCTTCCCATCAGGTTTCACTGAGAATTTCCGAGAAGAACCGGTGATCATCGGCACTCGCGCGATGCTCGAGCCGGGTCTCAGAATCGAGATTCGAGCTTCCTCGACCTAGAGGCTCCGGGATGGTTTTTATCTCATCGGAGGCTTTTCCCGTGGAGATGCATCTCGGATTCTCTGACCGAGCTTCCACATTGTCGATTCTCCCGTGCCGGATAGGCTCAAGTCCTTGAGATGACCTTCGAGGGAAATTACTTGCAACTTTTCCTGAAGGATCGTCTCCCGGAGGCTAACTTCGCTTCTACCTAAACCCGAGAAATTCCAGACCCCCATCCTCTGACATTCGCAATGGAGTGCGCTGAGATCGTGTCGATGCAAATGACTGAAATGCCCGTGGCTCCACCATGCACGCCTTCGCCTCAACCGGGAGACCGGACCTATGCCAAGGAAGATGAGGAGATGCAAATGGCAGGCGGAATGTGTGACGGAGTTACCGTTCTCGGTATGACGCCCGGCACGAAGGGAGCAGCACCTCAGCAAGCTCCCGCGTATCCCCAGTACTACGCGCCTCAGTATTATCAATACACCGCGGTACCCCAAGGCGGAACTCCATACGGACCGACCCTCATGTACACCATGCCGATGCCGTACTATCCGAACGTCCGCCAGGGAGCTCAACCGTACCAGATGGACTACGGAAGCGTTCAACAGCAACAACAGCAACCACCGCACGGTAAACCCCACGTGGAACCACCTACCATCGTCAAAACTCCGAGTAGACAGCGAGTCGTCATCTGGAACTATTGCCAGTTCTGCCAAAACAACCGCGAGCCCGAAGAGTTTTACAGGTGAGTCCCTTGGCTGATATTTCCTCCTCACGGCGAGTAGCCTTGTTCCTCACTCCAAAAATATCTCCTGTTCGGAAGAGGATGGAATTCCCCGAGCTCCTCTCCCTCGGGAAGAGCTGACTCACTGCAGGGACTTTGCTCCTTGCATGGGATTTCCCATCGTCGGGGTATCCTTCGGAGTGTTGTGTGGGCAAACGATTCTTAAGCAACCTCTATTTTTTTCGCAGAGGCCACATTCTACGTGATGCCGAGGGCAAAGTCGTTTGTCCCATCTTGAGAGCCTACAACTGTCCGATCTGCAACAACGGCGGCGGAGAGAGAGCGCACACGAAAAGTTACTGTCCTCAACTCCGGGCTAGTAGGCTTCCCAGACGATCTTCTTTATTCTAGGAGCTCCGATGGGATCGGTGACGATTTGCGGTCGGCGAGTGTTTCGGAGGAAGGGATTCGATCGCGATAGTTACATCTACCGATGTCGTTTTTAGGATGCCGTCATTTTCATTGGCACATTTTTTTTCCAACTCATACCCGAAATTGTGCTCAACCGAAATTGTGTTTATAGCCTTAGATGCAGGAACGATGGCCGTCATCGGTCGCCACGCGCGATCGAGGCGTGACAAGTTTCTGGACCGCTCATCAAGCGGAGCCAGTTGTGACTGTGGCGATGTGTTTTGTGTATGTCTGATGCATTCCGCAACGATGAAGGAAATTGACAAAAAGAACATTTTTCCCTCAGCGTCCCCAGCAATCGTTCGGTACCGTCCACGGTTACCAGTTGTAAAAACTCCTCGATTTTCAATTGAGTCTGCAGATTGTACGCTGGGAGATTGATGGGAATTAAAAGGAATCGTTCGAAACTTCAAAATAAAGAAATTTCGCTCAAACTCATGGTTGTTCCGACAATGAAGTAGCTTTCCTCAAGACTTGACTCTAGGTAACCTCTGCGGCTGGGATCGATGATGGAAAATGCCTGGATAGGTCTATCTCATCAGGGATTCGTCGATTCCCAGACGGGAGAGAGTCGATATTCGAAGCGGAATGTTGAAGCAGTCGAATGTCACGAGCAGAAGCTAGTCAAGCCAGCAGAGGACCAATTGCTTCACTCCAGAGAGCAAACCGCTGTAGTCGATCGATCGCATGCGTGTCCTCCTAGATAGTCGCAGAAGAGCTCTTAGAATATCATATATAGCCAGATTCGTGACAGTACGCATCAATCGACATCTTCGCTGAGAAATAGGGTCGTTGAAATACTTATTGGCGCAGCTAAGGAAGGAGCCCGCTACGATACGCTCGACTAGCGTATCGAAGACCAAATATCGTCTTTATGGTGTTTGCGATGTCGTGCTGCTGTGTGTAGATTCTATACTTGAAGCGAAGCCGTCGATCGGTTTACTGTCTTGAATAATTATGGAGCTCCCGGGCGTGATCGCTGCAAGTGAGACCTTGGTCCTGCTTGGCATACTTCTCATGGGCAATAGTCGAGACGAAGGCTGTTGGTCTACCTGATTCTTTTCCATCGGTCGAAGGATGCGGCTGGAGTGGGTAGGAGAGGTGGAGTTTTGAGCTTTAAGCAAAGGCAGCGAAGGACCACTTCCCTCTGCACACCGCAGGGATAGCGCAGGTTTATCATGGTTTCTTACAGCTTTCCAGAGATATGTCCCCAGCCTCGATCCTCCATTCTGGGGCATCAGTTGCTCTGTTAGGAAGCCGGCTCGAGGTTTCGAACGAACAAATCGTCTGGCCATCAACCAGAAGTTTCAATCATTGTCGTGGGCGATCACCTCCACAGACGATCTCAGACTTGGCGGAAACCATGAATTAATTCCGAAAACGAATTTCGTCGAACGTCTGTAGGGCTGAGCCGACGTGGGTCCCACTCATGTCTCCATCCGAGCTCCGGAACCGGCGCGCTGTTTGAGGCCTCTGCACAAATCCTTCATGGAATCGAGGGGCGTTGCGCCCTTTCCTAGATGTCGATCTCTTTCGTACCATGCATGGCTTGCAAAGTCTCGATCTCTGGAGCCCCTCTCGAAATCAGGGATCGCCAAGAAAAGGGAGAGTGAAAACATCTGATTCGAGGTCGCAGAGCATTTCCCTGGAGAGGGTTTCCGCGAACTGGTTCTACCGGGAAGAGACTGCTGCTCCCGGAACGATACTGCAGGCCCCGATTTCCTCCCTAAACCCCTGAAATATGAGAGCCTTCGCTTCTGACAGAACAGATCCTCGATCCGCAGTCCACAGCATGTCATCGATCGTTTCGCTCCAATCGCAACTCTAATTTGTGCAAGACAGGACATAAGTCGATTGTGCAGCAGAAAGGAAAACACTCGTGGGAGTTTTCGCTATTTTTTCAGTGACTTTATTCGCTCTATGGATGCGGCTGCTGCTGTTGTAGTTGTTGTTGTTGTTGATGTTCTTGTTGGGATTACATGTCACATCATCGATTTTGATCACCATTAGGGCGTCATTCATAGGGATATTCAATAGAATCAATAATAACTATCATAATAACTTCTCTTTGTTTAAACCTTACTTATATATATATTATATCGCATCGCATCCGGAGGCGCGTACTACGTATATTGTCCTCCACGCGTCGCGCACGCTCGGATTTTCACTTTCTCGCGATTTCTTATCCGTCCTCGATGACTGCTGCTGTTATGGTCGGTCCCGGAATCGAGACTCGAAGGGTCCACTGTTTCTCTGTTGCATCACTTCCAAAAGACTTTCGCTCGTAGAAGCTCGATTCTCCGACCGCTCACTCACGCTCCGCAGCGTCGACCGCCGTCAACACCTTTTCCCTAATCATTGTTTGCGCAGGTTCTCCTCCGTCACGCTCTGAAACCCACGATCGAGCGTTCGTGCACGGATTAAAGCCGAACTAGATGGCGGTCGACGGCGGGCTCAGCGAGGCATCATGCATTCTCTCATTTATTTGCATCATTCATTATTCATCATAAGGAATTAAAAAGATCGGTAGTACATTCTTCGGATAAAATGTGCCATCAATCATAAAATCACAATCACCGCTGGAGATGTTCATTCAACTCGTCGCATTTGTTCTGAGATGTTTCATTTCTTGATGAAGAAGATTCCTTCCAGGTTCAAAGCTCGATAAGAATATTTGGTTAGCTTCGTAGCTGTGTGTGTGTGTTCGTCGGAGCGATTCATTAAGGTTTTCGAACGAATAGCCATCCGGGAGGACATCTCGATATACCTACCGGTGGAAGTTCGGAGAACACGACAAAAATGTCCCTCCTCCAGGATAAAATAGAGGAACATCGCCGCGGTTTCCGGTTCTAGAAATTACGTGTACACATTATGACGCTGAAGCGGCTTTGAGATTGGTGGGTGGCTTCGGACGTTCAATGTGACGAACACCGTGGTGGTGACCACCATCCTTACATTTCTTGTGTTCATGACTGGCGAAAGGCGGTACAGCTTCACGGTTAGACAAGAAAACATCAAGATTGGGGAGAAAGTCTGCTCTACATACATTCAAAGTATTGGATTCATGTTCCCTGTGACTGATTAGCTGGTATATCAATTTGTCTGGGGTGGGTGTATCAGTGGTGTACTCTGCGAAGAACCGGACCTCCAAAGACGTTTGGAGTATTCCATCGGGATCAGGGGAAATTCCTGTAGTCCGATCAGGAGGTGATCAGAGAGTAAATTTCAAATTCGAAAAACCCGTTCTTCACCACTGCTTTCGGTAGATCCGCTCTTGACTCGTGTGCAAACTGGCGCCCCGACGGATTCATTGCCTGCATTCGGTAAACCTCTGAGCGAAGAGAATCAGATCTGGAATCGATGTTCAGAAAGCTTCGATGATGCTCTCCAGTCGGGAGACTCATCATAATCGATTTCCATCTTCCAATGAAGAATCCGTACCCTCAGAAGATGAATTCAGGGGGAAGACGGATTCTTCCTTCTAATTCCGTGAAGGATAAATGGGGAGAAGTTCCGAGGGCTCCTTTCCGAGGCGATCAGCAGTGAATCCGTCCAGCGGAAACCGTTTCGAAAAATCATCAAAGTCAGCGTCTCATTCAATCTCTCCGATAATTTACCTATCATCATTCACGCATGGTCAAATCACGCGCTCACACACACATATATATCAACTCACAACCGTGTTCATGGGAAGGGTTATGAAATTTCTGATTCCGCGGTTGCAAAGCCTCTTCCGTGTAAAGCTGAGCTCCTTTTCCCAAGCGGATCAGGTCGAGAAAACGCTCGGATGGTCGAGGAACTCGCGACTAGAAACCTTTTGGAGGACTTGAATATCAGGCGCAGATCGACCCGCGCCCAATGCTTCACTTGCCGCTTTCTAAGATTGCACGTCCGGACCTATCAAATTCGAGCTCTGCGTGCCCTCACCGAGACGGACGCAATGCTGAATATCTTTTGGAAGATGTGTGAAATCAGAGCTAGTTACTCCATCACTTATTCTTTGGTTTTCTGTCAACAGGTTGCATGCGCCTGCATGCAATCGATATTTTCGACGCGTCCCTCGGACGTCGATCGCTCGACAGGAAGAATCTGATGACTACGTGGAAGTAACGAAATGGAAGTGACCTCAGATCGAGGACTCGGTTCGATACCGGAGGGAAGACATGTTGGAAGCGACATGATCGGCAGCCAAGGCTTTCGAATCCGTCATCATAACACTGGAAGCTCAAAGTCGGGAAGCCTGTAGATGGATGTAGAAATTCATGGCATCCAACTTCATCGGAAGACTTGGCTGCCTCAGAGGCCGGCGGAAGTTCAAAGTTCTCCAAAAGCACGCGCATCTCTGCTGTAACGCATAAGCTCGAACAAACCATCCTCTCCATGATTTGGTCACATAGGTTTGAATTATAATCTGACTGACGTCTTTGGCAGGGTACACTGAATGAAGACGTCGCTTGTGCTCGTATGTATGCATATAAGGCAAGACTCAAATAACAATTGTTATCTGCCCGCTGCTCCAGCTGCAGAGACATTACTGATTCTTCTCGTTATAATCTCAGGAATTGAATCCTGGAAATTAAATAAAAGTCATCGATCGGATCGATCGCCGAGCGGTCGATTCGACTCGGAGAAACGGTACCCGCTCCGGGAAAACCTGAGAACTCTCACTCTCTCTCTCGGTAAATCATCGCGTCGAGTCAACAGAGATATAACAAAATGGATGTCAGTGTGGTTTTACGTTGAAATTATTCTTCAATGTTGGTGGGGTATATTTGAGCTGTGCTCGGAATGGATTGGGTGGGTTATCTGTATGTCAGCTGTCTGTGTCAGAGGATTGCTTCGCTTTATATATATCTTTCTCCGCGGATCAATGACGATGAGTCCCACGCGGGGCACTTCGTCGATCGTTCCGGAACTGTTTGTGTACTCAATGATAGAATCAGATCAGCGTTGAATTCTCTGTCTCGATTCTCAGTTCACGAACGTCTCATAGTGACCTTCCTTATGCCGGATTAAGAAATTTGAGTAGAAATGAATGTGAGTCACGCTGCTCGGTAGCATCGCTCTTACGCACCAATGGCGATCACTAAGCGGCGAAAAATCTGATTACAACCTCACGGAGACCATTCTCGACTCGCTGTGATTGCTCAAGTCAATCCGATTGATCGTCATTCGAGCGATTAAGCTCATCGGGCGATGCCTGATATATCACATCGGATCGCGTCTAATTTTCCTTCTGTTTACGATTCGAGTCATCGAACACGACAATCTCGATCCGCTCCAAATTTAGGAGCATCCTAATGCACCGATCAAGGCCAGGGCTGTTTTTGCTTGCGTGGTGCCTGTAACGGCAGGATAAAGAGCCTCGATGAGTTGGAAGTACATCCGCTCGGTCGAAGGCGACTCTGGCCGAACGAGGGTCACATCAGATCGCGT